TAGTGGAGGCGTTACTAGTTTTACGTCGCCAAAAATGGAAAAATACAAGATTCTATAATACCATGATCATTTTGCCATTTGATATCTTTATATAAGTACATATCAAATATCTTGTCTAGACAAAATGAGACTAGTTGAAGTTGAAACACGTGGAAATTCCGCATTAGGAGGACCACGCAAAATATTTGAAAATTAATTATTTATAGCTATGAAATATTTTTACAGACAAAAACGATCTATATTTGACGATCTTCTTGCCTATTTCGCTGAAATAATAAAAAGGTATATGATTTTTATTTTCGAAAAGCACTTTTTTAGCATCATATTGTAATTTTTGTGTTCAGATCGTGCCCCTCCGTGCTTAAACATTCTTATTATCTTATTATCTTTACTACGGTGACATTTGAATACAGCAACTCTTTTAAATATGAAAATATTTTTCATTCTGTGGGACGTCGGCACACACAAAGAAGTGATTTAAGTTTGAAGGACGGAGGGAGGGGGGCTGTCACTCTCACTTTTTTCGCCCGAAAACTCGGGCGTTTAAAAATTCTCCGGGACACTCAAAACTCTCTTCTCCTCCTTCTAACTAGCATATCTTATATATACACATATACACCATTATAGATTTTTTTTCGGGGTTAGGGATGATTGGTGTCGCCCGCCTAATTTTTCGGCAAGGCGTCGCGACGCCGCAGACGCGCGACCCCCGTCGAACCGTCTGGCCGGCTGTAGGACGACTTGAGGGTAAAAAACGCGAGGGTGGCTTCGTTAGGGTAAAAAATACAAGATTTGCATTCCGGGAAAGTTACTCTCCGAATTTTGCTCGTCGCCAAATGAAGACGCCGCTACGTTTTATGTTCTCCGAGTGAAATAATTTTTCCTTTTTATTTTATTTATTTTTGTTACGGTAATACGATCATAGGAAAATTTTTAATATTGCTTCTAGTATGTTAAAAGAGAGCTAGTAAAGGATAGGGAATATTTCAACCCTCATTTAAAACTTATTTTCTAAGTTCACTAAGTAAGTTAAATTACATAACCTGCATTTTCTGTCCAAGAAAAATAAAAATAGATAACTACATATTTTACTTTAGTGCACATATATTATTAGAATTTGAAAATGTTTAGGCAATTTCAGCAAGGAAATACTTTTTTAAATAACATCATTATTACTATTCTTAGTTAAATCGAATGATATTTTTCTTATTTTTAAATTTACATAATTATGGGAGCAAATGAATTATTTCGTTTCTAAATTAGATTAAGTATATAAAAGTTATTAATGCAATACTTAAGTTGAAATTAAGCAGCTTAGTTTTAAACTTTTTCATTGAGATTGTTGATGTTTCAAAACATCTGATTTTATAGCACATTTAATAGTAATTAATATAAAAATTAAATTGATGAATGCCGATTGATATTATATTATACTTTTTCGAAGAATATTAAGACTTATTCATTGATGCCAATATATATCTATTTCTAGAAAAAAAACTAATTTGTAGGCTCAAATGAATCTTTTTTTTTTGTATGTACGGTTTTATGTATAGTGGAACTAGCATGCAAAAAAATCAGTCACATGTTCTTTCTTTCAACTCACAAATTCAAATTTCTACACTCAAATTTTCAAAATAAAACAAACAAAATGTCCGAGCCAACTTTTCATTAATTTTTTACGTGAACTCCATTTTTGGATTTTATAAATTTACTGATGATTTAAATAAGCAAAAATAGAATAGTCAAGTGACAATTATAAAAAAGGAATTTGAATAAAAATACAGTTTCATTAGTTGTTACTGAACAATGAGTGTCGTAAAATTCATGTATAAAACAATAATAGGAGTTATGAACAACTTTCTTTGCTAACCCCAATTTCATAAATAAATTGTGATATGTCTTAGTTGCAACTATAATTGGGAAAACATTGCCAGGTGGTTCCGTAGTGTAGCGGTTATCACGTCTGCTTTACACGCAGAAGGTCCCCGGTTCGATCCCGGGCGGAACCAGAGTTTTTTTTCTGTAGACTCACACGCCTGGGAATCTATAAAGTTAATGTTAGTATATATTTTTAGCGGTATCTTACCTGTTAACGGAAACTTTAAACTATTTTTGGTCAAGCGCCGCCATCTATTAAACCGAAGATGAACCCAACCCCTGTTCGTAATTGCCGAGCGACATCTCGTGAGTACAGTCAGTAAAGGAATTATTTTGTATTCGTTAGGACGACATCTAGCGGACAAGAGCCAAATTATCACGCGGGTGTGAGTACTCGCTACTGCTAAAGCCAAGATTCCTGCTCTACTTAAATTTTGATCAATATAAGAAACGTGGGAAAAGTTTTTTAATGCAAAGATGGATAAAACTTATCTTTTATAGGAGCTGACAGTGCGGAACGCCGAGAAGGGATCTCGAAAAAACCAACGCGCCTTGGTTCTCCGTTAATTCTTGTAAAAACATCGGCAATGTGGTAACGAAGGAAATATATGGACCCAGAAGCCAAACAACGCGGTCGTAAATACCTGTTTTATGTAAATACGTGTAAATTCCGGTTGTTTGACATTGTTAAGTGGTTTATGGGACCATAAATACGAATCGCACTGTAAACGGACTCCCGAAAATACGAAATAGTTTTGTTTCCAAATAATTGAAATTGTATCACCTGGTTTTACGTTCTTTTCTAAATTTCTGCTCATGCCCACCGGAATATTAAATTGAAAGTAATAAGAATATGGTAAAAGTAATAAATTATTTCTTAAATAAACTTAATTTTAAAACGTGTACTCTCATTTTTACTTTCTCTTTCTGTCTTTTTTTTATTTTTATTGCTCCATTAAGTTCCTAGAAAATTTTATTAAATATACTTTAATGACAAAAAATTATTTGGCCTAGCAAAGATGTTTAGTTGATTATGGTAATTTCAAATAAAATTCAGGAATTATTAAAAAAAAGGTAATTTTAACAATCGTATGCATATGCAAGTTGTAATTTGAGTTTTTAGTAAAATTCAATACTAAAAAATGTACATTTAATAGTAAAATATAATACATTATTAATATAAAACAATTAATATTGTACTATTTTGTATAGCAGCCTTGACTTTTATTCTCTTTTTTTTTCTGTTCTCTCTTCTCTATTTCTTCATTTATTTCTATTTTATTGCCCCATTAAATAAACGATTTTATTAAATAAACAGTTTGATAATCTGCATTTTTATAAAAAAAAATACATTTGGTCTAACCAAATCATATATCGTCAAATGAAATACAACATTTCAAGTTTTTTTTTAGTAAAATTGATTATTAAAATAAATTACTGAATTTTGAACTATTTTGCATTGCAGCAGTTACTTTTATTCTTTTATCACGTAATTTGCAGGCCTTACCACAACGTCTAGTTGATTTTCGTAAATTAAATAAAAATAAGATGTCTCCAAAAAGCAAAAACAAACATATCTGTCATAAAAATAATAAAACTAAAAAATATCGTTTTGCTATTTTGCATGGCAACCTTTACTTCTATGCGTTAATCATTTTTTTGTTTCCTCTGTCTTCTTTTCTCTCCCGCTTTTTTTTTATTTAAATATGTAATTTTATGAAAATTGAATATTAAAAAATATATGGATATCACACACTATAAGTTATTTTTTTGTATTTTCTCTGTCCTATTATATTAGCATTTTTATAAACCCATATTAAATTTTAAAAAATATATGTATATATAATATTAAAACATAAAAATAAATTACTTAATTTTGAACTGTTTTGCATTGCAACGTTACTTCTATAAGTTTAGCAAATGCTTTATTTTATTAGCATTTTTATAAAAAAATATTTGACCGTATTTCATTATATATTCATATAATTCAATATAACACATAAATATAAATCACTCAATTTTGAAATGTTTTGCATTGCAAACTTTACTTTTATAAGTTTTTTTTTTCATTTTCTCCATAATATTAAAATAAAAATTATTTTAAGACGCTATGAGAATAACAATTCCATTTCTCCCTTCTTTTTTTCATAATTTTATAAAATATTGCACATTAGCAAATAATATTTTTTTAAAAATACCAAACGAAAGAACTTTTTAGAAATCGAAAATTTGCAAGTGAAATGCTGCAGTTTGAGGATATAACAAGAAAATATACAGGTAATTAAAGCAAAATCTTAGGGAAAAAGTCAAAAGGCCAGTCGTAAATCATGGAACCAATTGGTTTGCTATAAATCAAAGTCGGACCGGGTAGGCAGGATCCCCGCGTGGCAATATATTTTTTTGAATGTGCAGTTCCGTTTACCCCCTTGCCCTTCCCGCCCGCAACGTCGTCGGGTTGGATTTGACCGTTCCATCTGTATTTTCAATTCGCAGTTATAGAAAAATCACAAAAACTCTAGTAAAAAGCGTCACCATCTCTAAACCATTACTAGCAGATTAAAAAAGTAAAAAAAGCTAGGTTTCTTTGTTTGATGTTCCAATCTATGCAAACACGCTTAATTTTTGGTTGATAAATATGTACTTAAAAGTTTTTGTATTGAATTTTGAAACATCTTTTATTCCTTACGTGAGTCCCAACTATGGTTTTAATCTAATCTGCATTTAAGCTTTAAGCTTCAGTCCCATACCCCACGAAAACTGTATATATTTCCATTGTCTGCGGGGGTTGCAATGTCCCGTCCGATAACGCCTGTGCCGTTGACGTACAGGTACCACGAAAACCACCCTTTGCTCAGCTTAAAAACGCAGGTCAGGGTCAAAGTTTCAAAATAAAAAATATCGCATTCATTTCTGGACGACATAAAAACGCTAGAGCTCGAAAAACTTTAGATAAGCACGCAGTCGTTATCTTCAAGTTCGGTCCTGGCATTTTTTCGATCATTTCGAAAATTCAAATCCGGAAATGCGCGTTACCCGGGCGGCTTAAGAGGACCGCCTCCCTTAAATGCCCCGCAAAGTGTTTTAAGGACCCAAAGAACTGGCAACAGTCAATCCTGAATCGACCACGAGAGGAGACGGTCGTGCATCGATCCTCAGTGTCGGAAGACAGACGCGTGTAGCTAAAAAAAATCTACAGCCTCCCGCGTTTCGTTTTCAACCCTCGCAGTATGATCGTGTTTGTTGCCTTAGTTATCGGTGAGTGCCTCTTATTATTTTGAGTAACGATGTTTTGATAATAAGAAATTCATGTTTTGAAAATTTTCCAAATGTTGAAATATTTGCGAGGTGATTTTAGAAGACATTTTTCCTGTGTTGGGGATTGTACTTATTTATTTAAAAATAATTAGTCGTAATGTGGAATTGGTACTACTGATCCTTGTTTGTAAACACTGGTGTCATTATGCCAATGTGTCTATTTGAATCATGATGTTTCTTGCAATGAAATCACAAGTTTTTCATTTTATTTTAAAAATAACTATTTCTAATTGTCATTTGTATCATTAATACTACCTGAATCACATATAAATGTGAGTTGTTATATAAAGAGGAAATGTTATAGGTTAGCATTATTTTAATTTTATTTTAAAAATTGACATTTCATTTTAAGGAATCCGATATACAGGTGGTTTGGTTCTGATGCAGATAGAAAATTTTTAGGAGGTTTATTTTTATTGCCAAAAAATGTCTCGTTTCGAAATAATAACAATTTGTCGAATGCGAAATTGGGTTAGGTTATAATTTTATTTAAAAAAATTGTGGGATTATTAAATCAATCAGTAATAATTTATAATAAATGATTTCTATTACTGATACAATGATTATTTTTAAAATATTAACATTTATTTAAATACAGTATTTTTTTCATAAAAAACAATATAATTAATTATTTATTATTATTTATTATTAATCTATCTTCATCGCATGTATGTAGAGAAGACGCTTTTATAATGAAGGAAACTTATAAGAATAAAAACATTTATAATTGTGCATGTTTCCAATTAATCTTTTTAAAAGAAAACATTCGCAATTAAATAAAAAAAAACTTTAAGTACATATACAGATTTATTTTCCAATAACAATTTTGTAGTTTTATTAGTAATGATACATGCAGTATTTTTTACTCCAAATAAAATAAAAATGAATAAATTAATTTTCATGAATCTATTTTTATCGCACTTATTCTTTGCAGAAAAAATCACGAAATTAAAACAAAAATCTTGGTAAAGTAGTTTTTATAAAAAATAAAAATAAAAAATTGAGAATACAAATATAATCTTGAAAATTGAAAATTGGGGGATTAAGCGCGCTTTTAACATGAAGGAAGGAAATTAATTTTTCAAGACTGACAGTTATTTTTCGAACCAAAAAAAAGTAAAAACATCATTTTTGCAATCAATGCATTTAAAAAAGTCAATATTCGAATAGAGATAAAATGAATATGATATATAGCATTTGTTTAAAAAAAACACTAAATTAAAAATAAAATCTGGTGTTTTGTACAATAAAAAATAGAGAGTTAAAAAATTCATATCCCAAAGATTAAACCACGAAACTTTATTGCTTAAGACGATGTGAAGAATAAAACGAAAAAAGGCATAATAAAAATAAGCGAGTTTTAATTTAAAAAAATTAAAAACACCAATATGCGCGGATTTTCGTGATCAATATTTTGAAAATAAAACATCCACTTTCGCGTAGGTTTAAAATGAGTTATTTTTTTAAATAAAATTTCTAATTATCATTTCGTCCGAGATGGAATTGAAAATTGAGGGAGGAAGTGAGTAGATGAGATTAAAATGAAGGGAGCAAATGAATTTTTCAAGACCAGCGTTTATTTCTCAGAACAAATAAAAATGCAAGTTTTAATTTAAAAAAATTAAAAACACCAATATGCGCGGATTTTTGTGATCAATATTTTGAAAATAAAACATCAACTTTCACGTAGGTTTAAAATGAGTTATTTTTTTAAATAAAATTTCTAATTATCGTTTCGTCCGAGATGGAATTGAAAATTGAGGGAGGAAGTGAGTAGATGAGATTAAAATGAAGGGAGCAAATGAATTTTTCAAGACCAGCGTTTATTTCTCAGAACAAATAAAAATGCAAGTTTTAATTTAAAAAAATTAAAAACACCAATATGCGCGGATTTTCGTGATCAATATTTTGAAAATAAAACATCCACTTTCGCGTAGGTTTAAAATGAGTTATTTTTTTAAATAAAATGTCTAATTATCGTTTCATCCGGGATGCTAAACCGGATGTGAAATAAAACGAGGGTCTGTCGTTTGCCCTGATGATGTATTGTCGACACACGTGGTACTGTTTAAGAGTCAATAAGGCGTCGTAAAATTTCGTCTGAAAATCGTAACGGACCGCGTATTTTTAATTACCCTTAATGACACCAGAGGACACGAGAAAAATCATTCGCTTTCGAACAGGAAATAACCTTTTTTTTTCGCGTTAAAAATTCGCCACGGTTTTTTCTCGCGCGGTATACGGGGTGGCCCCGAAAAAAAAAGGAGTCGCCCGCCGCGCGGAAACATAAAACCCCTGTTTACGCTCCGAGTATGTATAGACGGGGGCCTCGTAAAAATGGCCGTTGTTTTCCGTTTCAATTACTTCGACGGTTATTTATTTAAACTTGTTTCTCGTCTTTGTTTGTTTACGCGTCGAAACGCGTTCGAAACGCAACGACCCGCCGTATGTGGTCTTATTAAAACGCAGGCGTTAAATAGGTAAGAAAATATGGCACCGAGGATTTGCTTGTTTGGGTTTACCATTCGCGAGCTGCCCTTTTTTAAACTTAAAAGATATTTGAAAATTGTCAGTGCAATCTTTCAAAAATGTCAGAAACGGGTGATTGAATAAATATACTTTCTGCGGAACACCCTAATTAGACTTTATTCCATATGGCATGTCTTACTTCAACAAGACAGTCTGCCTTCATCATTTTCAGAATTCTTGTCTCAGACTCTTTTATTATTTTCGTAAGTTTTTCCACATCTCTGAGAGCTCTTTAATAGCATCCTGCCAAAGGACACTCATTTGAGAAATTTTCTCGTAGCTCAGTCAGTTAATACTCGCTTTTGCCAAGCATCATTCGGCACAATTGAAACTCTAGTTTAGTCATAACAATGCACTTCATCGATTAACCACTTTACCACGTCAGTTTCGTTTCCCACGGATCCGAGTCACTTCGGACATTTCCGGGATTTTACCGCTCGGGTTTGGGAGCAATCGGATGTTTTCGGAGATATTTGAAATCCTGACGTCAATTCTGAATGTATTCATATTGTTTTGCAAAAATGTGCCCAAAAACTAATACACAGAAAAATGCTACGCAATATATCAGACAATTCAAATCTAGTGGACTAGTCGGTAAGACCAATTGTAGGATTTTCATATATACATATCTCATCAGTACAAACAAAACAAAATTGAAGGTTAGGACCTGCTTTTTCTTTATTAAAAAAATTATCCTCTTAAAAGCTCTATCCTTGGATGATTTTTCTTCCAATTACAGTCTTGTTCTTTAAATAAACTACTTGATGATCAATTGTAAAAGTTAAATAGACAACATAACGTTTTAAAATTGTGTTTATTCCGTTGTTTATGTGACATATCCAATAATACATCTCTCTCTGCCTAACGTACATAGTAAAAAGAGACAACAATAGCAAAATCGATCAGAACCATAAACGAATATGTTTAATCGCAAAAAAATTTGGTAATCTTATAATATGTTATTATTTTTAATTTGTTAAATTGTGATTTTTTCCTGACGGCCGTATGCAACACTTTGGTAAACTCTTTATCTCACTCGTTTATTAAGCACTCGCTCCGTTCGTAAGTCAAATGCCATTTACCGCACTTGTGTGCATAAAATACTACTTATTTATATTTTCTGTTTAATTTTGTTTTGTTATTAATCTTTTTACTTATTCTTTCTACTATGTGTTCCATTGGGTGTTTTTTTTCGATGTATAGAACTTTAAGTTGGCATAACTGTCCAAGATGGCGACCGATTTAACAGCTGTCAAGTGATTTATTCTCAGTTTGGTTTGGCAATTCATGATAAATAGACTCTCGCCTGAACAACGCTTGCAAATAGTGCAATTTTATTTCGAAAATAATGGTTCTGTGCGGAATACGTATCGCGCACTACGTCCATTTTATCCTCGACAAAATCGTCCATCAGAGCAGTTAATTCGATTAACCATGGAACGTTTTCGCTCCACGTTTACTCTTATTGATAACTCGCATCCCCAGAGACGACGTACGGTCCGTACAAAACTGCCGCATTTGGAGCGAAGCTAATCCTCAAGTGTATGTCAAAACACCGTTACATCCAGAAAAACTGACTGTTTGGTGCGCTTTATGGGCTGGTGGAATCATTGGTTCGTACTTCTTCAAAAACGATAATGGCCAGAACGTTACAGTCAATGGTGATAGGAATGGAGCTATGATTACTAACTCTTTCATTCCTGAATTGAATAACCATGATGTCCAGGAGATGTGGTTTCAACAAGACGGCGCAACATGTCACACAGCTCGTGGCACAATCGATTTATTGGAAGACACGTTTGATGACCGCCTAATTTCACGTTTTGGACCTGTGAATTGGCCTCCAAGATCTTGTGATTTAACACCGCTAGACTACTTTCTGTGGGGCTATGTAAAGTCATTGATCTCGGCGGATAAGCCACAAACGCTTGGCCACTTGGAAGACAACATTCGCCGTGTTATTGCCGATATACTGCCACAAATGTTGGAAAAAGTCATCGAAAATTGGACGTCCCGATTGGACTACATCCGCGCCAGCCGTGGCGGTCATATGCCAGAAATCATATTTAAAATGTACACAAGATTATCTTTCGGATGAATAAAATTCATGTCAATCGAATAATCCATCGTTGTTTTATTGCAGCTTAAAGTTCTATACATCGAAAAAAAACACCCCTTATATATTCTATCCATTTAACTAGCTGGTTGTTAGTTAATGTTTTTTTTTGCTCCACATATTTTTCGAAAATCTATAAAGGGCACTATATAGATTTTCGAAAAATATGTTTACTTATATTACTATTGCATTTAGTAATAGATTTTCTAACGATATACAGGGTGTTTGCAAAAAAACGTTTCCCTAATTTTTAAGGTAAATAGAATAATAAAAAATTACGTTACTTGATAGAGTTGAAATTTAAGTTAAAAATAATTTACAATATTTTTACTTTTTAGATGTTTCGCAAAGAATCAATATCAATTAATCATTAACTATTTAAAGTGATTAATTAATTTGTTCAGCCTTACTTGTTAAAACCCCGGTGAGCTGCAAAGAATATCCCCACAATTAAACCGTTGGGGGCAAAATAAGTGGCACTAAAACATGTAGCGACGCTACTGTACAAAATATTCAAATTCTGTTGTAACTTTATAACTCAAAGATATTTGTGGTTGAAATTTCATTTGCGGATCTTTGATAATGTTTGTCTTGTATATTCTATCCAATTTTTTTGAACTAGCTTTTTGTTATAATAGTAGGCCTTTTCCTGTTTTTTTCTCATTTATATTTTTTATACCAACTATGATGTTTATTATTATCGTTATAATATTTTCTAGAGTCAATTGAATAAACAAAAATTACCTTGGTTGATAGGGCCAACATTTATGTTCGAAAAAATTTACAATATTTTTATTTCGTAGTTCGCTAGCCACGCTACTGTACGAAATATTCAAATTTTGTTGTTCTGTTCTTTTATGACTTTGACTTTATGACTCAGAGATTTAGGGATCTTTTATAATGTTTGTTCTATCCACTTTTTTAAAACTAGTTTTTTGCAGCAATAGTGGCCTCTTTCATGTTTTTTCACATTTATGTTTATGAAAAATATCGTGGCAGAAAAAAATTAAAGTATCCCACAAATAAATGTTTGGAGGGGGGTGGGGGAGGCAAAATAAGTGGCACGTGATCCTTTAGCGGCATTACTTTTCAAAATATTTAAATTAAGTAGTAACTTTTATGAGCTAATCAAAGCTATTTGTAATCCACATGTGAACCTAACAAGAAATAATGAAATAGAAAACGATCACGGTCATTTCAGAGGCCGTATCTCCGAAAGTGCCATTTAGGACAAATTAATGTAATTTTTAATCTTTTATTTACACGGTAAAAATCAGTTACGATTATTTACGCCATTTTGGTTGTATTTGCCAAGTAAGAAGTTTCTTTTGAGTTAGATATATTAACTTTCAATAGGTATGATTTAACCATATTAAAATTAAAAAAAAATGTTTAATAAATGAAATTGGTTAAAAATGCTCCTCAAACTAAAATTTCTAGAGACAATTATTAACAACAGAACCTACAGAGCACCATAAATTTGATATACCCGGTACATTTATGAACCAACCGCACTCACGGCATGGTGGTAATCTGCGAGCGCTTCTACGCCTTTCGAGGGTGCATTATTCATGATTCGCGCCTGACATCCATTAATTCCATTGTTTTTTCCAGCAACCGCGACTGGTAGGGTTGAAGCCACGAGCTGCGAAGCAGCGGCGGCTGCTGCGGCATTAGAAGATGGCGGCACGGTTGTGGAAACGAGCCTGAAACTGCTGACTGGCACTTGGATATCGGAAGGGTGAGCAATTTTATCAGCCTGATAAGAAATCAGTGCAGTGCAGTCTATGCTTACAGCTCCAAATAGTACTTGCTGGTGATTGAATTCACATTTCACCATCACTCGTTTAGAGATTTAGCTCTTACATGCCTGAATATTGGGGATCATCTTAATGGCGACTGAGCTGAACTGTCTAACATTTTAAATGACCTTAGATTTAACCAAACAGTCGTTTTCAGTTGTTGCCAAAACTCTTTAGTACAATCTTTTATGGAGTGAATTATGGTTATTGAGTTCAGTAACAATTTAAACATATCTCGTTCAACGCCTACTGAGGTTTTGAGGTTACTCCAAAAAAAAAAAAACGGAGTCTGCAGAGACTATTGTGTGAAAGAGATATAGACTAATTCCTTAGATAATGGAGAGGTAGTGTTAAAAACAAAATATATTTTTTCTACTCCCGTCTAATTACACACCATTCTAGCGTGCGGGAAGCGTCACTTTACCAAGTCAATTTTGTTTCCCACGGATCCGAGCCACGAGCCACGAGCAATTCTGGAATTTTATCGCGCGGGTTTGGCAGCAATCGGATGTCTTCGGAGATATTTCCCACGCCTTGAATTTTGACGTTTATAAATTCTGACGGTCATGTCAGTGAATGTATTGTTTTGCGTAAATATACCCAAAAACTAAAGGTCATACAAATAGTATAGCTCGGTAAACTTTTTTTCTACTCCCGTCTGTAAAATACCTAATTACCCACCGATCTAGCGTGCGGGAAGCGTCACTTTACCACGTCAGTATCCTTTCCCACGAATCCGAGCCGCTTCGGACATTTTCGGGATTTTACCGCACGGATTTGGGGGCAATCAGATGTTTTCCACGCTTTGAATTTTGACGTCTGTCAATTCTGACGGTCATGTCAGTGAATGTATTCGTGTTATTTTACGAAAATCTACCCAAAAACTAACGGTCGTAGAAAAAGTATAGTATGCAACACGTTCGGTAAACTTTTTAAGTCACTCGTTTATTATACACTCGCTCCGCTCGTGTCAAATAAACTGGTGAGTCAAATGCCGTTTACCGCACTTGTTGTATAATATACTATTGTTGTCAAAATGAAGCCACGTCGATTTAAAATTTTTTCCTAGCACACTCTTGAAGTAATGGTAGTCTTGGGTAGTTTAAATTTCCTCATACTTTAGTTTTCGTCCTAGATTATTTTAATTTTTTAATTGTGGTGGCATCGCGTTTGTATCCACTCTATAGCTGTTTGGTTGATGATTTCATTTCGTTTGCATAAAATCTTCACAGGTAACTCGCAAGTGGCGCGTCACTTGAATGTATAGCTATAAAAATGGTTTCTAAGGAAACACTGTAAATTGGTTTATGATATTTTCAAAATACATCTATCCGTCTTTCACTAAACACTCCTAGAATTCAGTGATCCATGCATGTGACGTTTCTGTTTGTAGAGGTAGAAACATAATATTTATAATTTTCTTCAATGTTGAACATCTTTATTCGTCAATTATCACGTCCAGTCCCAACACACTTTTTTGAGCAACCGGTCTGTTGAAACTTTTTAGTGAAGCACTTGCACTACAGTCTTACTGTTTCTGATTGTTGCCGTCTTTTTATTCTGATGTGCAGTACCCACAGAATTTGTTGTATTGCTCAATATCTTCTTATTGAATCTTGAGGATTTTATAGCAGCACTCCCAATCAATAGTCGCCCCAGGTCATATAGACCTTTTTGATAGAATTTAACCGTAGATGTGCTTGACCTACCAGAATTGCCAATCTTCGAAGCTACCGGATCGGTTTTTGAAAGCTTCTAGCCGCAAAATTTACATCGGCATTCCGCCTGTCGGATAAATCTCTCCGCTGGGCCTTTTTGAATTCCAAATGGGGGACATTCTCGTCGTGAATCGAATACGGTGTGGCAGTTCGAAGCGATCCGATTCAGCTGTCAGTCTGGCAACTTTGTCGAAACCGAGAAGATTTCGGCGACCGAAAAAATACGCGAAACCCATATTATCCTCGCTTACGAATATAATTCTATTTCTGAAGTTCGGTTTGTTTTCATAATTTTATCAGGCGTCATAATCCGGAATCCGACAATCCAAATAAACCCGACTGGTTCGTGGGCCTCGTTATAGTAGCGTTAAAACCGCGAGTGTATATTTGATTTGAATCGAAGACGCGTAAATGTTTTGACGGAGGTGTTTTTTTTCGAAATTTTGTCGCGTCTCGTCCCAAAATCGGTAATTACTGATTTTCACAAAATCATCCTACCTGATAAGATTAACATCTGGAAATCCACAGCTATGATAAAAGTAGTAATCGAAATAAGATTCAAAGATTAACAGGTGGAAACATATATTGTAGACTTAGTAACATTTTTCGAAAGTCGAAAGAAAACACAACATTTCCTGAAGCTACTTTAATTACTCATAATAATTAAAATTTGAAATTTTCATGGTATCTTGCTTGTTTCCGCTTTCGAATACGAGAAAACGGATTTCATTGCCTCATTTACCACAAACCACACACAGCAAAAGCTCTTGACGGAGATACGAAGAATGCTTTAACTATCACTATAACTATACCATCACAATTAGGTAGACTATGTTGATCGGCGTTCAAGGGTAAATAACAAATAATACTTAGTACTACTACAAAATGTTTAAGGTCATTTTCTTGTCTGGGTGTTTTGCAGAGCTAGCTTTAAAAACTCTTACTTTCCTGTGCTTGTATTCAGCACAAGTAAGCAAATGAGCAAACTTACCTTGAGTTTGCAATCTTACTTCCATATTTCTTCTAGATTGTAAGGAAAAAGGGCCAGTTTGAGTTGGATTTACACCAATTTTGCTAATATTGTTAGTAAAATATACAATATAGTAACAAAATAGTGTAAATAATAAATATTGATGAATAAATATATGATACTGCATAACGTTCTATTGTAGAATATTAATGCCTTATGAGGGGGGGGGGGGCAGGGGGCACTAGTGGCTCCTTTTATTCTACTTTAAAATTTGTGAAATCCAAACACCGATCAGTATTAACTAACGAGCATCTCAAAGAACAAGTGTTTTCATCAATTATTCACCAAATTTTCAGTAATTATGAAGAGAAATCAAATAAATGTGTTTAAATTTAACATTTCAATTCGATACACATATTTTGTAGTTTTATTTATGTTTTCCATAAATTGAATTTTCGTAAAAAAAATAAACCTTCTATTTGAAATTTCGAAAAATGACTGATAAGGAATGAGTATTTTCTCTTTAACAAAAGTTTTGTTTTGTTTTCTGAAATACATAAAACATGAACTTAATAACATTGGGGCAGTAGCGGCGGCATAACGTCGGACTAAGCCTCAAAATAAAAAACTTTTATTCTTATACATACCCCCGGAATACGCCTATGGGCGACCTCTAATTCAACCCGCATAGGATTAAATTCCATTTTCCTTACTTTGCCTTTCCGAGAAAAAAATTGCAACCAATTTAAATTGTCACACTGATAAAGGGGAAATCACTCGATAACATTTTTTCCGGATTAATCGCCATCAATTTGCAACAAAAAAATCGATCATTACTCGACCAAAAAAAAAAAAAAACCTTACGACTATCAACTGTAGGACATCAAATTAATATCCGCGGTTAATTGATCTGTCGTACCGCACGCAACCTCAGTTAATGACATTTAACGATCTTGCCAAAAGTGCAACGCCGTTACGCGATTTGATAATTTCACTCGATCTCTCGATCCCTCGATTCTGTCGATCGTCACCATTTCTCTCTTTTAACTAATTAACTAGTAAAGCTAACTTTAATTATACGTTATACATACCTACAATAACTAATTATATTAACGCCGATATATTTCTTTTTTAATATTTTAAAACAAAATGAAATAGGTCTATTAATTTTTTCACAAACTGCATGAAGTAATCTTTCCGCATTGATTTTAACTCATAACTGGCCGCTAAAAATTCTTAATCGAACAGCCTCAGAACCGGGCCCTGTTTGCATTTCGAACGTTTGAATACCGGCATTATACGCTGCAATACAAAGCGAAAATTTATATCATGTATTATGTTTAATTAATACTATTGATTCTTTAAGGGTTAAAAAAGAGTAAAGCAACGTTTATTCATATAAAACTAAACTAACTAAATAAAACAAACAATTCAAACAATTATTCGGACCAAAAAGTATCTACTTTGAAAATTAGATTTCTAATATATATTTTTTTTAATGTAGTAGTCCTACAACACATAGAAGAATTTCACAATATCCGCACCTAAAGCAAGTTTCTCTCCTTATCCCGTGAATTTTGCAAACTGCACCGTTTCTGTGGAATTTTTAAGTTTTGCAAGCCTATGTGTTTTTATATCTCCTGAAAGCCTACTTGGTGGATCTTCACGAGAAGCTCTTTTTGATGGACCTTCACAAACTTCTGCTTCTAAACCCACATTTTCCTGATTTTCGACCAAACTCCTAGCAACTTCTAGTAAATAAGAGGTAAATTTTATTTTCCTTGCCGGGTTCATTCAACATAAACATAAAAGCCTTTTTTGTCCATTTGAGACTTTTTCTTATAATAGGATTATAAGAAAGGTATTGATCTGGCAAATCGACATCGTTGTCGTTCTTGTCAAAACACTTAATTTTTTTTATATCCTGAGGTAACCCACGATTTTCTCTAATTGTACCACACATTCTTATCTTCCTGGAAAGCAAATGCTCTGCTAATTCAACACTATTATAATAGTTATCCATGTAAACCTGGTACCAAATATTTTTATATATATCTAAAAGATTATTTACGAGATTTTGCAACTTTTGTCCACTTCCGTTGTAGAATTTAAAGTTCGTTATGTATGTATAACATAACATTCTGACAAGCATACCACACTCAGTTATCTTGCCTGGGTTGTAGACTCGGAAACTTAAACGGCCTCTGTGAGGAGGTATCATTGCCTCATCCAATGAAAGGTTTTGTTTGAGTTTATAAAGTGTGCCAAATGTATTTAAAAAATATTCTGTTATTGGTTCAATTTTGAAGATCCGATCTGCGTTTTCTGGCGTTTCATCATTATTACAAAAATTGTAATATTTGTCTAAACCTATTTCGAGGCATAGCTTTGCCAAAAATTGGTGTTTCAATATGTAGATCAGACCAATAATCGTTTATACTACTTTCTCTTACCTACCCCATCAAAATATTCAAATCAAGAAACTTCTTCGTTTCGGCTATTGTTGGTATCTGTCCATTGCTCAATCTTTTTCACGGATTTATATTTGTGAATATTGTGCATATGATACCCGTTTGTTTCCTTTACTAATAATTTAAAAAAGTCATCGCAAATAAACAAGTGTATCTTGTATATTTTCAGGATTTTTTGGAAACACTTCAACACCATCATTTCACAAAAATGTATTTACATTTATATCACTATCATTTTAGGACCAGTGTGTAGTTGTATTGTTCTCGTTTTCAAACTCTGCCATCGGAATCGCTGATCTCAGAATCGCTTACAATAGGTAAAACCTTTCTTTTAGTATTGATTGCAATGTCTGAATCATCGCTCTCATATGTATCATTTTCATCCCCAGATAATATATCAGCATAAAACTCATTAGTATCATTGCAAATATTGTTCCATTCAAAATCGTCTTCTTCCATTCTAAAGCAGATTAAATAATAAATTAATCTATATTTATTTAAAAACTGATAAAAAACCACTTATTCTATCAAAAAACGTACTACTGGATTTTAAATAAAAAAGGACGTATTATTACTTCAGCTGCTACTGGATTTCAAACAAAAAATAACGTATTATTACGTCAGCGGCTACTGAATTTCGGACAAAAAATAACGTATTAATACGTCAGCGGCCAGTAATGAGTTAATGTAATGAAACGAGAATAAATCGCGAAATTCACGCATCACGTACCATACAAAAATTGCACTAAACTAGTTTATGTTAATATCTGCGAAAACAATTGCAGATTTTCACAAATTATAGGAGATCTCTGGAAATTAAAACGGTACTACTTAACGACGCGTAGTGTTCGGTTTCCATAACTGCACGGACATGCGCAAGGCGGTGCGTCTCACCACTGTCATTTGCGGACATTGATTTCAATGTTGTGGAGGGAATACGTCAAGCTGCATCCACCTAAAATATATTTTTAAATACGTAACGAAAGTGACATAATATTATTCCAGACAATCGTAGTTTCCATGAAAATGACTTCAGACTCGGGTAACAACCTTTTACCGGCTTCTTTTTATGTGTTTAGTATAAGTCGCCTTTGAATTCCTTTCCATAGCAATGAACATGCTATATGTAGCTAAGTTCCAATACGACAATTACATTTCTAAAAAGGAGTTTGAAGACTATAAATTGTTTCATTGCATATTTATCAGAAAAGTTAAATTTATCATCTTTAACATGAATAAGTAATTGACGAAGCAAATAAATCAAGAGTATTAGATAAAACGAACATTGATAAATTCTTAGTAGGAGCACATGATCAACATGTCAACAAAAAGAAATTACTAATAAATTAAAAGCAGAAAAAGCTGACAAAAAACTGTTTCAAACACCAAAACTAAATTTATACCAAAAGTAAATACGCGTACGCCCAGCCAATGTTCGTTATCGACAGCTCTTTATTCATTACAATGAAACGCAGAAATTGTATTGCCACCTCATGTTAATTTAAGTGGTTCCAAAAGTCTCACAACAAATAATTTCGAAATACCTTGCTTGCAAATACATAATGTTCATGGTCGTTAACATCAATATTAATATTCAAAAATATTGTTTACGTTTTTTTTTACTAAACACTGATTTCAGATTATTAGAAAGTACTGAACAAGTTAATAAAGATTTCGTATACAAATTTTATTATTTGTCGATAGTACAATGAAACGGTTAAACAATTTTTTTTTCTCAGTAAAATGACACTTTCGGGTCTTGCTACGTAAACGACATACTACACTATTTCATATTAATACCAGCGAAAACAATTGGGGAGTTTCACATATTATATATAGGAAGTATTCGGAAATTAAAACGGTACTATTTAACGGTGAGTCTCTCGACTGTCATTCGCAAACACTGATTTCAATATTGGGGAGGAATACGTCAAGCGTGTGGAAACTCTAGGGAATCTCTCATTTTTTATTAATTCTTTTGCTTTTGAGTTTTTAGTATGGGAAAATATATTAATATCCAATTTACCAATTATTTAAATTATTTGTCTGTGAATTTTAATTTCACTTTCTGGATAAATTGACTTGGCTTCCCTGGTTGCATAACTAGTAGGTCTTGTCGGGTCTCTCTAGCGTATTAAGTCATTGCGACGGACTGGTATTCAGGATCGCCGAAAAACACACAAACAATTATAAAGCAACTCAATTTTAATTTTCAATCAACCGCCGGTAGGTAGAAACCGCCGCTGACCGTTCACAGATCGAACGGATTGCGAGTTTGGCGCAGTCGTGGTGGATATAAATAAAACCGCGCTGTCACACACCAAATTCTAACCAGAATTATTAAACGAGGGTCCATCTAAGCAGGTACGCGGCTCGTATCGTCGTATTTCATAAACGACAGGGGGTTAAACAAACACGCGGCCATCTATACCGCCTACTGCGATCCGAAAAACGACCAAGAATGAAACGGGACCGCGACGTACGACCCTGAAGGTTTTTTTTTTAAATCGAAATATTAGTCAAACTGCTGACTCGATTTGGGTTTATGTTTTTTGAATTTTAGTTTAAATCTCTAGAAATGATCTTATAAAAAACAGTTCTGTAAAATGCTTCGTTTCAGTGTGTTGAAATATTGCGAAAGAAATCGTTTTCTTTCCAAAAAATCTCTTCCAGATTTTACTTAAAAAAATAGCCACTAAAAACAAATTTAGAACATAGAAAAACTTTTTTTTGTTTTGTTTGTTTGTTGCGGCGTTCGTGAGACCCTGTTAATTAATAGAAAAAGTGGTACTCCAATTAGGTGCACATGCAAACGAAAAGGGTTATTTTTATTCAAAATTGATGACGGTAAAATTTATTAACAAAATTGCGATAAACCATTCGTGCACCGATTTTTGATTATTAATTCAAATTGTCTCGCGAACGCCACTATAGCAGGATCTAGAGGAGATTTTTAAAAGATGGGATAAAACGATTTTCTCCCAATATTTCAACAGCGCAATAAATTATTTTATGCCATAAGTTTATATGAACATTTTTTACTTATTTTTATCTGTTGAATAGGCTGTTAAAGTTTCTCCACTATAATTCTGTCCACCCTGTATATTGAAGCCGCAAATCAGCGAGAAAATTAACCTTGGAGTTGACCCAAGTTTTAGTGGTACAGACCATTCTTTATGTGATTAAAAAAATACATCGATTTTTATAAACACCTTTATAATCTCCTAGCTTAGTTTCTCGGAAAAGTGATTTTTTATTATTTCCAACGTCCACAGCTGCGAGACCCGTCCCGGTCCAGAGTACGTCATACGTTCCTACTCATTCAGCGACGATGGTAGATATCTGCTCACCCAACACCATTATTGGGACGACTCTTGTTCAAGTCCTCAGCTGACGATTACGTCCCACGGCAAAATCCAGATGAAGAGCTCGTTGGTGCAGCCAGGAGCAGCGGCGGGGGTTTTCAGGGTTACCAACATCACCGTCATCCCGCAGGATGAGAACGCAGCGAGGAGACTGGACCGGACCGTCTCCGTCGAGTGTCCAGGTAAGAGAATCGATCGCCAGAACGACTTGAGGGTCATGTCACAATGTCATGTTTTAAAATGATTGCACTTCTGGTTATACCTGAACTGAGACGTCAATTGGCACATTTCGCAAAAGACATAGCAATTTGGTGAAAATTTCGTCACATAGTGTTTCGACTTTCATTTATCGATCTGTTAAGGACGCAGTTTTGCCGCTTAAATTATAGCCGTCTTAAATTGGCATCATTGTTTCATTCCAGGATGGGCTTCTTCTTTCCTTTATATAAGGTGGTATCTACTGCAATAATCTTTAATTATTCTTTAATCTTAATTAATCATTTGGAGAAGGTGCCTAAACCATTTGAAGCTTCTCTTCTATCAAAATAAATAAGAACTAAAAGTTCAGATTTTCACGAAATTATATATTTTGACATGACAATTGTTTCGACAACACATTTGATAAAGACACGGTGTTGCCGAAACAATTGTCATGTCAAAATATATAATTTCGTGAAAATCTGAACTTTTAGTTCTTATTTATTCTGATAAATGTATTTTCATCAAGTAAAAGCCTGCTCAGTTCAATTTCTTTTCTATTCTTGCGATTACGGTTTTATTTGCTCTCATGGCTAGTCTTCCTTCACATGTTCAAAGAAATCTGGATCTTTTTGCACTAGAATGTACTGCCATTACTCTTTGCTTTAGGTCAACTTCCACAATCTATACCTGCGATCCATAGAGCAGCAACCAACCAATGCTTTAACAAACGCTTTTTAGTCTTGAGAGACGTCAATTTCACCACAGCTCGCTGGGAAATAAGTTTTGTACATCACAAAACAATAGTGTTGCGTTAGAAGGGATTTTGATATCTAACGCAACTCTATTGTCTTTTGATGTACAAAACTTATTTCCCAGTATTCCACCTACGGATGTGATAGATTTAGTAGATTTCACCCTAACTCGGAAACAGGTTGACCCATTGGTGAAACAAGATTTATTAGATTGCTCAACAGTATCTTTAGACCAAAATTATTTTGAATTTAATGGACAGATTTATATCTCTAAGGAAGGTTTGATTATGGGAAAGGCACTTGGTCCTTTGTTAGCCGATATTTTTATGGATAATTTGGAAAATATCATACTAGAACATCCTTTAAGTAAAAGTTTTCTATGGAGGTATATAGATATGTGGATGATTTCTTTGATTGCTTTGTTGGAACGGACAGACAATTGAATTCTTTTTTAAATTATATTAACTCATTACATAATCGTATAATATTCACTATCGAGATTGAACAGGATAACTCTATTAATTTTTTAGACTTAACTATTACGAAAACGCAATACAAATTAGGTTGTTCCATTTATCATAAACCTTCACAAACGGACTCAGGCATACATAACGGCTCAAATCACCCTTATAAACACAAAATGGCTGCATTTCACTGTTTTATACACAGACTTCTTAATACGCCACTCTCAACAGAAAATTACAACAGAGAACTTAATATCATTAAACAAATTGCACTGAACCACGGCTACCATCCGTCCATTATAGATAAAATTATAAGTAAAAAAAAAACAAATCCAGACAACAGTAAACTCTATTTATCCGAAACCTAATACAGAACATGAACAATTTAAAACAATTACATACATAGGAGAACCCAGTGAAAAAGTTTCAAAATATTTGTCAAAATGTGGTTTAAAAATAGCTTTCAGAACTAACAACACAATAGGAAAATTTTTAAAAAACAAAAAAACGAAAATTAAAAATTAAATTTATTGGAAGCCATGGAGATTGACAAAATGAGACATTCAAATGTATTGCTTAACGATCAATTAGATTTAATTAGCTCTCCTTTATTGAACTTAAATTCTCACAGCAACATTAATTAAGGTCTTATTGTCATTTTTTGGTATATATAGTAGCAGGTAGTTTGTAAATATTAGATTTGATATAGACACGGTGTTGTCGAAACAATTGTCATGTGAAAATATATAATTTCGTGAAAGTCTGAAATTTTAGTTCTTATTTATTTTGTTAAATGGATTTTCATCAAGTAAAAGCCACCTCAGTTCCATACTAGCACCACGGTATTCAAAAATACCCTCCTGATTGATGTTCGCTTTATCATCTACATAGACTTCGAAGTTGGTTTGCATTTCCATAGAGGCTTTTGACCGTACACTTTAAATCGTAAACATCCTTGTAGGTACGCCTATACCTTGAAACTCTCTTTTCCAACTTCTTAACGCTATTTCAATTTATATATTGAATAAGAAAGAAGGCAGACTGTTCAATGCTTTTGTTTTACATTTTATGAAAATCCAGACACCTGCGTTGCTTTTCGCCTATCCCCTTTAGCAAGGTGGAGTTTCCTTTTAGAATTGACCTAATTGGGCCTCCCAGTACAGCGACGCAATGAAAATTGCATCAACTGATCGATACAAAATCTATAGGCATGCATTTCAGCAGTTTTGTGAAAAATTGCCAAGCGAGAAATTCAAAAACATTGCCCCCTCCAAGTGTACGCTAATGGAAAGCGACTTCCTGGGATATCGATATAATAATCGATTAGAATAAATCGTTTTTAATGGGCATATATTGAACCTGGTATAAGCGTCCACTTTGTAAACTCCTGTAATACGTGAAAAACATTAATATTAATTAATTCATTAATTGCCGATGTTTCTATTTCTATCGCGACCATTGATGGATTTTCTCGCAATATGCGTGGGTTTTCGTTTACACGAAGTCTTAATATGCTCCGACTCCGATCAATATTCATGACCCGTGAATTTTTTATTTTCGCTTAATATTCATCGCTGCTTCACAGAATGGGAAATACGGACATTCGTTATTCCATACACGAACCACTTAAAAACATTACATTATGTAATTGTTGGCGTCAGTGATCTTTCGGGCTTCCCCCGCCCTTCCGTCGAAGCCAACGACCTCTATAATTGAGCCATTTCGACGAGTAAGTCAAACCTGGTACGTTTCAGGTCAATATTGGAAATCGTGGCGCAAATACGAAGAACATACCGTCTACGACAACCGCTATGACGAGAAAAAGAAAACGTTCAACCTCTGGATGTCGTCGTACAACGCCAACAGCCACCATTCGATCAACAGCAAAGGTAGCAACGTCCACTTCAGCGACATCTCGTGTCTCGGCTCGCTGAAGTGGGCTTTCAACGAGCTGAAGCTGCTGAAGGTCCAGCTCAGGCCTCTGCCGGACCAAGCGAAGAAGCGTCCGAAAGAGGTGAAGATGGAACTCCTGCTTGGCGACATCCATTCGAGCTACAAGCTACGGCAGTATTACAACCCGACTAGTTTTCAAGTGCCTCTCGTGAAGCAAGTCAAAGAACCCAGCACGATCTTCGTCAATCGACATTCGTATCTGGTGCGCAACACTCAAGCGATACCGGTCAACATGTTCAGCAACAGCATGACTCCTCCCCATCTAATCGAGAAACCTCATCTGCCTCCATACATCTGGGGCGACTGGACTTCTACGAGATGCGAGTCTAGACCGATGAACTTGTACCTCACCAGAAGGTTCTCGTTCTATTCCGAAGACGACACATGGATCGGTGAGCACAAATTCTACTCCGACCCGTTCTGCAAGATACCGAAGTTCACCGTCACCGCTGCCGGTCACTATAAGCTCGTTGGAGGCAATAGGGAGATCAAAGGAACTAGCGATATAGACTTCCACAGGGAGAGAGCGAGCCTGACGGTCTTGGATCAGAGGATGATCGACGAAATGAGGTTGCCAGAACTGTGTGGCGACGACGAGTGGCAAGTCGATGTTCCGAAGGAGATGGCGTCCAACGGAGGTTGCATCCAATTGGGAATGATGTTGCCCAGCACTCAACGCGATATTGTGAAGCTCGAGATGGACTACAGGGGAGCGTGGTTGCTGTATCTGGGTCAGGTGGATACGGACAACCTACAGTCCGCTCAGGAGGAGCACCAAAGGCCCTCGGCCTTCCAATTGCCGTTGGTGAAGTGCGGCGAGACCCCCGGTTTTTCCTTGGGTCTCAGGGAGATTTTAAGCGACGCCGTTAATTTTAATACGGGCGGCGATCGGAAAGTGACGCCCGTTTGGACGGTGGCCGTTATCGTGATATTATACTTTAGGTGATAGTAATTGTTAGGTCGTGTAAATAATTTTAGACGTAAGTTGTACATTTTAACGAAGAGGGACAATTTTACCAGTGATATGTAAATAGACTATTAATGTAAATATATGCGCGCATTCAAATAAAGTAATCGACTTGTAGTTTCATGATTAATCTGTGGTTTCGCGAATTCAGGCGTGAAAACCGAGGCAGGAGTCTGAATCAGTGCTAGCCTGACCTGTGGTACGCTCCCGGGGTAAGTACCGAAATAATCTCTGAAACCTTTGATTTTTTTATGAAAGAAGGTGCGTTTTTTTTTTAATATTCTCACTGAAACAGAATTCAAAAGGAACATGTCTTGTGCATTTTTTTTTAAATGATACAATAAATATGAAAAAAAAAACGGATTTAGTTAATATTTGTTTTTAAAGGTTCTTTGTCTTAAATTTTCGGCACTTAATTTAAGTTTAATTAATTCTACTTTAATCGAAAATGTAGTTGACAAGTAAAGGTATTTTGAATATCGATAATCCTAAAATTAAAAACAAGCGAAATAGGAATGTTTAACGTTTGAAGTGCTGCTTTCAATCCAAAACTGTATTAATTTTTGTGTTTTCTGTATTAAATTATATTGAAATACAGTTTTTGTAATTTTTCGGGTTAAATTGCCAAACACCTACAATTTTTGAAAAAAAAATGTTCCTTGGAATTTTTTATAAGAATATTTGGGAGGTGAATATTTTTTCGACCTCTGTGCGTTACTTGCGATAAAGAAATGAGCGTTTTGTGTAGGCGGAATCAGTAATTCACTTACAGTATTTAATTTTTTTCCCAGTCCAAATTTAATGTCCCATAGTGATCGCGAATTAACGTAGCAAGGGATTCATCCTTTTTGTGTTTTTTTCTGAAATTCGATATTTGACATATGCGACCTTCTTAAGTAGAGTGCTTTGGGCTGAGTAGTTATAGAGTAACGTAAATTAAAAAAGAAAGGAGATTTAGAGAGTTCCAATATATTTTGAGCTGTCGGATGTTGCCGCATCTTCAAAAAAATAGCGGAAATATTGATTTCTAGTAATTTTTATACAGCAATCAATTATTTTCCCTAACAATGATATATCATTTTAAGTAGTTTTTAATTCAACTAATGTCGACATTCTTATAAATGTTCATTCTCCGTTCTAATCTTATAGAATAACAAAAAAATGTGTACCGTTTTTAAGTAGCAATACAAACTGCTTACTAAATATAAAGGTACCAAAATTATGAGAGATTTTGTTACACGGAAAAAGAAAATATAATACTCTAACAGATTAAAATTAAATAACTCTAAAGAAATGCGGTTTACTCTAAGAGAATAAGATCTGTTAACTACTAACAAATATTTATGTAATATATTTTATGTTATTAATAATATAATAAAATCGTTGACGAGTTCAACAGCCACCAAAAGAAGTCGGAATATTTGAAATTATTAATAATATTAAAACCAACGCTACCGGAATATTAATATTAACATTCTAACCACTATGCTCTTTTCACCATATTTATATCATAAACTTCGGTCTAGAAAAATCGCTAACGAATGAAAAGGGGCGCGAATTCTGCAACTACCAAAACTTCAGCCTATAAGTATTCTACCAACATTTTCAAAGAAAACACTTGAAAAGATTTAGCCCTGTAACTGCCGCAAGTTGATTGTGTTAGTTTTGTTAAATTATTCTAAAGCGTTGAATACAATTAATCACCCATTCTCAACCGTGAGCAGGTGGCAGAATACAAATTTTTACAAATATCCTCTGGAGTCTATTTTGGGATCACTGTTATTATATATCGCAATTCTTAAAAGTCTTTTTATCGTGTCTGCATGACTTTTATGCAGATGATATTCATTTCTGACCGATGAAGCCAACCAGGCTATTTCTGCTTTGTAAGCTTATAAGCTCATAATATTTCGTAAAAATCATTGTCTCAACCTCAATGCCGACAAAACTACAGCAATAGATTTTTGGTAGAAAATGAGACAGAATAAAATTTGTGCAAACCTACAATAATGATCTAAATATAGAAGTACACTTTAAAGATCAAATAAAAAAAATTAGGGTTGTTGATGGATTCAGAGCTGAGACTGACGCCACTTTCTAAAACATACATAAATTTAAAATTGATGTTGCAACATAGACATGTTTTCAACACGTTGATCACACTCTAGTTCAACACAAGTGGTTAAATATGCAAAATAGGCGTCTTTTACATTCCGCAACTATCTTTTTCATACAATACGCCACAGTATCTATATAACAGATTTAGCTTTCGGACGGACGTACATAACATCAATATTAGGTTTAAAGGTACCCTTATTGCTCCAGCTCACTCAACTGAAATTAATTTAATTTATTGATTAATATTTAATAATCTACCAAATGAAGTTAAAATATTGAAGACCAAATATACTTTCAAGATGCAGCTGTTATTAGAACAATAATTCTTTTTTTTAAACTGTTGGTTTTTAAATTTTTTGTTAGCAAATTCTGTAAATACTTTTATCTACTTCCGTCTGTAAAATGCGTAATTACAAACCGATCTAGCGTGAGAGAAGCGTCACTTTACCACGTCAATTTCGTTTCCCACGGATTCGAGCCACTTCGGACATTTCCGGGATTTTACAGCACGGGTTTGGGAGCAATCGGATGTTTTCGTAGATATTTCCTACGCCTTGAATTTTGTGAGTGTATTCGTGTTGTTCGGTAAACTTTTTAACTCACTCGTTTATTAAACACTCGCTCCGCGTGTCAAATAGAACCGTAAGTCAAATACCGTTTACCACACTTGTTGCATAATATACTATTTTCTACTCCCTTCTGTAAAAAAGCGTCACTTCGCCAAGTGAGTTTCTTGTCGCTTCCGACATTTCCAGGATATTACCACAGGCTTTGTGAGCAATCGGATGTTTTCGACGATTTTACCGTAGAGCTTGAATTTTGACGTTTGTCAATTTTGACGATTATGTCAGTAAATGTATTGGTATTGTTTTGCGAAAATGTACCCACAAAGTAACGGTCGTAGAAACAGTACAGTATGCAACACGTTTGGTAAACTTGCCGTTTACCGCACTTGTTGCAAAATATACTATGATACTGTTTAAGATTGTCATATGGTACGTGCAATTCATTTTTCCTGTATATTTTTTACGCCTTGGCAGCTTCCCAGCGAACTAAGTGTTTGCTTAGGATCGGTTTTTTCCCTGCGCTTTTCCAGTAAAACCTCAAAAATCGTTGAAAACTGCGCCGCGAAGATGACGCACCGCGAAAATAATTACAGTGCATGTAAGTTAGCTCAATTTGCATACCGTATTGAATTACTTAATCGCCTCTAATGAGATTCTGCGGGCGACAGATACAATTGTCGGGTTTTCACCGATCGCGCAAAAAATGCAATAAATGTTCACGACGAACCTTTACACACACGCGCGCGTGTGTGTACGGCAAATCCACTTTTGCCACGGTATTTCACATACGCGGGAAATCACGTCGCATTTTTAGAAACCTCCCATCGCACAACAATTACAAAAACGATTTAAGGAATAGAGAAAAACTGATCGGAAACCATTTCCCCGAGACCGCCTGTTCGAGCGGTACCGAAAAGTGTTCAGTAGTTGTTGTTTTTTATTTATTTATTGTTTTTATTTTATTTATTTTACACTTGGAGGTAAGTTTGCGATGTTTTTGAGCGCTCTAGTCACAAGCGAGGCGAATTAGTGTATAGTCTGCTATCGGATTTTAAAAGTTGAGCAACTATATGTTTATTAACAATCAACAGTTTTTTTGACTTGTAGTTGAAGCAATAGTTTTTTCCTACAAAACCTACAAAAGTCATGAACTGTAGTTTTAGTGAAGAAGCTCTGAAAATTTCAAGTATATTTCAATGAATTTGAATATTCCTCGCACAATCGATTTTTTTTTTCGTTGTTAATTCGAAAAGTCGTGGGTGTGTGCGCAAATCAAAGTTCAAGATTAATTCTAGCAATTCCAAAAAATAAACCATAATATATAATTATCAAAGTTATTGTTATAAATAAATACAATCACCCATCGTACGAAGGTAATATTATTAAAAAATTATTCGAAAAATATCAGTCATCACGTCTCCAGTTATCGGCGTTTCTGTCTCATTGTTCTTAGATGAGTTTTTCTGTTTCTTTATAATAACAAAATGAACTCAAACTTTTAAAAATGATTTAAATAATTTAAAAGCGATGTTTGATAATTTTCGTTTCCTATATTACTAGAATATGCGTTAATTTCGTAGGACTTCGGGGCACTTAAAAAAAAAGTTATTAACAAATTAATTGTCCGGGAACTTTTTGAATGAATTTTTAGAGTCTCTTTATAGTTTGCTTATGCTTTAACTTATCGAAAAGGTGGAACTGTCCTCGCTATGGTGTTATGTAGGGTCCGTGGCGTTTTCGTCTGAAACTCACATATTGATATATATTATGTAAGTTTGTCTTTTTTCGTATATAACACATAAGCTATTTCACATATTAAATACGTATTCCTAATACAAGCCTATTATATCCAATTACCCATAATTGTCATATTTTGATTTAACACGTACCATAGTAACCATAGCAACTAAAGTGACCTATTCATAAAAAAAAATTTGCTTTACATTTGAAGTACCTCTTATGTGTTAAATATTTTTTTCTACACCAGCTTGTAAAATACCTAATTACACACCGATCTAGCATGCGAAAAGCGTCACTTTACCACACCAGTTACGTTTCCCACGGATCTGAGCCACTTCGGACATTTCCGGGCATTTTACCGCACGGGTTTGGGAGCAATCGGAAGTTTTCGGAGATATTTCCCACGCTTTTAATTTTGAGCATTGTCAGTGCTGACGGTCATGTCGGCGAACGGTCGTAAAAAAAGCATAGTATGCAACACGTTCGGTAAACTTTTAAGTCACTCGTGTATTAAACACTCGCTCTTCTCGTGTTAAATAAACTCGTGAGTAAAATGCCGTTTACCGCATAATATACTATTGACATATAGGGTGTTGTGTGCTGTTATGTATATTGAAATTTGGGAGTTTCAGAAAAAAACTGACTGCGCTACTGGATTCTACGTTGAAACCCTATATCTGGACTAGTATTTACCTTTTCCATAAGATAACGCATAACCGAGCTACAAAGTGTGTCTAAAAAGGCAACATTTTCAAAATAATTCTTAATGCCTACCATTTCCTGAAAACGTCTAGTATTGTCTAGTAAAATTATCAAAAATGGGACACATTGTATATTCTCTTTCTATTCGAAAAACTTGAGAATCGAAGTCTGGTTGAAATTTGCAGTCACTGGCCGGCCTACCACCCTGTATAATGAAAACTTTACCATTTAAAAAACGTCTGCAAAAACGTAGTGATGACGGATGTAAGGGCATTGGTGGATTTAAACACAGAACCGTCCTAAGCGCGATTTTTGAAAATACCCATTTTGACATTTAAAAACTAAAAAAATATTTATTTTCCCTCTGGCGTCCTCTAAATTTCACTTATTGAACCATTATCGTGACTGTTAAATTTGATGTATTTGTTTTTCCTATCATATTTTGTTTTCGCTATTGAAATGGCATAAACATTCTTGTACCGCACGCACACATGAACTTCGATCTAAATTTATCCCAGGAAAACCGCGAAACAACACTGAAACAAACAATAAAAATCCGATCGTCTCGCCCGGAAAAGTAACAATCCGTCTCCGCTAGCATCGCCATTATTGCGACAATTAAAAACGTATATACATTCGCAACCGTCTGGTAATTATTTATGATTAGACACAAACAAATATAATGATTCCACTGAAAACTAGTCCGGCGCTGATAAATTTTCAATTATTTTTATCGACTTATAGAAAACAGTACTACCACTTTTCTCGCCGCAGTCATCGAAACGATACCAAAAGCTCAGATAGCTCTCTTTCTGTCTCAGGCTCTAAAAGGTGTGCTTTATGTTGCAGACTGATTTTTTGGTGCGGTAGCCATACCCGTGTTGGATAGTACCGACGGAACAAATTTCACAACAAGGTAAGTCAAAGGAATGAAAGAAATCAAAAGTACTTAGCTCGCGATCACTTGGTGGCAGTGGTGTTACTCCCTCAGGTATCTATTTATGACCACCGGTCTGATTAGGTCTGATATTCAGGATAAACATTCTTCGTTGCATGTTGGTGAACTTTCTCACACTCATTTTCCAGTAATTAGCATCCACTATGGCCTTGTAATTTCCAAGGAATAAGTTCTCCATAATGCAGAGCCGTTCAATCACATCGCAGACCATAAGGTCAATCGGGTACACACATCTTGTGTCTTCGTTGTCCGTTAGTAGTCCCCAACTAGCGTGGTCGTCTTGCATCCTGGAACACCAACTCTCATTCTATTTAGGATCCTCCATACAGGATACGGTCATTGGCTTCTTCAAACAAATGTCTCGTGTATATTTCATGTGTTGTGAGCTACTTGGGTCCCTCGAAAATCATCTTCAAAACGACCAATAGTCAACCAGTAGCTTGATAAGGGCTATTTGGGTCTGATTTGGTCCATCATTTTCGTATCAGCCGCTTACAAAATTGGTCGTGTTTTTTGTTTCAATAATATGTGGGGCCTAGATTCCAATTACCGAAACTATACGAGAACTGAATCATGAAATACTGAATAACTAGGCATTTAGACATGCAACACTTTTACGATGGTTTAATGCTATACTCCACGCCGGTCTTTGATAAACATAATGCACATTCAAGGTGTTACTGTTTATTCAATAATCTATACACTTAAATGCTATTTTTGTTTTCGCCAAGGTTTTTTAATTGAGGTTTCGCTAGTATCTAATTGCGCGGTGAGCTAGGTATCAATTTGGTGTGTCTTTTATATCATTCCATCACTTTAGATGGAACCCGCGATCAGCAACTTGGAAGAAAATATCACCGCCAGCAGTTACATGCGCGACATTACCGAATTCAGACAGTTTTTCTCGTGGTACGACTACACCATATTCGCATCGATGCTAGCAGTGAGCGCCTCGATCGGCGTGTACTTCGGATGTTTCGGCAGAAAACAGAAGAGCAAAGAGTACTTCATGGGAGGGAAGAAAATGAAGGCGGTACCCGTCGCCATATCTCTAGTCGCTAGGTAACCTATATCATTTCCGAGCAAGCGCCATTTGTATTCGTGCACCTTTTTGCAGTCACACCTCAGGGTTTTCGCTGATAGCTATCCCAGCTGACGTATACGAGCACGGTGCGTCTCTACTGATCAGCATCATCTCGCTGGTGATCTTGGGCGCCATCATGGCCTACGTGTTCCTCCCAGTATTTTTCTCGCTGGAAATAACCAGCACCTACGAATACCTCGGCATGAGATTCGATCAAAGATGTCGCAAGTGGGCCTCGGCGTTGTACAGCCTCTCAGTGATCGTTTACTTGCCCATGATCATCTACGGTCCGGTCCTGTCGTTTGCCGCAGGTAGGTATCGGTTTTATTTTATAAATTAATATCGCATTTGTTTTTGAAATGAATGAAATCATAGATTTCAAATTGGTAGCAAAAATTGGTTCTGGAGTCCGAGTAATGGAAGATTTTCTGTCGAACGTTGTATTAAACATTGCGCGTTGTTTACCACTCAGAAGTTACGTTTCCACGTTTTTAATGTGATATTAAAATCTCGCGGTTTGGGATTTATGTTGCACTTTGCGTTCCACAACAAATTATTTATAATTTTTTTCGTGTTTTGTTGGAATCGCGGCTCGGATCTTTCCGCTTGTCGGTAAAAAACCAACAATTACGGGATATTTCTCTTTAAATTTGAAAAATGTTTAAATTTAAAAGCAGTAAAAATTACACCTCCTTAGTTGTAGCGACGGAATCGTATTTCTCTGAAATTTGAGGAGTGTCCCAGCAGTAATGACGTCACGAATTACCATTACTTGACCGATCTCTCAGATTTTAGTTTAGACTCCTGTTTATCCTTCAAAAAAGTTTCAAATAAACTTACCTTAAAGTCGAATATTTGTTCTATTAAGAAATTCGAGGGTTTAAACTTTTTCGTTTTTTTTTTTCAAAATCAAAGCTTGTGATCATTCTCGAGAATCTACTAGTTCTGAAAAACAATAAAGAATAACCGGAAATGAAAGGTGCAACATTTTCCCTTCCAATTCAACTGATTATTTGAAGCAGTTTTTTTTTAATTGGTCTTTTTTGAAACGATGCAAATAAAAAAAAATTCTAGCAAAATTTATTATTTTATTTCTAATAAATATCGTGGAACAATTCAGCGGGTATGCTTCCAAAAAAGAAAAAGGAAGTTGGTCTTCAGATGACCTTGAAGTTTATGTTTAAATACTGGTGTCTGAATTTAAGTTACTTTTATTTTAAAGTTTCTTATTAATATAAAAGCTACTACTACTACTTCCCTCAGAGCGTCTTAAATACTAAATATACCATACAAGAACCGCTTATTTTTGGATAAGAATGGTAAGATTTCCAGGCATGAGGTCTAATGATAAACACACAGGATTTACCGGAGGAGGCTCTATACTAAAAGCTAGAATCCCCTGTATATTGCTTGCGCAACTTAACGCAAAAAATTTTCTTGAAACTACGAAAAGTATAGGCACACCATAACCATATCTGAAGCCTTATATTTTTACATATGAATTTTAAGACCTTCTTGAGGTGTCACCAGGATCTTAGTTTGAACAACGGAATCAGCTGTTGGAAGACACCCTGTATATCATAAGTACTTGGGACACATGAGATCTTTTCAACAATTCCTCGTAAGCAAAATATCCTCCCATTTCAGTTACGGGGATTGGGGTCCACGTGTTGACTCCGATCGTATGCGGAGTCTGCATCTTCTACACCAGCCTCGGGGGTTTGAAAGCGGTCGTATGGACCGACGCGATCCAATTCGTCGCCACGGCGGGCACCATGGTGACGGTAGCCATCTTGGGGGTGAAATCCGCGGGCGGATTCTCCGAGGTTTGGCAAACCTCCTTGGACAACGGTCGGTTGGACATTTTCAAGTAAGTCCTGCTCAGTTTGGCCGCTCATGCGGTTACTAATTTCCACGCTCGCAGATTCGACCTCGACCCTACCAAAAGGGACACCTTCTGGACGATCGTCGTAGGGTTGACGATCCATTGGGCGTCGTACACGGCGACCGATCAAGACTACACGCAAAAGTTCTTAGCGGTGGCCACTTTCAAAGAGTCCGTAAGGACGGTGTTCATGTACTGCGGCGGCATGATCGTGGTGAAGATTATATGCGTGTTCACCGGACTGCTGATATTCACCAGATACTCAAAGTGCGACCCGTTGGCGAGCGGCGTAATCGATAAGAAGGACCAACTTCTCCCGTACTATGTACTCGACGTGGCAGGCCATATACCTGGCCTATCCGGTCTCTTCATCGCCGGAATCTTCAGCGCCGCTTTGAGCACTATGTCGTCCGCGCTGAACGCTCTAGCCAGCATCATCTACGAGGACTTCCTCAAATCTTTCATGGGCAAAAAAAGCGACCAAGCGACCAGTTACATCTTGAAACTGATTGTGGTGGTGACCGGAATCGTGAGCACCTCGATGGTGTTTTTGATACAGTATATGGGGGGACTCTTCAGCGTCGCCATCACCCTAATGAGTGTCACGCATGGACCGCTATTCGGAATGTTCGTTTTGGGTGCTTTGTTTCCGAAATCCAACGGCAAGGTAAGATTTGTCATTGAACACGTCAAACGGAGTCGTTACCCTAAACTTTCACCCTAAGGGAGCGTTTTGGGGATCTTTCGTCAGCCTGATGGCGGTCATCACCATCATCACCGGCACCGAAATCTCGACTTTTATGGGCTACAACGACCCGCAGCAGCTTCCGGTGTCGGTCAGCGGTTGCAACTCCACTTTGGGGTCGGATCTCATACTCAATTCCACGTAGGTGCTCCACTCAGATAATGATGCAGTATTACTAATGTGTTTCTTCCAGACTGACCTACGACCTCACGTCAGACGCCAAGCCTTTCTTCCTCTTCCGCTTAACGTTTTACTGGTACACTTTCTTGGGAATGGCAATAACGATCGTCTTGGGGGTAATCATCAGCTACATCGTGGAAGAGGAGGATGCGCATCCCGTGGACAAGTGCCTCGTGAGCCCGGTCATCCACTTCCTGCTACCGAAATCGGGAAAGGAGCAGGCGGGAGAGCGGCCCGCATGGGAGTACAAATACGAGCCGGTCAAGAAGATCGCCGAGGACGTGTCGATGACGAGCGACGACAACGACAAACCGAAGCAGTATTTTTAATTCCTCGAATAAATCGTTTATTTTTATAAGCCGTGGTGTTTGCCTTTTCCCTCGAGTCACGCGGCCGAGATCGACGACTTCGCGTAGCGGAAAATTTTCCTGTTTGTGAACCCTGACCGACTGCGTAAGCCACCGGTATTCGCCGGTTTCAGGAAAATGGCGCCGCGGAAAGAATTGATACGATTGTTTGAAATTTAGATAAAAAAGACGAATCGCGTCTGTTTGCGCGAGTAGTCAAACACATTAAATCTGATATGGAAAGAAAAACGTCACAAAGCACCCATGATCCGTCTGCAAATATAGGAATCTTCGCTCGTCTGATACATATTTTCGAAATTTCGGATTTTTCGTTAGTGCGGCGCGATAAGTTTATGGTCGAGGTCGCAGGTGTTCGGTTTTCGTTAGTTTACGGAAGAAGGTAAGTAAATAAAGATCCATTCGAAGTTGATCACAGCTTTTGGTTAGATCCAATTATTATTATGGACAAAACAGAGCGCTAGGTGTTTATAATTTCTTTAACTACTTCTAATTCATCTGGAATTCCTTCGAATTCTTCTCGGAATTCCTTCATAGTGAACACCAGATCCCCCTGCGGGTTACCGCTCGAATATGGCGTAATACACTTCCAATGTCACCGCTTTCAGATGGATCACAACATCCCGAGAACTACTTCTCAGGAAGTGATGGCGGCGACGACCTTGTCCAGCGTAGCCGGCACCGTCAACCAAACGGCAGGCGAGATGTTTCTCAGCAAGCACGTCTTCTCGTGGTACGACTACATCCTCTTCACCGCGATGCTGGTCGTGAGTGCCCTCATAGGAATCTACTTCGGATTCTGCGGAAAGAAGCAGTCCACTTCGAAAGAGTACCTGATGGGCGGCAAAGAGATGAAAGTTATACCGATCGCCATATCTTTGGTGGCGAGGTGCGTCTTTCGTCTTCCGCAATCGATACCGGAAGTTAAGCTTCTGCTTGCAGCCACACCTCAGGTCTCACTCTTATGGCTATACCGGCGGACGTCTACATGTTCGGCGCCGCCTACGTCCTCGGGATCGTCTCCATGGCGGTTTTATCTTTCATCACGGTCTACGTCTTCCTCCCCGTATTCTTCGATCTGCCGATCACCAGCACTTACGAGTATTTGGGCCTTAGATTCGACGACAGGGTGAGAAAGTGCGCCTCTGGCCTCTTTGCCCTGTCGGTGTTCGTCTACTTACCTATGGTGGTATACATCCCCTCGTTGGCATTTGAAGCGGGTAAAATTAACGGTGATGCACCATATGGTCAACCTCTAACAATCAGTATCCTACAGTCACTGGAGTGAGCGTCTTCATAACGACCCCGGTAATATGCGGTGTATGTATATTCTACACTACCATCGGAGGTTTGAAAGCCGTGGTATGGACAGATGCTATCCAGTTTACCATAACGGTAGGCTCGCTTATAGTGGTGTTCATCCTCGGGCTCGTCGCTATCGGTGGCTTCGAGCCACTATGGAACGCGTCGTTGGAGAGTAGTCGCTTGCACATTTTCGAGTAAGTACCATTGCGAATTCACCATTTTGATATATCATGGAACACGTCCGTTGCAGTTTCGATCCGGACCCGACCAAACGAGAAACCTTTTGGGCGATAATAATCGGTCTCACCGTCCACTGGGTTGCGCACACCTCCATAAACCAAGGCTGCACCCAAAAGTTCCTCGCCGTAGCCACTTACAAAGAGTCGGTACGCGCGGTGTTTTACTACGCGTTCGGCATGTCGGTCATGAAACTTATATGCGTCACACTCGGTCTTATCATGGCCGTGATGTACTCCCACTGCGACCCCATCATCACCCACCAAATCGACAAGAAAGACCAGCTGGTACCGTACTACGTCATGAACGTAGCGAGTCACATTCCAGGCCTGTCTGGTCTTTTTATCGCCGGGATATTTAGCGCCGCCCTGAGCACGATGTCAGCCAACTTGAACTCGCTAGCCGGAACGATCTACGAGGACTTCCTCAAAACGTGGCTCGAGAACCACCACAACCGCAGTACCGCAGGCCACATCCTCAAGTTGATCGTGGTGACGGTCGGGGTCACCACCACGCTCTTGGTGTTCGTGGTGCAACATTTGGGAGGACTATTCGGCCTGGCTATTGCCTTGGGCAGCGTAGCTCACGGTCCACTTCTGGCGTTGTTCTCGTTAGGGGTACTATTTCCTAGGGCGAACTCCAAAGGTGCTTTCTGGGGCGCGCTGACGAGCATGGTGTTCATGGGAGTGATAATCGCCGGGCAGAGGTACCACGCGTTACAAGGAGGACTGGGGTACGACAAAAAGCCGATGACAATAGACCAATGCGATTTTTACACCAACGCGACCGTCGCCGTGAATAGTGCGTCACTTCCGGTACACGAACCAATCTTTGTGCTGTTTCGAATCTCGTTCTACTGGTACACCATGACGGGAGCCATCGTGGGGATCGTGGTGGGGCTCGTTATCAGTTACCTCACGAACAAAGACGACCCGCCGGTGGAAAGACACCTCGTCAGTCCGGTGGTTCGTTTCCTCTTACCGAAAGATATTAAGAAGACGGCCCAAGTAAACGGGAGGGCAGACTACCACACCATCGAAAAGGCTATGGAGTTGGTGACGGTGGAACAAAATGGGGCGGACAATCGCTGACCCAGTGACGCATTTGAACTGTGATAACGTTTCGCAATTTCGACGAAGTTGCTGGAGGTGAAGGCATCCAAACCACAGAAACCTTGTTGAAACCGCAATGACATACTCATAACATGTAGCTTAAGGAATAAATACATTTTTAATATTGTGGATGTTTGATTAACAAAAATTGATATTGAACGCTTTATTAAGCAAACTGGGATGAACAATGGACAAAATATAACTAAGTTAACAAGTAACAGAATCTAGAAATATAAAATCGGCGTTTTCAATGTTGACGTTCCCGCAAGGATTGACCGGTTCGCACACTAAAATAAAGAACGTACACTATTGGCAGTGTCATTACCTGGTAACTCTTACCAGGTAACTCGCTACTGCCAGCGTCCTCGTTCAAAATCTTAACTGAATTAAGGGAGTCGTGTGGCATCGAGCCCGGCACCCCAGTAAGAAAATCAGTCTCACCCTTTTGTATAACCGTGGCCACGACCGGCAACTTAATTTGAACCACTGTACCGGTACCTAGAGTTAACGAGACACGTGAACCAATTCAAATTGATCGGGCACCCACCACCTTGGTCCTCTTGGTCGGCCTCGACTTTGGGCGTTACCGATATCTGACCGTACTCTTCGAGGTCCTCTTCGGTCGCCGGCACCAGCATTTGCTTGTCGCCAGCCGGAAGGACCCGGACCAGTACCGGAATACCCGATAACGGTCGCAACAACGCGAATGGTGTCCGATTAGATTCCAGCGCGCGACGCATGGCTTCCGTTTGGATCGGATCCACGAAAATAGTATGGGATTGACTTGGTGGGAAGGGAAAAATGATCGATTGGGAGGTGGTTCTTTATTACTGTCCCTAACATAGAGTCCGCGCATTTGTAATTCCATGTCCTCTTGGTTACAGTTTTTTACCATTCCTCACGCAGGAACCACTTTTATCGAGAAATTTTTTGGAAAATATAAACGACCTCGACCTTTTCTCACATCCAGAGCTAAACTCGATAGCAACTAAAACTTTATTTAGTACCTCATTAACTTAACTTGTGCAAAAGGAGCCAACCAACCCTGCCAGCTCGATGTTAGGGACAGTACGATGGAAAAGTAATGACAGAACAAGGAACCAAAAGCGGCGTACTTGAAGGCAGAACTTCCACTGGAAGGCAGTGGAGTCAGCCCGTGCTGACGTTGTTCGTGGTGTCTCAGGTTGATACGTTTGGAGAACTCCTCGCCGCAGACCTTGCACTCGTATTTGGGTATGACGTTATCCTGGTGGTGGACCTAACAGAAAAACCCCGCGCATATTTAAACAGAGTAGCGCGAAAGGTGGGATTGCGGGATACCTTGAACTTGTGACACATCAAATTCGACATTTGGTTGAACCCCTTCGAACATACGTCGCACTTGTAAGGTCGCTCGTTGGTATGAGTGAAGATGTGATTGCGGAGGTTACCTGAGTTACGCAGGATATGGTTTATATGTGCACGGAAAAGGTGTCGAAGCCCTTTTTTACCCTTTTGGTGGAACGACTTGTTGCACAGATGGCATCGGTGAGGTTTCTGGCCGGTGTGAGTTTTGCGATGCGAAATCAGGGTTGACACCCTGTTGAAGTTTTTGTGGCATATTTCGCAGACATAAGGGCGGGCGGATGAGTGAATGGCCCGGTGCTGGGATAAGGTGCACATCTGTCGGAAGGCTAAAAACCACGCGCTTGTTAACGGAAAAAGTGATGTTATGTGCATTCGGTGAAGATTTTCGAAGGAGGCTCAAAACTTAGGTATAAATACCTTCAAAATTGTTACTCAAAATCATAAAGAATCCTTTAATGTAATGCCCAATTTTACTAGGATGGAAACGTGGAGAGGTAAAGCTTAGCTTAGGTAAAGCTGGTAATACTGTTCTTTTCGCAGAATTTTGTATTGGTAGATGTCCCTCAAAATGAATAACAATAGGAAAACACTTAGAAAATAACAGCTGTTGATGAAAAATCTTCCTAAGTTATTTTTTAGTAATTTTATTTAGTTTTCGTTTACTATTTAAAACATAATTTATAAAAATTATATTTTAAAATAATTTTATTATTAAAATAATTACGCAAACTTATAATCTTCTCATCGTCTAAATCACTTTGAAATTTCCCAAAATAATATTTTAGACATTTTTTTTTAAATGTCAATTTAAAAAGATAATATGTGATAAAATTTTTATCTAAACTTATTAATAAAAAAAATAAAAAGCCATAAAGGAAATAATTCTCCTTATTGAAATTACTAAATATCTGCAAAGTTGGGGAGATTTTGGAGGAGCAGTGAAAACTGTTTTGGTTAGTGGGACTATACCTATTATTATGTATTACTATAATTATTATAGATACATTGTTGGAATAAATAAGCGCTGAAACAATGGCCATTTACATGCGACGTAAATAAACACGAAAACCCGATAAACAAAACGATTAGATATGATACAGAGTGCGCAATATAAAAATACGTCAATTATTTTTCCCAACACTTACATTTTCCGCAGGTGAGACAATGGAATTTGCGCTCATCCGTGTGGGTAGGCAAGTGCCTCATCAGGGTGTATTGATGCCCGAATTGTTTGCCACCTGTAAGGAATTATTTAAAAGGAAAGGGCTCCCACATCTTGGGCGATATACCCACAAATTCCGCATTCGAAGACTTTAGAAGGTTTGCCGTTCGCCAAATGCGAGCCGCCACTGCTTTTGTTTGATTTCGATCCCGTCGGATCGGATCGGACCAACAAGTTGGCTGGGGTCGGCGTTGTCGGAAACGAACCATGATCTGATGGTAGTTCCAGCGGGTTGTCGTGATATACGATGGTACTGGGATTGTCTTCAAACTGCTGAAGAATCTGCAGTTCCTCATTCGGATCCGACAAGCTCTCGTATTGCGAAAATAGCAGGATATCGTTATCAATTATCTCGTCCTTGATAATTCTGCAAATTATATTCGCGTAATCACCACTATTCCATAGAACAACGGCACGGATCGCGCGACCGCCACGCCATCTGGCCTACACTTCTAAAGCTATGTAACTATAATTCGAAATTTGAATTTAAAAAGCAAATGGGTAAAATTCTTAATTTTTGTAATGCAGACAATACCGTACAAATAAAACAAAAATGCCGTGTAACAGCTATCGATTGCGACAGAAGTTCTCCAAAATTAACCGTATTAACCGTTCGGTGTTTTAAATGGAGGCTGCGATTTTCGATGTTGTTTAAAAGTTGCCATAACTAGCGTTAATTCTAAATACGAGTGCCGAAAAAGGTAAACTTTTAAATGATGTCAACCAAATGTCAAAAATTGCTGTGACTGACGTATCAGAAAAAAAAATGAAAAAATGCGAAAACAATGAATAAAATATCTGAAACTCACCCGTCCGAGCAAGGCTCGGCGATCAAACTTTGCAAATTGTTCATCGTCCACAGAAAGGTGTTCGAAACGTCCGAAACAACTCGTTGTCTAACGTATTTTCAAGAAACGTTACAGATTAACATTGATAATTTATTACTAACGAAATTTCCGTTGCCAACATAACAGTTTTACAATGGCGTTTTATATATTTATCGTATATGAGGCGTCCATGATATTAGACATAAAAACCTGAGGTCCGGCCTTGTTACTATTTATTTAGTATATATAAATAAATGGATTAGTCAATTTTTAAATTTTAACAACGGTTCTCGCTGCTAGCGCCATCTATACACACTTGCGCAAAACTTACCAGTTACTGCAAACCCTTAGATATTTTGCCGATATTACAGAAATCTTTTCAATGAATGCAAATGAATTAACCTCTAGAAACATAAATATTTTTATTAAATAACTTATTCGTTAATGATTTTGTGTTTAACATGTTAAGTTATGTGTTGTCATTTTTTAGGCGATCGTCAGAACTGAATTTATCTTTAGAACAATGCCGCGAAATTGTAGAAAATGAAAAAACTTGGGAGGCCCCATCTGAAGGCCCCATTAACGATGTTTCCGGGAGCCGAGACGAATACGCGTTATCCACAAGAATTGGTAAAATCACGGGCCGAAACGAAGACAAGTACATTATCGACGACGTGTATGAATTTGATCCAAACAAAGTCGAATACTCTGTAGGTTCGGAAGTCACCTATCAAATGATAGTGGAGGACCAAAAAATATGTATATACAATGTTAGCTTAAACTGCGACGACTGGAATGTGGCCCAGGCGAAAGAATCGACGTGGGGCACGCGTATAATAGTGTGCAAAGTTGACAAACGAGAGGAACGACTTCTTTATTTATCTCCAGGTGATGTCAAAATCGATCTAAACAAAATTTCGATAGATTTCTTGCCCGTCACGGGCGACTGGCTCGAGCTCGACGTCAAACACGAAGTGAACGAGCTCGCGATCGACTTGAGCGGAAATATTTTAGAGGTTAACAGAATTTCACCAGTGCGGGCTCATATGGAAAAAGCTACAGTCACATCTTGGGATCCTACGACGAGTTCAGGTATCTTAACAAGGCGTATATTTTTCAATCGAGATTCGTTATCGTGCGGTTACGTCCCTGTTGTCGGGGACAAGGTGGTCGCTGAAGTAATCGAGAGCGCTCAAGACGAATGCATATGGCGAGCTTCAAAATTAATACCGGAGTATGTGAGTAAGAGGTTAGATAAAATCGATTCGGACTCGTGGAAAATCGAAAAAACCCATCCCGATATCGAGATCGACGACGTTAGTTTAAATTTTTCTAGGTTAAACGTTTCTGAACGATTTAAGGTTAGATTAATAAATAACGCGACCTTGACATTGACCTTGATCGGTGGCGAGTTTAGTAATGCAAAGGGACAATGCAAAATTTTGAGCGGATTTCCCCCAGATGTCGATATTTTACCGCGGGAATCCTACGAGTTGGAATGCGAGTGCAAGGCGCGCAATATGGGCAAATCCAATGAATTTTTGGTCATTTATTTTAAGGATTTTCAGGTTAGTAAATGGGTAGAAATAAATGTGGAGCCTGATAAGACCTTAGACAACGGCTACTATCAAAACAGATCTCAAAACTTTAGAAATAACTACAATTCCAATAATCAATTTATTCGGGGCCAACGAAACAGTACCGTTAGGTTTAAAGCAGTCAGAGTACCAGATTACCCGGTGTCCAAAAAATTGCTCGACCTGGTCGTTAGATGTCGCGATCTACACGACAAAATTGGCCTCGTCGAGGAACTGAAAGCGACTAAGCGATCTCTATTCAGCGACCTAACCCCAATTAACTACGAGGACAAGTTCCACGGCCTCCTGCATTTGGACGAGATCGAAAATTTGATTTGCATACGCAACTACGACCGAGACTTGGCCTGTTTTATAAGGAACGGCGAGTATTTGATGCTCGAAATCGAAAATTTGTCGGAAAAACGGCCCTCCATAGTTTTGGGGGATAGAATTATAGCAAGCGACCCTTTACGACAGTCCAAAGAAGACTACGAGGGTAACGTGTTCAAGGTGGGAGCGCGACACGTTTATTTAAAATTCTCCGCCCTATTTCACGAAAGCTACAACGGTGAAGATTATTCGGTAAGGGTTGTTCCCGGACGATCGGCCTATAGAAGGCAACACCATGCAGTGTTCTTGGTAGCAAGAAATTTGGGCAAGGAGTGGCTTTTCCCCTCGAAAGTCGTCGAAAAGGACTTCCAAGTGCGGTTTGCTTATAAAAGGTACTCGAGAGTAGTGCAGAGTGTCCGGAGGTTGGGTCCGAAGGAACTCTACCAAATAGTGGCCGAAGAAAACAGACAGAAAAGGTTGCAGAACTCGTTGGGTGAGGAGGAAGAGGGTAATGATGGTTGCGATCTTCCAAAATTAGAATGGTATGTGATGCGTTGTAAGCTATTTGTAAGTTTCTGGAAATTATTAATTATTTCTAAGAAAATAATTCCATTTAGAAAACTTCAAAAACTGTAGGAACAATTTGGGTTATAATTTTGCTTGTTTTGGTAGTTTTTACCGTCGTTTAATGGGAAAAAATATTGTTGCTAGTTTTTCATTGTTCAGACTTATTACCGAGATACCGATATCTGTTTGAGGTTAGAATTCAAGGTTCTGTTTAGTAAAAGGATCTCTTATTGAATTCCTGCCTGTTTATGGTTTTTAATTTCTATTTCTTCCCAGCTGGATATTTTTGACGATCCAAATCTTAAAAGAACGTAGAGTAAACTTTCTTATCTAGACTTAGGCTGTATCACTAATATAACGTCATGAGTCAGTAAGGACAGCTCAATAAATTTTTATTTTTCGTCAAAATCGAAACAAATTAATGTATACAACGATCAGGATTGGCATGCGTGCCCTCTGCAGGTTCAATCCGCACCTTAACTCCAAGCAAAAAGACGCGGTGATCAATATCCTCAAAGGTGTCGCCCGGCCTCTGCCGTACATCATATTTGGCCCCCCCGGTACCGGAAAAACCGTTACCGTGATAGAGTCGATCCTCCAGTTGATAAGGTTCGTTCCGGAGGCGAGACTCTTGGTCACGGCTCCGTCCAACAGCGCCGCCGATCTGATAGCGCTGAGGCTGATCGATTCCGGAATCCTCAAACCGGGTAACTTGGTCCGCCTGGTCTCTGTCAATTACGCCACAGGGGACAGCATACCTGCCAGACTCGTACCTTATTGCGCCACGGCCAGTTACGCGAAAGAGGGCACCGCCGACGTCAATAACGTGATGGAGAACGGCATGATTTGCGGTACGAATGCGGGAAAAGTGACGTCACCATCTACCGATCGTTCCCACTAACTCGGAAATCCGAGGAAAAGTAAATTAGTGGGAACGCCTCTATCCTCGAGAGGTGCGACGTCACGGAATCCCTATTTAACGCGTCGCAAAACAATTGGCCGACCGTCGCGTACTTCAGATTGCAGCAGGGCGGTGCTCGGTAGACACAAGATCACCGTGTCTACGTGCTCGTCGGCCGGCGCCCTATACGCGATGGGTTTTCCCCGGGGACACTTCACTCACATCGTCGTCGACGAGGCGGGGCAAGCGGCCGAACCGGAAGTGATGATACCGCTCTCGTTTCTGGACAAATGGAACGGACAGGTGATTTTGGCAGGTGAGGCGACATTTTGGACCTGTACTTTCACTCCAATGCTGAAATTTTACCGCTTTTGGACGTGGCAAAATCGAAAGCTTGGTGTTAGTCTGGATCGTTTTGGTCGACGGTACTATTCGGTGTCTCTGTGTGAAGGTGATCCGATGCAATTAGGACCGGTGGTCCTCTCGAAAATCGCCGAGGAATGCGGACTCGGCGAGTCCTTCCTGGAGCGATTGACAAACAGGTTTCCCTACGCGAGGGACGCCGAAGGGTTTCCCGACTCAGGGGGTTACGACCCGAGGCTCGTTACCAAATTGCTGTACAATTACCGCTCGCTGGAGGTCATCTTGGAGCTGTTCAGCTCGATTTTTTATCACGGCGAGCTTATACCCACGGTTTCCGACAAACATAGCGACGAGGCGAAGCTTTTGGCTTCTTTAAGGGAGATCCTTCCCGAAAGGGAAGACGAGGCGGTGCCCGCGTTGGTCTTTCACGGCGTCGACGGCGAGAATTACCAAACTGCAGACTCTCCGTCGTGGTACAACCCCCACGAAGTCGCCCAAGTGTTTTATTACGTCAATGAATTGTATAGGTTAGGTTGCGAGCCCGCCCAGCTGGGCGTCATCACGCCTTACACCAAACAGGTCATGCCGGAGTAAGCCCAACGTTTTCCGATTGAAAGCGATGTTATCCGTTGCAGGTGAAAGAGATCAAGTCGGTGCTGAAGGAGGCGGAGTTTACCTTGCCGAAAGTGGGTACCGTGGAAGACTTTCAAGGCCAGGAGTTCGACGTCGTTATATTGTCTACAGTTAGGTCGTCTAGAGATTATGTAGCGAGCGACGTGGAGCACAGTTTGGGTTTCGTTTCCAGCCCTCGGCGCCTGAACGTCGCGATATCGAGGTCGAAGGCGTTGCTCGTCATCGTCGGCAATCCTAATTTGTTGTGCTACGATACCTATTGGCGGACAGTGATAGCTCACTGCGTGAGCTTGGGTGCTTACACCGGCTGTGATTTGAATGTGACGTGATACAGGAGTGAACAGTTTTTGGAATACTATTGATGTACTTTTTGATATATGATTTTTTTTATTAAATGCTCTCGAATGATTCATTTTATTACCTCGCGTATGGCACCATGGCACCAATATTGCAGTGGTGTAGTAATATTAACTTTGTTACAAATTTAGTTGCTCTATTTTCGAATAAACGAGTTTTGATTAATGAGAAATTCGTCGTATAGTGCATAACGTGACCCAAGAATTGAGGGGCTAGCAAAACCTTCAGTAGAAAGTCGAACATATAACCATAAAATTCATGCCTTCCAAATGGATCCTTACCTAAGCCTAAGACTAAGAAACTAACCAAAACCGGCCATATCGGCCATATGCAAATGCAAATGTGAAAAGTGAAAGGGCAAAAGATTCTGAACTAAGGCTTTCACAAAATAAAAAATCGAAATCATTTTGATGTGTTTAGTCAAAAACCAACTAAACAAATCTAATATAGGATATGCTGGTATCACGTGGCTTTAAGAACCATTGGGGGTACAAAAATTTTTTCGGAGACTAACTGGCTCTATAAAAGTTTGTGAATTTGTTAACGTTACCGGTCGCATAGTCGTAACGTAAATGTGAGAGAGTAATGAACTCGAATACTCTCTTACGATGTTGGGGCGGGTATACCTGTACGACAATTTCATTGGTATTCCACGCTAGGCAAAATAGCTGAGTGACGAGCAACACTAGAAACATAACTTTGAAGATCAAGGACATTACCGTGGGAATCTGAAACGTGTGCAGCTTGATGAGGTATCATCCCAGGTAGCAGAGGCTCGTCCAAACGACGTCATTAAATAGTCACTAAATGACGAAAATGATGTTATGTATGACGTCAACAGAACGTGAGTTTGACCTACTCGTGTCTCAAACGAATGATGTCGTTTAAATGACGTCTTTTTTACCTCAATTTTTGCCAGGGACGTATTTTTTGCGTCAATTTAAAGTCAGATTTTGGTCTTTACTGTTTAAAGAGTGGGGAAACTGGAAAGTAAATCACGCAGAAGCTGCCGCATATAGGTAATGAATAAAGGTGAGCGTTTCTTTTAAAGAAATTAATAATGGCGCATCTTTCATTTGATTTTTTCACTAAAATTAAAATTTTTCATTTTGACTCACCCTGTACAAACGATTCAAATTAACTTCCAAGACAAGTATAGGATAAATGACATGGCATTTTAGATTAAAAAATGGCCACAGACACTCAGTATAGACCATAACAACCCTACATTGAGTTATTTAGTACTCGCAATGCCAATGGTGTTCAAAAATCTCTATTGGCTCGAGAGTTTTGGGCATGAATCGTGTAGCAAACAAAAGGACCGTCGAAAGAGCATCGCTCAAGAGCTGTTTAACGACGTCAATGATGATTCTGTAATTCTCTAAGGGGGGTGGGGGGGAGAGAATTATTTTGATTAATAAATTAAATAAATAAAAAAGATCCTACGTCTTTTATTGATCGCAACCTTAAATCTGTTATTAAGGCTTCTTCTCTATCAGACTCCGTGAAAAAAACTGTCATCCCCCATGACTCTAAAATTCGTCGTCTCTACGGACTCCCAAAGATCCACAAACCAGGATTACCCCTTCGACTTATTGTCACACCATTGGTTCTCCAACATAATCTCTAACACAATATTTAGCTTCCTTATACCCCTTACAGCGAAAACTCCCAGTTTTGTACTTAATTTTACCAACGAAAAATCCGAGAGTCTATAGAAATCTATAAACAACCTAATAATCTTAACCGCGACTCGGGTCTCTACCTGTCACCAATATGGCCAACAGTCATCCGAGACGGTGTTTATGCCCGAACAATATCAGAGTAAAATGCGAGCCAGTTTCAGGCAAGCTTTGCAGAAGCCAACACGATGATTGGCGAAACGTCAGCAACTTCGACTCAGCAAAAACAGATGCTGGAATAATCCAGAAGTTTTTTAAAAAGTACTTAGAGTTGATGTTCCCGCCACACAGTAGATCAATACTATTTGATGATGAATACTTTACGTCAATAATCCACTCATTTTCTTAAGTTCAATTCTGAAAAACCTTGGTTAACTGGACATCTGTTCGATGAAATAAATCATAAGAGAGCTCTGTAGCGTAGATTTAAGGCCTCCGGCTCTGCTTCCGATTATGTTTTGCACAGAAGAGTTTCTAATAGTTTATCCTTGGAGATTAGAGACGCGAAGTCAGTATTCGAAAATCTTTTCCTGTTATTAGAGATACCTCGGGAGAGAGGTCTCCTATAACCAGGACTTCATTTGAAATGAATTTGCCTCATATTTTACTAGTGTCTTTGCTGATGAACCAGCTGACCTACCGTCTCACTATGAGGGTAAAAATAAATCTAGATTTATTAGAAGACATTTAATTTGACCAAGAGGACGTGAAAAAAAGTCTGAGTTATAAGAATATTCTGCACCCGGACCTGATGGAATTTCCATTAAAATCTTAAATGCGCGTGCAGAGCCTATTTATATTATTTTGACAAAATCTTTGGACTCTGCCACGCTCTCGATCCAGTGGTTATCAGCAAATGCAACACCGATTTATAAAAAGGGTGATAAGCCTATCAGCCTATTATATGTAAAGTTCTAGAACGCCTTATAGTAAATCAACTGTTACCGTTTTTGATCATATTTTGCCATATTTTACCTACATCGCAGCACGGCTTTGTTCCCGGCAGATCAGTCATATCAAATACATACTTGAATCACTGGACATTATCTCTTGACTGGTGGATATTATCTACCTCGACTTCAGCAAAGCTTTCGACAAAGTACCAAATCAAACTTGAAAAGGTCGGACCGGGGGGTAAACTGCGAGAGTGGATAGCGGCGTTTTTAAGCCAACGGTCGTTCAGAGTTCGAATTGGTAACGCTTTTTCACTGCCACAAAACGTGCCTAGTGGTGTTCCCCAGGGATCGGTGCTGGGGCCAGTGCTATTCTTAGTGTATACCGTGGATTTGCTCTCCAGCATTGATTCTCATGTGAGCGCTTATGCTGATGACACTAAATTATTTGAAAATTCTTCAACAAATGCGTACGTAATGCAGAGAGACTTGAATACTATTTCCAAGTGGTGTTCAACTTGGCTGTTGCCGCTGAATGCTCAAAAGTGCTCTGTGCTGCATGTTGGCAAGAGAAATCCCGGTTTGAATTATTATGTCAATGGAAACTTTGTGTCAAGTGTCGATTCTCAGATGGACCTAGATGTGACAGATGTGAAGGACTTTTAAAAATCCTAGTAATCCTGGAGTTTGCTTCCCGAGTCTGGAACTCATGGCTATTGCGCCACTGTGATGTTCTGGAAAGAGTGCAACGAGCCGCTGGCCATTTCAACTTAGACATACACCTTACGATGACAGACTCAAATACTTAGTCTGCAACATTAAGTCAGCATCGGCTGGTTAAAATGTGTAGGTTTGCGCAGTACCAATTTCCATCTGACATGCTCTTTGTGATCTTAAGCAATGATGAACGCCTACGTGGTCATCCAGGTCACATCGCCTGCATTTTATAAGTAACAAGACTTTCAATTATTGGAACAGTTTACCCCCAGATGTTGTGCGTGCTCCGAACTTGTCTGGATTTAAACGTCGCTTGGACAGTGTATTGTTTCACAGAAATAACTAAATACTTATTATATGTATAAGATTCTCATGCTACTAACTATCAATGTGCACAGGTTCTCCTCTACACTTTATTCTTTGTAATAATAATAATAATAATAATAATAATAATAATATAAGATAATATATAACCGAATCACCCACCCCCTATTGGTAGACAATAAAACAATCTGTCTTTGCTTTTAAAAGCTGTTTTATTTATCACCTTGCGAAGCCTCTTGCATATAACTTTCACTATTATTTGTCATAGCAATTAAAGGTTGTAAAACAACATAAGCATTATAAAACACTTAAAACAAATTTTATAATCAATCGCCTCCATCACCCCAGTTCCACGTGACCGTGCATCCAGCTTTTTCGCAGATGATTTGCGAATCCATTATCGAGCTTGTTCCAGCCATGCGAGCGACAACAGATTTCATTGACGGGTTTCTGATGAGGGTGTTGTGTATGGATTCTTCGCCCTGCCCCATATTATTCCGTGCCATGCTGATGCCGAAATTGTTTATACCTGAAATAAAAGCAAAGTATTTATTCGAATTGATATAAGATCACACAGATCAGAGTGAGACGATCATGAGAGATGAATTATGAATAAAGTTATCGATGGTTCGGAGAGGAAATATTTGGAGTAGGGAACATGAGCTTCGACTGTTGGTTCCATCCCTTGATAATTAGAAAGGATCTCCTTTATTAACTCTTATAACTAGTTATATAAGAGTGAAAATGTTGATGATCTGATGTTGTGCCCTACCTAAAAGCTTACCTTGGACGGTAATGTTGGAGTAAGAAATGTTAGTGGTTGACCCGTGACCATCATTCTGGCTGGTCTTGACTTGGATACCATTGACTGAGTTTAAAATCACAGAATCCTCGACAGTTACGTCTGCCTCCGTGTTCTCACTGATCGAAATATTCGCGAACCCAACTGAGAAGCTCAAACTGTCATCAGCTTCACAGACCAAGTCTTGAAATGTGTTATTAGCCCCCTCATTAACCACGACGCAATCGCCCTGGTTCTTGAAGACCGAATTTTTTATGATTACGTTGACGCAATTCGTCATATTGAACCCGACAATATTGACATCCTGAAACATATGAGTCTGGCGTTTCTGTGGCAAGTAAGACTGCGCGAACTTACCTCGCCAGCTTCAGACACATCGACCGTGAAGTCGTCCAGTACCACTTCGTTGCAGCTAACGACGGACACACAACTGATGGGGCAGTTAAGGAGATTGATCCCGCTAAATGTGGAGTTCTGTGCGTCAGTGATGGTGAGGAAGTTGGGCTTCGCCGATGCGCTACTACTGCCCGCACCGTCCCAATAAAGTTGGCCCTGGCCGTCGAATACGTGACCTGCCACACCTCCGACCGTGAGCTGGTCGCCTGTGATTCTCACCAAGGGTCCCATCCAGTTCGACACATTGAACACTACTTGACCCTGGAAAGTTAATGTCGTGCCGGTCTGCAGGTCTAGTTCCAGCGACTCTCCACCAGGGACCGTGAGATCTTGAACTACGATGTCGGTGCAGTTTGCCACTACGTCTTGTACTTGAGAGAATTGGGTTAGGGTGCAGTCAGCAGCGCTGACTATAACTGCCGGCGATAGGACGAATACTAATAGTTCTATCACTGGTGGTGGCAACATCGTGGTGAATGACTTACGGTTTTGAATCTTCGTCTTTTTATAAATACCGAAAACACTCGATTCAACACTCAAGAATGAGATAACAAGTCTGCCGCATCATAGCCGAAAAAACTTAATTTCATAATACTCGCAACATTTTGCTATTACTTAAACAAAAAATATATCACACACTCGAATCCGATAATGGAAGGGGGACACGTGGCCGGTGGCATTTCATGGCCAACAATTAGTAAACGAAACTAATTTGGAACTTTGATTAAAGCTTAGCTCCCACAGCAGATATTAGAAAGCAATTGCATATATGCGCAACATAAATAGTAAAAATATATTTTTTCTAACAAGAACAAATGGTTATAGAAATAATATAGTATGCAACACATCTCTTCGGTCACTCGCTGACTAATCATTCACTTCGTTCGAGTCAAAATAAACTCGTGACTAAAATTTATCAATATATTTTATTTTTTCTCACTGCAGTTTCCCAAATTATGGTATGTATATAATAGGTCATCTTGCCAGCAACCGCTTGCAATTATTTTTACGATGAATATGGTTTTATAACAAAAACAAAGAATTTGCATATATGGCTAAAACTGTAGGTTATGGTAAATATAACTAATTTTTCAAAAAATGTTTTTCAGGTATCCAATTTATTAAGCTTAATTATGTGTCTCGGTTTAGTATTCTAGGTTTTCTCAGTGTATATTTATACGAAATTATTTCTCTCAGTTCGATAATGTTCATACGTATAAAATCAAGGTCAGCAAAACTGAATACCAAAGATACATACAAGTTTATGGGTTCTCTTTTCTCTGTCACGGTTGCATCGCTAGACTTTTTAATTGCATACAGTCCAATGCATAGCACCGCTAATCGCCCAGCATCAATATACAATAGTAATTGAATTACAACATAGCGGATATTTATTTAGATCGCGCACTTTGAGACGAGTCTCTAGAGATATAGTTAAGGGCAGAAAAACTGTTTGGAGAACCCTGCTCTATAATGTTTATAACCGTATTTGATAAACCATTCGTCATTAATTTTAAAGCCTTTATGGAATTTGTCTATAACCTTTACAAAATTAGTATTCGTAGTGTAGTCTAGTGTAGTATAATATAGTGTAGTATTGTCACAGAAAATAAAAATTTTGTGGAGCAACAATGTAAGTATTATAAAACACGTAAAACATGGTCATATTAAAAGTATTTGAAGCAACAACTGATTATCAATGATTGCCTACACCACCATCCCAGTTCCACGTAATCGTGCATCCAGAGGAGCATTTGACATTCACATCCATTATCGAACTTGTTCCAGCCATAATACTTGTCACAGAGTTTCTTTTAAGTTTTTTGATCGGGATATTATCTGCGGGTTCCACGCCGTTATCCGCATTGTTCCGTTCGATGTTGATGCCAAAATTGGTTATACCTGAGACGAAAGCAAAGTATGTATTGCAGTTGGCCAGAATAATGAGAGCCTGGAATGGACTTGGTTCTTCCTTTGATAAGTTATTTCATTTTCGATCGAAAAGAGACAATCTACTACTCATTTTTGTATATGTTAAATAAACAATAAACAATGTCAGTGACTTATGGTAGATTCTATTAACCATGTTTCAATCTGTTAAATTAAGATTACTATGAATTATATAAGAGCATTTTTTCTTACCAAAACTTACCTTGGAGGGTTATGTTGGAGTAAACAATGTTAGTGATGGAGCCCTGTATGCCTGGGATGTTCTTGATACGAAGCCCACTTTTCGAGTTTAAGATCGCGGAATTCTCGACAGTTACGTTTCCACCCGTGTTATTCTGACTGATCGAAATGTTCCCGAATCCAAACAAGAAGCTTAAACCTTCACCAGCCTCACAGACCAACTCCTGTAAGGTGTAATTTCCTCCCTGATTAACAACGACGCAATCGCCCTGGTTCTTGAAGATCGAATTTTTGATGACAACGTTGGCAGAATTCGTCATATTGAAACTGCCATGTAAGCCTGCGCGAACTTACCTCGCTTACTGCAGACGCGTCGACGGTGAATTCGTCCAGCACCACATCGTTAGAGCTAACAACGGATACGCAACTGATGGGGCAGTCGAGAATGTTGATTCTGCTGAAGGTGGAGTTTTGTACCTCGGCAATGGAGAGGAACTCGGGCTTCGCCGAAAGGCTACCACCACCTTGGCCGTCAAAATAAAATTTACCTCGGCCGTCGATCACGTGACCAGCCAAACCTTCGACCTTGAGCTGGTCGCCTTTGATTCAGTTCGACACATTGAAGACTATTTGACCCTGGAAAGTTAATGTTGTGCCGGTCTGCAGGTCTAGTTCCAGTGACTCTCCGCCAGGGACCGTGAGATCTTGGACTACGATGTCGGTGCAGTTGGAAACTATATCTTGTACTTGAGATAATTCGGTTAGGGTGGAGTCAGCAGCGCTAGCTGGAGCTGCTGGTGATAGCATGAATACTAATAGCACTATTTCGCGTGTTTTCAACATCATGGTGGATAACCTGCGGTTTTGAAGGTTCGTCTTTTTATAGGTGGCAAAAACACTCCATCAATACTTAAGAATAGAGATAAGAGGTCTGCCTTATCGTATCCATAAAGACTTATTTCTAGGACACTCAGATACGCAGCAAATGGCTATTACTTCAATAAAAAAATATCAAAACACTCAAACCCGATTGTGGCAGGAGGACACGTGTCTGATGGCAATTGGTGGCTGTTAATTAATGAACGATGTCGAAAAATTAAATAAATTTAGAAAGAAATGTTAGCTTCCTATTACAAATATTGTTATTTTACTGAAGGATTAAAATAAAGAGATTGCTGAAATGATACATTTATTTCACACAAGTCCACTAACTTTCTCTCACATATTTATCTTGTGGTATGTGTTTCAGAAAATCAAGCGCATTGGCGTACACCTATTGCGGAATGTGTCGACTAGCTGAAGGAATAAACAATTTTAAAATAAAATAGATATTAGAAATGTGGTTTCATTGAGCTCCAAATTTTTCCAAAAATTCACTTTTATAATCCATCCGGTTTGGAGAAGTCTTTTCAAGCATTCTCCGAAAATGTTTGCGTTTCTGTGCTTGAAAAGAAATAACAAGTACGGTAGACGGCATTTGACTCACCATTTTATTTAATAAAGAGTTTACCAAACGTGTTGCATACTATACTTTTTCTACGACCGTCACGAAGTAATTACAATTTAACAAATTAAAAATAACAGATTATCGGATTACTAGATTTGGTGCCATTAAAACAAAATCGTTATCAGTTGCGATCGGTTCTGCTATTGTTGTCTCTGTGTACGTTAGGCAGAGAGAGATGTATTATTGGATATGTCATCTAAACAACAGAACGAACACAATTTTAAAACGTAATATTGTTTTTCTACTCCCATCTGTAAGATATCTAATTACACACCGATTTCGCGTGCGGAAAGCGTCACTTTACCACGTCATTTCGGAGATTTTCGAGATGTTACCGCACGGGTGGGAGCAATCGGATGTTTTCGGAGATGTTTCCCAAGCTTTGAATTTTGACGTTTGTCAATTCTGACGGTCATGTCAGTGATTGTATCCGTGTTGTTTTGCAAAAATGTACCCAAAAACTAACGGTCATAGAAAAAGTACAGTATGCAACACGTTCGGTAAACTTTTTAAGTCATTCGTTTATTAAACACTCGCTCGTGTCAAATAAATTCGTGAGTCAAATGCCGTTTACCGTACTTGTTGCATAATATACTATTATCATCCAAGAATAGGGCTTTTAAGTGCACTAAATTTTTAAGATCGAATCGCTCCTGAATGTTCCATTCCCGTTGCTGCGAAGGAGCTGAAACAGAGCAGTGTTCTACGTGTTCGACTCGCTCTTCACAATATGTAGAACTGTATTTCAAAGTAAATAAAAAGTCTTCTCGTTCTCTGTGCCTTAGCTGGGAACCAAATAATCTCTTTTTCTAGTTGCACTTTATTGCACAACACAGTGCGTTCTGAAAAGCGCTGAACTACATATAATACAGAACTTAGGATATCCTTAAAACAGAAGATTCTGACAGCCGATAAATTTTTTAAATAATTTTGGAATGTCCAAGTAGACTAAGCGAGATGAGAGCCATGGGGTGACCAAGGCAAGCCAGCCATTAATAAGGCACGGTTCAATACCGAGATACGAATAGTTCATTAATATTTTTGACGTCGCTCATTAACCGCCATCAAACATGTGTCTTTATTACAAAATATATCAGTGTTTCATATATTTCTATATCTGTTGAAGAGTGATCTGGACTTAAGTGTTTTTGGATATGATGCCGCAGGCGTCTTATCTTGTTCTCGAGTTTCGTGTGTTTCGAGTGTTTTGCACACCTATAAAAGAGGAACATCCCAAATCGTATGTTATCCTTCGAGATGTTGACACCACGCGTAATAGTACTATTAGTATTCGTCCTATCGCCAGCAGCTCCAGCTAGGGCCGCTGACTGCACCCTAACCCAGTTCTCTCAAGTACAAGACGTAGTTTCCAATTGCACCGACATCGTAGTTCAAGATCTCACGGTCCCTGGCGGAGAGTCGCTAGAACTAGACCTACAGACCGGCACAACATTAACTTTCCAGGGTCAAATAGTTTTCAATGTGTCGAACGGGACGGGACCCGTGGTAAGAATCAAAGGCGACCAGCTCAAGGTCGAAGGTTTGGCAGGTCACGTGATCAATGGGCAAGGCAAATTTTATTGGGACAGTGAGGGTGGGAACAGGGGTTTGGCAAAACCCAATTTCCTCTTCATCAGTGACGTACAGAACTCCACCTTCAACGGGATCAATCTCCTCAACTGCCCCTTCCGTTACGTATCCGTCGTTAATTCCAGCAACGTGGCGCTGGAAAACTTCACCGTCGACGTGTCTGAAGCTAATGGGGTGAGTTCGAGCAAGCTTACATAGTAGACTTACATCGCCAGTCCGATGCTTTTCAGGAAGGAGTAAACATTGTCGGTGACGAATGGCACCAATGTACTCATTAAAAATTCGGTAGTGAAGAACCAGGACGATTGCCTCGTTGTTAATCAGGGGGCCAATTATATCTTGCAAGACTTCGTTTGTGAGGCTGGTGATGGTTTGAGTTTCTCTATTGGGTTTGGATAGATTTCGATTAGCCAGAATAACACGGATGGAAACGTGACTGTCCAGAATTCCGCGATCTTAAATTCGGAAGATGGGATTCGCCTCAAGACCATCCCAAACATACAGGGCACGACCATTGATATTGTTTACTCCAACATTAGCATCCAAGGTAAGCTTGTAGTAAAAACTTATCAATCATCATTCTTCTGGATATCAAATAAATAATTTGCTTTCATCTCAGGTTTAAACAATTTCGGTTTGATCATCGATCGGAGCAATACAGATAACAGCGCGGAACGCAGACTCAACATTCCCATCAAAAAACTTAGAAAGGAGTCTGCGACTAATATCAGGGCAGGAGTAAGTTTAGTAATGGACGTGGGGGTCACATGCTCCTCGGGATGCGAACTCCAGTCGAGCTTTGGTGGTGATGCAGGCGATGAAGATTAACCTTGAGTCATCCTCATACTACAAGAGATATAAAGATTTGAACGACAAATATGGCGATTTCCGATTGGATTTTTTCAAATATGTCGCGCACCCTGTATGTAAGACCGTAATTATTATAAAACTATCTATAATTTTTGCAAAAAGCAGTATCAATATTAGTTTTCTGGCCCCAAAAAAATTGTACATGTTATAGAATAATTAACATTAAAAATTTAAAATTTGTTAGTAAACTTCTGCAATTTTATATCTGCTTTATTTTTAAGCGTGCCTGACATTGAGACCGTATATATTGTGGTCCTTCTTCTATTGAACTATATTAATAAGTCGATTAAAATGAATACCGTTGGCCACATACAATTAAATAATACCTAACTATGGGTATATGTGCAAAAACCAACTTCTCTGAAATATCAAGTTCCGACGCAGCAACAGAGCCATTTATAAATTGCATTCCCTATAATTGTTCCCTTAATGTACATTTGAAACTTTAATTGCCCCGTTTCGGTATAATAAAAAACTTTGATGAGGCTGATGCTACACGTCATGCTTCGCACTGGCAGCTGGAGACTCCCCGTGTTCAAATCTAACCACTTCGAACACTTCGGAGCGCAAGCATTGAAGATGCAAAGTGAGATTTTGGCGAAACGTCTGCAGGATTCTAGTCGGAGTTCAACAAGCGAAAGGATGATATCCCGGAATATAGTGTCATCACATTTTTCCATCCGTGAATCAATACGTGAAAATATATATATATATATATATATATATATATATATATATATATATATATATATATATATATATATATATATATATATATATATATATATATATATATATATATATATATATATATATATATCAATGCCACATGCTGGTGGTATATGGAGACATCCAAAGAAGATGTTCTTATGCTTTAGGTTAATCCTAACAAAATATGCTCCACAGTTGTAGTGTCTACTGGAAGAAGAGATGGTTCATATTAAGTTCTGATGGCAATTAAAACACATCCACCACGTTATTTCTCACTTGTATTCTTATTCCAGAATCCAAAATTCCTGGGGCAAGCCCATTTCCGATGAAATCACATCATACTCCAATGCAGCGGTAAAAATCTTTAAGATTTGTTTGCAATTCCCGTACATTCTGATAGAAAAGGGCCACCTTTGTGGATGAGGTCCAGTACAGAAGAGGACGCTGCATCATATCATCAATATCACTTTGAACCGCCGCAATTCTAACTCTCTAACTTTCAATTCTCACGTGCTTAGCTCATTGGTGTACCATAATATCGTTAAGAGTCATTTTAATCTTACTTTTCTCATGCATAAGCAAGTCAATCACACATCTCTATTATTGGTATTTGTCTTATTTAATATACTGTTATTGACGGTCGTCGAAATTAGCACGGAGTCTGTCCGTCCAACTGATGCCGAACCACCTGCAGCTCCAACTGACAAACGTTTAACCTCACTTCTATTGCAGAATTTGCACTCCCAATTGTGAGATCTTGTTTTGTTGTGCATAGCACAAATTTTATCGAATTTCGCCGTAGGAAGACCTTATGCACCCACGAACAACGCTTATTGCACTAGATTGCGGTTGGATTAGTTTTAATAGCACGATTGCCATAACAGCATACTCGTTCGCCATTCTGAATCAATAAAGAAACTATTTTATGTCTTGTAGGTTATTTATATATTCTAACCAAATAAATGCGCTTTAGATTCATTATGATTATATTTATTAGGTAAGAAAACAATGAAAATTCAATCAGATATTGTCCACACAGATCCAATTTAGCGTTTCTGCTTAGTCGGCAGACGTCTGGGGGACCTCTTCATAGGAGATGGTAGTTTAAAATCGCTACTCGCTGTATCCTTATCAAAACATGCTGGTCTAATATAATCGATATGGATGCATATAAACTTATCATTTCTCAGAATCTCGTAGGTGTACATCACCTTTAGTGCCTACATAGTGGAACTCTAGACTGTCGCGATATCTTTGTCCCTTATGTTTGAATCGAAGCAATTATTTTCAAAATTGGTAGGTTCTAGAGACGAAGGCAAAATCCAGTCCTATATTTGCAATTGCTTTTCCATCGACGTTCCTGTACGCTTTGGTTTTAACCCAACGAGTGAAGACATCTTCCACCGCCAAAATATACTGATGACCCTTCTTCGATGTCGGATAGGGACCTAAAACATCAACGCTAATTACCTCCCATGGTTTGGCAGGAGTATGTCTTGATCGAAGAACAAACCCGCCATTTCCCGATATATTCACCCGTAGTTTTCTTCATGTTCTTCTAATAGTACTTTTGGTCCATCGCTCTGACTGTGTCGTCTCTTCATGGATGTGCGGCTGCTGGTAGATCATGGTGAAAGATGACCTCGTTGACACATTCTGGGGAAACAACTAATTTATTATTGGAGGAATGAATTTTCCATAGTAAATCGTCTTCGATGATAGGATGACGAGCAAAGTTCTGCTCACTGCAGGATCTTGCTCCAGAATTCAAAATTCAATTCAACTTGGAAATTTGTTGCAGAATATCATTCGGCGGAGTTTGATATTTAGAAACATAAGTAGTAGACCACGGTTTGTCGTGAGTTGATTAATACATGTAGAATGGTTTTCATACATAGGGATACAAAGACTTTCTTCCATGTCGTAATCAATACCATGGAATTTTTGTGTATACCGAAATAACAGGGCAGGAAGTTCATTGTTTTTCCCAGGTACAGCGATCATCGAGTGAATTTTGTTTTTGCTTCTTTGTTCTTATCCAGCCATAATAAAGATCTGTTGTCTGCATGAAGTAAAAACGGTTTGTCCTGTAGATAATGCCTGAAGCGCTTAATATACCAAACAATGCTCAAGCATTCTTTTTCGTTAATATGATAGTGTGTCTCAGTGTTTGTAAAAGTAGCACTCGCATATAAAATAACTTTTTTTTTTCTAAATTTTCTCCCTCTTGATGCAAAACACACCCCATTCCTATATCACTAGCATCAGTTTGAAGTATAAGTTCTTTATTCAAATCTAGCCTATGTAAAATCAAATGTTTAGCAACCTCTGATTTAATATTCTCGAAAGCAATATGTTATTCGACGTCCCATTATAAATCGCATGTTCTTCCTTAGGATTCGGGTAGAGGAATCGTTAATTCAGGCATATTAGGTACATACTCCCTTAACCAATTACATGTTTCCAGAAATTATTATAATTGTTTCTTCGTCTTAGGTCTAGGGTGTTTGTTTTGTGGTCTATTGGTTTCGTTGTAAACGTGGTGTCCGAGACAATCCAGTTTTTCCAACTCAATTTTGCATTTCGATGCTGAGAGATGAAGATTATGCAGTCTCAAATGTTCCAGGACCAAACATATATGTCGGAGCCGTGAGATGAAATTTTGGAGGTAAAATATAGGTACGAATAATGTTGACTGCTGATCCAGAATCAATTAAAGCGCTGTAAGTAGTTATTTTCAATTTTTATTGTTAGACCAGGCAGTAAAGAGTTGGCTTGCTTGATGTGATTAATCGTTAACGGTTTTATATCCGAGAGAAAAAATGAGGCCTCGTGCTCTCCCTTGGACATTGGATCTACGTTGTAAGAGGATTGTAATTGTGGTTGGTTGTGTGTGAACCAACTGTTCTCTGCTCGTTTTCCTGGTTCTGTTCCCCATGATATGGATTTTGTGGGCAACCTTTGTGAAACGGCAAAGCATTACAACATCTGTCTATGAAGGAAGATTCACTACCATTAACCCGACTAGAATGATTCCTTTGAGTGGTATTATGATCGTGAAACACAGGGGGAATATAATTATTTTGCGTTACCTCTTGGAAATCACTTTCTACTTGGGTAGCAATTTTCTGAAATGGTTGGTACCAGCCGCGGAAAAGTTCAACATTACTGGAAATGAAAACATCAACAGAATTATATTGTCCTTCCGTAACTTTCTGTATAATTTGGAGTTTGCCCGAGCTATAGCACTTGTAAAATCAAATTTATATGAAAATCTAGTCTGGAACCCGGCATAACTTAAGTAAAATGACTGATATGGTTCTACCTAATTCAGTGCTGGACTCCGAAATCGAGCTATCGCAAAATTAACCTTATCGTAGTTTTCTACAATATCATAACGCGAAAAATACTGCTCCAAGTGCTTCAAAAATAAACCGGGATCTTCATAATTACAACCGTAAACAGATATTAAGATGCAGGATATTCGTTCTTATTTGTGGTAGCAGATAAAAATTAGGAAGACATACCTTTAATAACTTCTTCTGTGGTTATTGACATATATGTGTTGTATTCATAAGTCCTAGACGGTAAGAATGGGTTCGATGTTGAAAAGGAACTCCTGGTGTTATCCTCCAATTTTGGTGATGAAATCTTTCATATCTGACCAATTGAATAATTTGTTAACACTCCACTATTATTTTATATTTACCACACAGAATTCCAGGAACTCTCGCGACATGCAGAAATAGCTAGTAGGGTATGAGTCTCTTACCATTTTAATTGCGCCCCATGCTCCTCGTATGGGTATATCGAGAACTGCTAATCAAACAAAAATTTCTTCTCAAGAATATTATTTCAAACCACCTTTCATTGCGGATTCCTTCGAAAAATCCTGCATGGAGAGTCCCAAAAAACCCAAAAGTCACCAAAAGACAAACCATCGTCCTAACCTTATATCATGAAAATCCCTAGTTGCCTGCCCTCTGGCGTTAGTTTCAAATTAATTCTACAACACAGTTTCGATAAGGCACGATTCAACTTACTGGCTATTTACTGCATATGCTTACTGCATCCAACATAAGCTGTATTTTACAAATCGTATCCCATATTGTTAATTCATTTTTTATTTTTATCTCTTTTCACCTAGTTCAGAAGCAGTAAATAGTCATGACTTGCGCGACCTAACATGAATGTATTGGTTTATCAGCACAGGAAGGTATTTTTATTTTAGTAGCGTCGACATCTTAGAAAATTTAAACTCCTTTGCTCTCTGCTTTGCTTGCTTCAGATGATATCACAGGCTCAAACTATTCTGAGAACTAATTTTATTTTATATGTATTTATTATTTATTATTTATATAAATACAATTATACAATTATATTTGATGTTTCAATTTCGTTACTACTACCCTACTAAAATCGTTAATATCTAGTATTACTACAGTCATGACCATTCATAGCGTGTCGAACTATACCGCCTTTCACTGATTTATAGGTTAGAAAAAAGATATCCAAATGGGATTTGGCTATCATTTAATTTAATTGAGAACATTATTCCTATTTAAGGAGCCTTTTTCGGCAACTCCAAGTTTGAGAAAATGCTTTCAGTCATCGGCGTTTATTTCCTAAAATATTCAAACAGGAAGCAAAAACCATTTAAAATTCAGGAATGCGATTATGCTCCCTGCGATTCTAGAAACTGAAAAATAATTTCCAGGATTTTCTCTTGGCCGCTTTAGTTATCATTTTATGTGTGTGTAAATGGATAACAAAATAAAATAAATATTGACCGGGGTAGTACAACAAGCAAGCACTGAGTAGAAAGAATTTTGCAATTAAACCAATGCCAACCAATGAGAGTGGGATAAATATTCCGTACTTAATGAGACTTTACAAGTCTACGGCAATGCTGTTTATGTTGCGATAAAATTCTACAGTAAAGAGCTACTTAGCAATGCGTTCTAGTCCTGTGCGGAGTGCCTCAGCATTCGCTTGGGCTATGTTTTAAGTGTCATTGAAATGTGTATTGTCCACTTGTATATGAATGTGAAGTCTGAAAACTAAATTTACTTATTGTTTGCAAAAGGGCGTAATAAAAAGCATGCGGCGGATTAAGGCTTTATTAATACGGATAGCCATATTCCAACAAATTGAAGGGCAAGAAATCGGCCAACGATAAAAACGATTCTTTTCTCAACCAGTCCATCTCCGGAGTAGTCTCTGTCAGTGCGTAGAAAGGGTTGTAGAGCCCAGTGACGACGTGCCTCCGCAGTGGGAACTTCCCCAGCTCGGCGTAGATCTTTTCGATCTCGATTGCCCGCTTCACCGCCTCCACCCCCGTCGGAAAGTCGAAACGTCCCCGTGCCAGTTTTCTTGCGGCCGTACGTTCGGGGCGGCGATCGATCATCGTGCGACATTGCCCGTAAATCTGCAACGGTGCGTCGAGATTTCTGACAACCTGTATGCCCTGTAAGGGCGTCCTAACAATGCACTTTGAGACAAAAGCGGAAAAAATATCAAGTTGCATATTTCGTGTTTGAAAGGTCCACCAAGCATATGTATATATTGTAAGCACAATAACCATTCCTTTGAAAATAATAATAATAAAAAAAAAATTTTTTTTCGAAACAACGGATTATTAATTTTTCGAAATTTGTTTTTATCATTTGATAAAGACACGGTGTTGTCGAAACAATTGTCATGTCATAATATATAATTTCGTGAAAATCTGAACTTTTTGTTCTTATTTATTTTGATAAATGGATTTTCATCAAGTAAAAGCCACCTCAGTTCAATTTTCGAAATTTTTATATTTTCTAGACGGGGTATTTATATGTTACCTAGATTGAGACTTTTATTTATTGTGTATTAAATGTTTCGACCTTCACTTTATGTCTGCAAATAGCTACAATCAAAAAACTGGTTCAGAGAGCGTCAAATAAGTGCCAGGATTTGAAAATTTTGCCAAAATCAATGTTGTGGTTGGCGAAACGTCTGCAAGATTCCAGTCGGATGCAGGATTCCAGTCGGAGTTCAACAAGCGAACGGATGATATCCCGGAATATAGTGTCATTATATATATATATATATATATATATATATATATATATATATATATATATATATATATATATATATATATATATATATATATATATATATATATATATATATATATATATATATATATATATATATATATATATTGTCCATCCTGAGAGAACCTAAAATCTGAGAATGGACAAGGACGACATTATGGCAAGTTTCGATGTCAAATCCCTCTACCCGAGTATTCCAGTAGAAGAGGCACTCTTGCTTATAGAAGAAAACGAAGATCTTCCGCCATACATAATGGATCTGTCAAGACATTGCCTGAAAAACGCTTACTTTATGCACAACGAGAAAATTTACAGACAAATAGATGGAGCAGCAATGGGATCATCTCTCTCACCTGTGATTGCCAACCTCTTCATGATTTACTTCGAAAAGAAAGCAATAGAGAAGGCAAATCTGAAGCCAAAACTATGGACAAGATACGTTGATGACGTATTTGTTGTATGGCCTTTTGGCAAGGAGGAGCTTTTGAAATTCCTAGATCATCTGAATTCCATTCACCCAAGGATTCAATTTTCAATAGAACTTGAAGAGGATAACAGTCTGCCCTTTCTAGATGTGCACATCACAAGGACCGAAGATGGACACTTGGAACACACTGTCTATAGAAAACCAACACACACTAATAGATATCTGAACGCTAAATCTCATCACCACCCATCACAGATACAGGCAGTGGCAAATACATTAATTGCTCGGTCCTTCAGGCTCACAAACGAGAGGAACAGAGATAAAGAACTGAAGAAAATTAGTACCTGTCTTCGACAAAACGGATACCAAAGGCGCACCATCAGCAAGGCAATCAGTAAACAACAACAGCCGCAGCAGAGTGTGCAGGACGAGACCCAACGAAGATCGATCGCTGTCCTGCCATACATCAAGGGGGTTACTGACAAAATCGGCCGAATATTACGGAAACACGACATATCAACGGCATACAAACCTGACCATACCATCGGAGCAATACTAAGAAACCCAAAACAAAAAATTACTCTGGAAAACCAAGGAGTATACAGTGTAGCATGCGGATCGTGCAGCCTGACGTATGTGGGACAGACCAACAGAAGGATTTCAGCCAGGCTCGAGGAACATCGTTTAGCCATAAGAAACAAACAAACAACATCTGCTTTGTTTCAGCACCAACATCAGACAGGCCATAAAATTGATTTCGGCACTTGCAAACAAATAGCTAATATTCCTGATTTTAGGACTAGGAGTATACGAGAGGCCATCGAAATAGAAAAGTCCGGACACCTTAATACGAGAGACGACGCTCTGCATTTATCCAGCACGTGGAGAACGATAATCAAACAGCAGAGCGATGCGCAGCAGCCAACGGGGACATCGCAACTACGATCGGGCGAAATTAACAACGCGACAATTCAGGGGGCGGAGCCACCTCCCCCCACGCACAAGCAGCACCCTTACCATCTCTGGCGCAGAGTATAAATACCGCACGCACCGCCGATAACCTCACAGTGTTCGAAGTGTTTTCGGAGCGCGAGCATTGAAGATGCCAAGTGAGATTTTGGCGAAACGTCTGCAGGATTCCAGTCGGATGCAAGATTTGCAGGATTCCAGTCGGATGCAGGATTCCAGTCGGAGTTCAACGAGCGAACGGATGATATCCCGGAATATAGTGTCATCACATTTTTTCAAACTTATAAAATTTATTTTTGATAACACCTATTTTAGTTTCATTTCAAAATTCTACAAACAAATTTTTGGTACCCCAATGGGTTCTCCCATCAGTCCAATAATTGCTACCCTAGTATTGGACCATTTACTAGATCAAATTATACCCAAATTACCTTTTATTTATAAATATGTTGACGATCTTCTTTGTGCGGTACCATGTGACCAAACAGATATAACCTTGAGTATTTTTAATTCTTTCAACACCAACCTACAATTCACAATTGAACATGAAAAAGACTCCTATGTCCCCTTCTTAGATACCAAGGTTATTAGAACTAACAAAAATGAAATTATTTTGGATTGGTACCAGAAAGAAACTGCCTCAGGTAGATTTATTAATTATTATTCCTCTCATCCACAGAACCAAAAATATAATACAATTATAGGCATAAAAAACAGAGTTACACATTTGAGTCATGACAGTTTTGTTCAAAATAACCTGAAAAAAATTTTCAACGTTTTTGTCAATAACGGATTAATCTATAACTTCAACACATTTGACGGTCCAACAGAGGAACCAGACGCTCGGATGTGTTACAGAAAGATACCTTATATTAAAAACCTCACAGAATCTATCATAAATATTTTCAAAGAATTCAAGGAAATAAAAATTGCTAAATATAATACTGAAAAAGTCTCTAAACTTTTTTCTAGAGTGAAAGATCCAACTCCGCTACTATATAACTGTAATGTCATATATCAATTGTCGTGTTTGGGTTGTCAAGGCTGTTATATTGGACAGACCTCACAACGTTTAACACAGCACAAAAGTGATTGCCGTATTCATAAGAATACTTGTGCAGTGGTTGAGCATTACATAAAAACAGGACATGAATTTGACTACAGCAATCCAAAAATTTTGCAATGTGTCAATAATTATAAAGCCCGATTGTTTCTTGAAATGTGCCATATTAACAAAAACAAAGATTCAATTAATTACAAGTCTGATACACAACAAATAAGCAATATATACTGTAACATTTTTCAGTTAAACCACAGATAATGTAATGTTCGGCCACCGAGTAGCGTATTCGCGTTGCGTTGTTGATCCACGGAGTAGGCTATTTTCATGCTCCCTTTTTTTGTCATTATTATTATTAAGATCGATTGTTTTTTTTTATTGTGTTTTTTTTTTTGTTTTTTTTCGCTACCTCCGTTAGCGCAACTTTTGCCTACCATTATTAAGAATTGTATACTAAGTGTTTATCCGTTTGTTTCATTATGTCGCTTCGTTCATTTACCTTAACTGTAAAGTATGGTTTTTGAGGAACTATGTGGTAGACTCTAATTTTGTAAGTATTAGTTTTCCCCGAACATTTAACGAGATATAGGCATATTTTGACAAGATAATGTTGAATGAACTTTCTCAAAAATGTTTTTCTGTATTATCCCTAACAGTCAGGACTCTCTAACTCTAGTAGCTATATTATGCATGAGGAAGTAAAATGTCAAAATGTCAAACAGTGAATGCTTAGAACGTTTGGAAATATGAAATAGTTTTATTCTTCCAAACTGCTTGATCTGAGGAATACCTGAGTTTATTTTAAAAAATTGATCTTTGAAGCCATATAAATTTTTTAAGGACCCCCATATATTTAAAGAACTGTAGTAACTGGAGAGCAAGGATGTTTTTGGAGATATTTTGACGTTTGTCAATTCTGAGGGTCATGTCAGTAAATGTATAAGTGTTGTTTTGTAAAAATGTTCCCAAAAACTAATAGTCGTAGAAAAAGTATAGTATAAAACACGTTTGGTAAACCTTTTAAATCACTCATTTATTAAGCACTCTTTCCGCTTGCGCCAGATAAACTCGAGGTTTGAGTTTTAAGTTCTTTCATTCATAATTTAAAATTCATGTCCTTGCATTTATTTCCTTAATATTATTTGTTCTGCGATTGTATCACAAAGCGCCCTCTGGTGGCTTAGGCAGATCCCCCTTATCAATGTCAGATTATTGATTTTTTTTTCCGAAAATGTTCTAACATCTTCTACCTCTTTCCGTTTAGAGATAGGACAAAAATCATAAAATAAAAGATTTGAATTTGTCTCAGCCGTAACACTTTACTCACTCCAATCATGGTAAAATATAAGAAAATGATGCAAAACACGGGTTTTAAAAATCGAGACGACAATTACGCTACCTGGTGACCAATTCAGAATCTGGAAAATAATTTCCAGCAGTTTTAACCATTTTTTTGGGGCGCTTTAAATCAGTGGTACGTAGATGCAGCTCAGAAACATAGTACTATCGATTATTTATGCAATGCTGGTGGCATATCCACTATACGATCTGAAAACCCATATAAGATACGAAACAAAGTTTCGTACAAAAGTTTCTTGGACTCTCTTGAAGATTTAAAATATTATAATTTTGTTGATACAGAGTGCCACAAAAATGTACCCCTCGACATCAACTTTGTTATTTTAAATTTAACACCCTATATGTTTCGATATTTTTGGTATACTTAATTAAAATAAAGGTCACTTTTGGAGTCGATTTTTTCATAATTTCCACGTATTAATGGGCACCCTGTATTGTTAGCAATAGGTTTTATTAGTATATCTGGAGTATTATTCTTTAAAAGAAGTAATATCATATCCTTGCTATTTAAAAAATACCTAATATTGCCAACAAGTGATCTAATGTGACCAGCACTAAATTCAACAAGAATTTATACGGGTGTTATCTTAAACCTCGAATATCTCAAAATTTAAATATAAGATAAATTACAATTACCTCATTTCTTGTCCTAGAATTAATATCTGAATAAAAATATGAGGTGTTCCTTTTATAAATATTGAGATTTTGTTAATTGAATTCGCCAAAAACGGCGCCACCTATTGGGAACACCCTGTATAAGTTGAGGCACATCTGTCAAACTGATTGAGTAGTGCATCATCTCCTTAGTATGTGGTTAAATTTTCGTCGCAATACCTGTATCAATAGCGTCGCAACACAATTTTAATGAGGCAATCAAAATATGAAAAAAAAAACGTAACACCAATTTCTGCCTAACCTATACAAAACTCGAATACGAATTTCTTAAGAAAGTGACCTTTATTTTAACCAAGGATTCCAAAAATGATGGAATATACAGAGGAGTTCCGTTTAAAATAACAAAGTTGGTAGCGGGGGACACTTTTGGGACTCAGGAGAGTCCAAGAAACTTTTGTAAGAATTTTTTTTCGTATTTCGCATATGGGTTTCGAGATCGTATAGTGGATCGTTTTATTTGGCACACGGTGTACAATTGTTACTTTAGGCAGGGACGCGAAAGGAAGAGAAATATAAATCAATCAAACGAAGCTAGGAAGAGGAGCGTAGATCGGCGTTCTCCGTACTATCTCTTGTATCAAACGTCCATTCAACAAATCCGTCAGCATTATTAACCAAAAATACCCTACCCTGTTTGTGAAATAACCTAGGCGCATCTTGAAATTTATTTTTGTATTTTGTAATATAATTAACTCTGGGAGTGGGCTCTAATCTGACGCATATGATTTGCTACTGAGCAAACCGAGTGAATGTATAGACAATTCGAATATACTGCAACAATTTTCGGCAATAAAAGTCTTCTATAGTTATTAAGCGATCCCAAAGCTCCACTTTAAATACAGTATACAAATTTGCATTATCGTACAGAAATACCCACTATAACGACACTTACGTTAAAACTGCACAGTAGTACCAGGACAAGCAAATTCATGATTCCTCGTGACTAGTACGTTTCGCATTAAATCTCCACCAACGCGATAGGTTCGTATATAAATTGACACATAAAAAAACTTCCATTGTTTCGATCAAAACCCAATTACTATTTTTTATGCCCTCAGATTCAATTAAATATAAAACGAAAATGACTACAAAACAATTTTCTTCCTTGTCCCTGCCCCCTAACAGGCATATCCTTCGGGTTCGTAGTTGCAACTGTCATTGTTGCTCGCCCCTGTAATATCGACGTGGTTCCAATGCCAATCCTCACATCCCCCCAACCCGCAGATTATTTCCACCGCAATCGAGTTGCTTCCGGCCATGCTGCCGGTAACGGACTCCATTACCAGGTTTTTGATGAGGATGTTGCCTCTGGGTTCCTCGCCGTGTCCCGGATAGTTCTGCTCGATGCTGATGCCAAAGTTATTGATACCTGATATAAAAGCAAAATATTTAAGAGACTAAGAGCATGGCAAGAAGAAGCGAACAAGCTTTGAGTGCCTCTCCCATCTTTTAATAGGTTACTTCGTTTTGGAATGGAATGAAACTCCTCTATTACTTTTTTGGGTTTTACTGTGACTTAATGCCCTTACGTTAAATTAAGACGACAGATTAATTATAAATAAGGGAGTTGTTTCCTATCAATAGCTTACCTTGGAGGGTAATGTTGGAGTAGAGAACGTCAGTGATTGAGCCCTGTCCCGCATTGGGGTGGGTCTTGACGTGAATCCCATTAGCAGAGTTCAGGACCGTGCAATCCTTGAAGGTCACGTTTTGCACCGTGTTTTGACCGATCGAAATGTTACCGAACCCAACGGAGAAGCTCAAACCGTGACCACCCTCGCAGACCAAGTCTTGGAAGGTGTAGTTATAGCCCTGATTAACCACGACGCAATCGTCCTGGTTCTTGACGATCGAATTTTTAATGACGACGTCTACGCAGTACGTCACGCCGAAACCGTCGGTGTTTACTCCTTTCTGGAACGCAACGGTTTCTCTAGCCTCCCTCCAACCCAACGTTAACTTACCTCGCGACCTTCAGACACGTCGACGGTGAAGCCGTCCAGCACCACGTCGTTGGAGCTGACGACGGACACGCAATTGATGGGGCAGTTGAGGATGTTGATGCCGCTGAAGGTCGAGTTCTCTACGTAACTGATGGAGAAGAAACTGGGCTTCGCCGAACCGCTACCACCCAGACCGTCCCAATATTGTTTACCTTGCCCGTCGAGCACGTGACCAGCCGCACCTTGGACCCTGAGCTGGGAGCCTTTGATGCTCACCAACGGCCCCGCCCAGTTGGACACCTCGAATAATATTTTACCCTCGAAGGTTAATGTTGAACCGGTCTGCAGGTCTAGTTCCAACGACTCCCCGCCAGGGACGGTAAGGTCTTTAACAACGATGTCAGTGCAGTTGGAAATTACGTCCTCTACTTGAGAGAATAAGGTTATGGTGCAGTCGGCAGCGCTAGCCAGAGCTGACGGCGATAAGGCGAATACTAACAGTACTATTGCGCGTGGTATCGACATCGTGGAGGATGCACCTGCGTTGGATATTGCTCAATTTATAGATGACGAAAACACTCAAATGGATAAGGTTTTTTTTTAATTTTTAAAAGAAAAACGAGATAATTCATCAAAGATATGTGCATAGTGTCATGGCAAACAGGTATCTTAAAAACAACTTGAACCAACTGAATTTATCAGGTAAAGGGGTTTAAATAGCTGTCGCATCCTGGAAATAATGTCACTGCATCTGTCAACTGCTAATGACAACACGGGAACCAAATGAATACGCAGCAAACTGTACTTGTTATCAAAACACTCGAACCTTGATTACCGTTGGAGGACAATTGTCCGCTAGCAATCCTTTTAAAATCATCAAAGATAATCAATGAACTATTTGAAAAAACGATTCAGTCGAATCTCGGCACGGAAAGGTTAAAGATGGCCGTTCCTCAAATAGCGTGGCTCATGCTTGCTGTTATCGTGTTGGCACATGGCACGGTAAGTACCGACGACGATGTCGGTTTAGGAAATATAGATGTGGTTTGTAGCACTCACAGTATACCGGCTTGAGGAGTATCAAACCCAGGGTCGAACCTGCTACAGGTCGCATCATCGGGGGTTACGAAGCCCAACCCCATTCCTACCCCTACGCGGCGGCCCTGTCTCTGAACTACGGCAGCAGTTTCTGTGCTGGTTCCCTCATCTCGCCTAACTACGTGCTCACTGCCGCTCACTGCGGCGCAGTGTAGGTACATCCGCTTGGAAAGTTTTGATGCTGAGCTCTTTCGTTTGCTGTAGAATCGCCACCGTCAACGTCATCCTCGGCGCTCATAACTTCAGAAACACCTCGGAACCTACCCAGGTGGTGGTAACGGTGCCCAGTAGTCGCGACGTCATAGTCCACGAGCAGTACGACTCAACTACATTGCGTAATGACATTGCGCTGATAAGGCTGCCGCAATCGGTCGCCTTAACTTCGGCGATTCAGGTGGCTCAGCTACCGTCCAGGTCCAGGTCCACTCCGGGAACGAACGTGAATGACGTAACCGTTGCTTTGGGATGGGGTCTTACTCAGGACGTTCCGGTTAAAACAACTTCGGTGAGTGGGGTAACACTCGTCAAGAGTTAGAGTTTGGAACCTCAGTCAGCCTTCGAACTTTTCGCTCCTCATCAATGATGTTAGATAATAATAACATCAGATAAACCTTAATGTCGTTCACTTATATCTGGCATTATATTTCCTTTCGAAGGACCTATCGCCGGTGCTGAGGGCTGTGAACGTGACCATTATGAACGTGGACGACTGTGCAGAGTACTACAACGACCAAATCACTTACGTCACCGGCCAGAACTCGTGCACTTCCGGTTACAAGCTCAAGGGTACGTGCGACGGCGACTCAGGTGGTCCTCTAGTCACCAGAGATGGGGTCTTAGTCGGGGTCACGTCGTTTGGTACCCCCGATTGCGAAACGTGCTATCCCTCGGTGTATACGGACGTCTCCAAGTACCTCGACTGGATCGAGCAAAACTCTGACGTGATTGTAGGGTAGAAAATAAAATTTGTTCGCCTATATTTTCGGTGTCTTATTGGAGACCATGTCTTTGACGTGCCTAATAGATATTTGATCGAATGAAATTGGATCACTAGTATTTACTGACGAGTCAAAACGCACGAGTTGCTTTTCTTATTGTTCCGCTGAAGCACTTCAACGCTTTTGTTATCTGCTGTTGCCAGAACCATCGAGTCCCATATCGGTTTAATGGCAACTAATCTGTAATCACCGAGATTGATAACAAGTTCTCCAACGAATTAGTTACATCCTGTTATCGCGCGTCGAAAGATGGCGACCCCATTTGCCGTGCTGCTGTTTGTAGCGCTTCTAAATACCGCGGTAAGTATATGTAACTTTTAATAACTCCCGTGGTACGCTCCCCCTTGTAGTACTCCCAGTATGACGCGCTGAGAAGCCTGAAACCCACAGTCAAAGCGGCGTCCGGTCGCATCGTCGGCGGTTACGAAGCCGAACCTCATTCCTACCCCTTCGCGGCGGCGCTGTCGCTCAACTACGGCTACGCTTTCTGCGCAGGCTCGCTGATTTCGCCCAACTACGTGCTGACAGCAGCGCACTGCGGGGCAGCGTAAGTAGAAGCGCCTTTCCACATCTTATCAAACCACCTCTTTGCTTACAGAACGGTGCTGGCAGATGTAATCCTTGGCGCCCACAACTTCAGAAACACTACCGAGGCCACTCAAGTGGTGGTAACAGTATCCGGTAACGATGACGTCATAATCCACGAGCAGTACAACGCTACCACTCTGCGCAACGATATCGCGTTGATTAGGCTGCCGCGATCTGTAGCGTTAAGTCCGGCGATCCAGGTGGCTACACTTCCGTCCAGGTCTGGGGTCACTCCCGGTTCGAATGTGGACGACGTCACTATAGCGGTAGGATGGGGCGTTGTGCATGACGTGCCGGGAAAGAATACAGGGGTGAGTTTACTGTTACAAAATGGCGGTCGACGTTTGAGTTGCGTTCAAGGACCTGTCGCCGGTGCTGAGGGCAGTTAACGTGACCATCATGAAAGTAAATGACTGCGCAGAGTACTACAACGATGAAATCACGTACGTGACCGGCCAGAACTCTTGCACTTCAGGCTACAGGCTCAAAGGCACGTGCGACGGTGACTCGGGTGGTCCTCTGGTCACCAAGAACGGCGTTTTGATAGGGATCACGTCGTTTGGTGATCCCGATTGCGAGGCTTGTTACCCTTCAGTGTACACCGACGTCTCCAAGTACCTGGACTGGATCGAACGGAACTCTGACGTGATTATAGGGTAGAAAAATAAAATCCACTGGTTCTCTTCGGTGTTTAATTAAATAACAATTCGGAATAAATAACGAATACTGCCGAAACGCCCGCTCACACGACGTACACCCGTTTCCTCTGGTCGACTTCCTGCGACCGCAGGAATTCGTCTACAAAGCGATCCCACGCGGTCAGAAATTGGTCGAGCGCGGCGATTTTCTCCTTCTCGCTCATCGCGCTGTACTTGATCGAATTCATGGCGAGTTTTTTGAGGACTTCCAAACCGTGGTCCTCCCACGTCATCGCCATGAGCACCACGTACCAGTCGTAACTCAATCCCGTGCTCTGCCAGACGGAGGGGTCGTCGTTACCTATCACCACGGGGTAGCCAGTTGCCAGCAGGACAGTTGCCGGATGGTTCCTCGGGTCGTAGTGCAACTGCCAGGCCAAAACCGAGTTTTGCAGGATTTTAACGACCAAATAGTCGAATACGGTTAATCGTTAAATAAATAAGATATCAAGTTAGTTGAGCCTTTTCAAGCATCAATGAAGTTTGAAAGAAGCTCAATTGAATAAATCCTTGTTCAAAGTTGAGGTTACCTTTAGCACTTGGTTGGAAATGGGACAAAGTTCGACTGCGATGTCGCGGCTCCTGGCAAGCTCGAGCAATAAGGGGTGTTTAGCAAGCGCGTACCCGTGTCCGATCCTAGAGGTGTTTAAGAGAACGGCATCTGCTAGATTGAGATCTGCACGCCCGTACCAATTGGTTTCGCCAGCGTGAAAGAAAAACTTTACGTCGCCTGTAGCCCCGTGAAGCTCCTCGTGGAAGTCCACGAGGTTCTTGCCGTCATCTTCGCTGCCCACCAAGTCGAAACCTAGAACGCGTGGAGTACAAGTTTAAACACAATGTGATAGATTTTATTCATGGAAAAGACTGAATGATTTTAGCCTGGAAAATGTACTTTTGCTAAAAACTTCTTTGGGAAGGAAAAAATTGTAGTGACTTTAACAAATTGGACGTTTCTAAGAAACTATTATTAGTCGGTTTGAAATCCCTTTGGTGAAAACGGATTTACATTGAGAAAACATATTTTTCAGCTGACAACCATCAAACTTACAGCATAGAATAAAGTTTTTCGGATTTTGTGGAAGGCAAAAATTGGAGCTCAAAACTAAATTGTTTTAATTTCACACACAGAAAATGATTTCAGAAAATATTAAAGGTGAATTTGGTCTGAAAAATTGACCTGAAATGCATAAATTAGAGACCTAAAAAACCAATTTCAGAGGCTCTAACGAATTAGTTATTATTTTGAGCGTACGGTGTTTTTTTTTTTGGCATTATAGGATACAAGCTAAATGGTTGAAGATCCAAAAAAAAAGAGATATATGATCTGATTCTCTAATTAAATTTAGCACTAAAAGAGCGAATGGATTGAGTTAGAAGATTCGGGGCACTTCTCAAAACATGACGGTTTTTATTGTATCTTATCACTCGGTTCTTTATGAAGATAAAAAAAACACTTTGATGACTTTTTACATTGGATTCAGTAATATAGTTAAAAAACTGAAAACGCATTTTTTCGCGCCATTGCAACATATAAAACACTTCAATATTTTGCCTTTTTCTAAATATCTAAGATCCGGGAAACAATCTTTTCAGTTAGCTAGGGATACGTCATCAAAATGAATTATCATTGAACTGAGTATTAACATATTTCATATTTACAAAAAAGAGAAAATTAATTATCAAAAATATGAAAAATTGAACAACTTTCACTGCTACATTGACAGTAATAAGAATAAAGATACAGCTTTTTAATTATATTTCGGGCGTTATCCGGAACCAAGAGGCCAAATTTACAACAATGAGAATAGAAAAAGGAATGCCGTAAATATATTAGAATCAGTTGTTGCTTAAACAAAGGTTTATAACCTCAATATTGAGAAAGATATTGATATAAGCAAGTCTAAAGTTTTAGCACACATTAAGAAAGTATAAGTATAAACCACGCAAAATATGAAAGGTTCACAGCTCTGTAATTCGTATTTTGTATTGGAATGATATTTTCTTTCAAAATGTAATATGGACTGACGAAGCGTTTATATCAAGAGGAGGATTATTTAATCGATACAACAATCGATATTGATCGATCCTAAACGCTTTTTTTTTTCAACAAGACGGTGCTCCAGCACATAATGGCCGTGTAGTAAAGGACAGAGTAACGCTAATTTTTGGCGAACATTGGCATTATAAGATACATATGGATGAAGCTCGTGATTTTCACGAGCTGACGCTCCCTGATTTTTATTTTTGTGAATATATTTATATAAAATATATAAAAATTACCGCTTAGTTACAAGTGGAGTCACAAAATGCATAGATCAGAACAAAAGTGTGTGTGATTGAGCACCTATGATAATTATTGTTATAATATTATTGAGTTATTTCAATTTTTTGTTGGTGTTTTGTAGTCGTTTTAGTTTATCAATGTTTTAAGTATTCTTGTTGACTAGGTTATTAACATATTTTATCATATATTATATTGTGACGAAAACCAACAAGAGTCGCGTAGTATCGTGACTTCTTCGATGGTTTTCTTCGTATTTTCGTTTTGTTCGTATATATTTGAGGTTCCTCAGAGAGAAACATTTCTGATGCGCGCTAGCGCGCCCACACACACACACACGCCTACTGTAGGAAGACTTAATTAGAATTCTTCTTCTACATCTATTTCGGTCGCCAAAAAAGTCAAAGCCCGGAATTTTAATTTCTCAGTAAATTTTCAGTCGCTCTGAAGACCTTGGGGCAATATTTGGCAGCAAATTAATATTAAATTAATTAGATCTACAAGAGCTATATAGGCAATTTATTATACTAAATATATAATTAGGCTTGAACGCATAGAGCGACAATTTTGTAAGTTTTAAATTGAAAATTCCGTAAATAACATTCCTAGTGTTGCCGCTACTCGAAAAGAATTTTGTATGATAACTCTAAAATAATTAATATAATATATACGCAACCCGGCTAGAACTACCAAGTAACAGCTTTCGATTACTTCCTGTCACACCAAAAATTGTCCCATTGGTAGGATTAGTTTTATATTGTAATAAAATAGATTTATGTCACTTAAAAATTATATTGCTTTAAATTTACGCAATTAATTATAGGTGTTTTGCTAGTTTTAGTTCTGTTTTCACCCCTCTTGCAATGTATTCGAGGTTATTCTTTTCTGAAAATGGTATTATAGAATATTTTTATTAGATAAAAGCACAGTTTTGTTTATTATTAGTGGTTACTGTATTGGCTATTATTACCTGTTTGTAACCTATATTTCAAAATAAATAAATAGATATAATTATTATAAAATAAATCATTATATTAAGATAATAAGTGTTATATATTGTAATGTATATTGAATGGCTAAAATATGAAACAAATTCATTTAAAAATCCGGTATTGGATTTCAAGAAAAATACTAGCACAAGTTCATCATAAATTTTTGTTGCGTATTTTTTCCAGGAAACAAAATATACAGGGTGAGCCAAGAAGCAGATGTTGTTACCAAGTTCCTTTTTATAAAACCACCCTATTTCTTGCATAAAAATATTATCAGAGCCAGATATTTAAGGTGACTTAATGCATACTCTTTCTTAAATCCAAATCAGATTGATATGTCAGATAGACAGATTTGTTTTCAACAGGATGGTGTTGATTTTGCTCGACAAGTGCGTGAATATTTAAATACGGTATTTACCGGACAGTGGACGAATAGATTGGCCTGCAAGATCCACAGATATTACTCCACTGATTTTTTTTTCTCTGGGAATATTTAAAAAGCAAAAGTGTATATCAGTTGAAGTTTAGAATTAGATACGATATAAGGCCAATTAATGATGGAGGGAGTAGGGTATTCTACGTGAAATTAGGTGCAGAATTCGAAAATGGATTTTGAAAAAATGATGTTCCCTCAACTTGGTATCTCTTTTTTGACCCACCCTGTTCTTTTTCCAATGACCAGATTTTTAATTTTTTTTTTCAAAGAAACTTCCACAGGCTACTGTAATACTTTTTACAAAACTTCTGCTGAAATGGCTAGCAATTCCGACTCAGCAAAAACCGACGCAGGAGGAATCCAGAAGTTTTGTAAAAAGTACCAGATCTTTCATTGAAATATTGAAATGCAAATTTCTTTTTTATTTACATAAATAACCGAGAGTTAAAAAATAAGTACCTTGGGAGAACGTATCTCATTTGGCTTGTATCTCTCATAGCATATAGCCTACAATATAAACGAAAAACAAAGCACACAGAAAACGCGTCAAAATTTTTGTTTATTCCTGTAAAATGAACGTCCTTGACTTGTTGATTCGCGTGGGTCATTAAATGGTGCAATAAATCTCATTTTTCGTCAGATGTGGAACGCCGGACTTACGTACTGGTGACGTCAAACGATACTTGAAAATTCAGCCATTGACAAACAAATTTCAATGACGACGCGATTTAATTTATTTATTCCTATTATCGCAAAAAAATCAAAAGCAAACCTGCAATGAAATCCGGATAGAGTCTCTTGAAATAACTGAGTTGATCCAGCGCAGCCTTCATAGTACTACCGTCGACGCCTCTATACAAATTGAAGATAAACTTGACCCCCACGAACCCATTATGATCGGCCTTGAACTCGTCCACCACCTCAACGAAAGTGTCGATGAATACTCTGACGTCATAGACGGTCCCGTTGGTCTCGTACAGGTTCATGAAGGCGCCTCTGAGTTCCGCGTAGAAGACGTTGTCTAGGTATAGCTCCTCCAGCACACGATAAACGTACTTCTTGAAAGTAGGTCGGTGCGCCACCAGGTCGAACAAAGTGGTAAAAGTGTTTTTGAAAGCGACCCACACGTCCTCCTTGCTCTCGGTCATCGACGACGACGTCAGCGTTAACTTCTCCTTCAGGAAGACGTCGAAGGAACTGTTCTCCTCTCGGTACTCTTTTAACGGCTTCCAACCACCGCCGGGGGTTTCGAGGACCTTTAATTTGAACACGCCGTTGACGTAGCCTCCGTAGACGTCTTCCTGGTATGTCAGGTGCTCGATTACGTAGTCCACGGAGACGGCCCCGAGAAGGTGTATGTGGAGCACGCAAGCCTTCGGCACTCTCTTGATGAAATCGAAAACTTTCGAACGTTCAATGCTCTGGCGAGCCAAGAGGAAATTTTGGCTGGGCAGGAACGCCGCCGAGTTCGTATAGGCGGCCTCAAGTTCGTCGTTTTTCATGCGCAGCAGTGCCACGTTGACGAGGGTCTCTTTTTGGGACAAAACTAAGTCACCCCCGGTGAAATTGCGACGTTCTTGAGTCAAGAGACGTTCACGTCGCTCCAAGTACGATTCGCAGTCCACCATCGCGGTCAAAGAAGTCGCGAACATAACTATTCGGCACGTAACGGCCTTCATTTTGTCGACGACGCGCATTTACTGGTCAATCCACTCGGTTTTGGGTTAACAAAAGGCACCCGGGGATTCCCCGACCTGCCGACATTTCGGTCGAATTGCGCGACCTCTGTGGGATTCTCGTGTACCAACGCGAGTGCCGCGGACGAGATACATGAAACTGTACGTAAATATATTATACTGAAAAGAACGTTCAGCTTTAAATAACATGATTTTTGTTAGAACAACAAAGTAACTAGATAAACACATCGTAGTGACATTAAGTGGAGACGATTGCGTTGTATTAGATAGATAGAATCTAATAAAATCGATGTTTATTATTGCAAACATAAGTTAGATTAAATAAATAAAAGTGGAGAACAAAATAAACACTGAAAGTCACCGTTTAAGTGCCTAATATGGTATGTCTCAAAGTATATCGTTTTGGCTTGGCACCTGACCATATATTGTACCACAGCGCATCAGGGACGGACTTTTAAAATAAAGTTTAAATATGTTTATTTAGGTATAATACTTAAGTTTTAGAAAATACAGACGGACTAAATGTACAGCGTGTCCCAGAATTAGTGGGTCATACTATAACAGCATATTCTAAATCCAAAATTTGTTTTTTCTGACGGACAGGCCATGAAAGGATTTGAAGGAAACATGGTTTTTTATTAATATTTATATTTATTATATTTATTAACGTTTTGAGATAAAGTTTTGAATTTTTAGCATTTAAGTAATTTTGGCATGCTGAATCGGATTCTAACCTTTGGGGGGTACGGATAACAAAAACTGAAATATCTTTTTTGTGGGTTGGCTTTTATACATTTTTTTTATAAAATCGGAAAAGTTTAAAAATAATATATCTCGCTAGGATAGACCGTTCTAGAGGAAAGTGGATTTCTATAATAGGCGTATTATTGAAAGATCCGTCTTACTTATTTATCGAAAATTGAGAAATAGGTGTTGAAACCCGCCTGATAGGGCTTTGACCTACCCATGCGAAACAGCAGACATGTCCAGAAAAAGCTAAGCATTCCGCGACATTAGTTCAGATTGGTTTTGGTTAGGACGCAACGGACGCATTGTCAAACAAGGTTGCTTTGACACATTCCAAAGATATTTTAATAAAATCTTATCACGATTTATTTAAGCAATATTGTGAAACAAATGCGTCAGACCGAGCAAAAAAAAACAAATTCCGGGGATTGTACATTTCCCATACTAATGACGGTGAATCGAGATTATACGGGTATAGAGCGACTTATCAGCAACAAGTGAAAACGTCAGTCGTCAAAAAGATACTTAATTCAATTAGTTAAATTTTCGAAAAATTTTAGCTTCTAATTCAAAATTCGCGCACTAGTGGGATAGAGATATCGATGTCCGAAGATCTTACATTATACTTAACAATCAGATTTCAATCCATTTTTTCAAATGATAAATACTCAGATAAAGCAGAAGTTCTGTCCGGTGGGGATCGATTGCTCTTGTTTATTTATACTTCTGATATTCCCAATTCTTCTAGATCTTGAACCATTTGCGTCAAGATCACAATTTAACATAAACATAAACATTAAAAAATCTTTTGCCTCTATGAGAATTATTTACGATAGCAGACGTGTTTTGCGCAAAAAAAGTGATAGATTTATGTGAATCATTGTTGCTCTGTACCTTTAACTAATGCCATTTTGTTTAAATCAGTATTTAAATGTGGGGTTTGTCCATCATTTGATTACATATCACGTCTACATTATATAAAATGGCTTGAACTGAATGGGCGTGGTTGTAGAAAATAACCGTAGCTTGCAGTTTCTATAACGAATTGTTTAATGTTTATTCCTAACGCTGTTTACAATGTTAACATAAGGAATATCGTAAAACGGACGGGCTCTAAAAATAAACTGAACCTAATTTTTAAATGTGCATAAAAATGTTTGTTTAGCGTTTTACGTTCTGTGGTGTTGATTCCAATTTTGCTTACTCTAAGGTTAACATTTTGTCTTCTTTCACCAATTAGTGTTAAACTATGACGAGTGTGATAACACGTCAACTTATTTTTTGTGAGATAATAATAAAATTATTATTATTATTATTATTATTATTATTATTATTATTCATTAGTATGGTAATATCTGTTTTGAAAGAATTGAAATCTGTCTAAAATTAAGTTTTACTATAGTTTCTTTTTAATAACAAACATTTACCACTACATTTAGAACACACCTCCTTATTTATTATTAGTCTCACCTGTTGTGCTATGACGGATGATTTACGAGACGTCCTGTACAATAATAATTACAGTAATCGACGCATTCCTCAAAATTGCCACGGACGTCAGCGACAGCGAGGATTTTGGAAAATTCTTGTTAAAGAAAACGAACATGTCCGCTCACCGGTCCAGGAGGCCTCCGCGCACCACGACAAACAAACAAAAATTGCCGAATGACGTAAAAGTTTCCGGGGATTAATTATAGCGAGATTTAATTCGCTTTGCACACACACAAACGAACCGGTAAATTAACTTTTTATCCTTATCGCGTAAACAAAAGGATTTGGGCTTTGATCGATATATAGGAAATCGTGACGAGGGTCCTGTCAGAGTTTGGAACCATTACTCCATTACTCCATCGTCGAACGGTTATGAATCTACTAGTGCTCTTGGGCTTGATCTTGGTTGCGGGTTGCCATTTTCTGCCGGCCGATCATCTCGCACCGGGTTCTGTTTTTTGGAAAATGCTGACCCGGATTCCCGAAGAGGGTAAGTATTCTCGAGCTCCTTTTTTTAAATCGTCGCCTTAGTAAGTTTTTTAGATCAAGGCCTACAGAAATTTAACAATATATAGATTCTCGCCCTTTTTTTACCTTCTCCTTCGCAAGCTGATAACATGTTTGACTCTTGAATAGCTTTAATTTATCAATGCTTGCAGAAAAGAAAGGAGGTCTGGGCTCAGTCTGGAATTTGTCAGTCCTGTTTAACTGTTTCATTAATGATATTCTGATTTGTAACTTAGCTAATGGCGCTGGTGCTTTTAAATTTAGAGAAATGTAATGTTGTCTTTGTCACCTTTAAACGTAATTTCATCGAGTTTGAGGACCTGGTTATAATGTTTGATCAGAAACTTTCGTTTGTACAACGTATAGAAAATATCATAACTCTCTTAATCAAAGCAATGTTACCAATGCAATAGTGTTGAAAATCAATTACACCAAATTTTCTTCCAAATATACCCACTTTCGTTCTAAAAAGTAACTAATAATAATATGAAAAAAATAAAGAAATGCCGTTTGTTTTCTTCAGATTGGAAACGTTTCCTACGCGAGCATACTGCCGGAAGTGATAATTCAGCAGCTGACGGTCGAATACATGTGAGTATTCTAAACTAACCAAAAGGAAACAAATATTTTTATATTACCAGAGTTGTTATTATTGTTATTATTATTATTATCATGAAATCGTGAAACATTAGATACTATACGCCGTTTTTAAACTGAACCTTTTTTCCTTTTTTTATAACACTCGCGCACATCAATGTAAATAATCAAGAAACATTTGCAGTACTTATACAAATTATATCATAATAAAAAAAATGATTTTTTGTAATTAAGTATGGACAAGTCGATTAAAATATCTATTGGTAGTTTGTTGATCAGGTTAACAGCTCTAAAAGTAGCCAATTATTTTTTAAAATTGGTATTATTATTTAGCTCCTTTGCAATCCTATCAAGGAATTAGGGGAGACCGGTGGTACAGTCGACATAAAAAAAAATATATTTAGAATAAGAGACCAATTAAAGCAAATTATGAAATTAACCAACATATTAGCGTAACTTTTCCACACTTTGGGTTATTTGCACCAAATGCTTTATAAGAATACAAATCGAAGTGTTCTAATATACTCTGCCTTGAAGGTAGGTGGACTCTGTCTTCGGGGTATATCTATAAAATGCATAGAAAAAAACAAATATTTAATGAATAATTATTATTATTATTATTGGTCAGAGTCTGAGTCATAATTAGGAGCATATACAATACAATACAATATAATACACGCAACTCATTGTTCTACTGATTTACTCTAAACAAAACTGCCCGCCCACGCAGGTTAAGCTCAAAGCGGAAGTTGCGCGGAACTATATATGTCGTAGTTTATTTTTTGCGATTTGTTTCTCTAAATACATTTTTTTAATGCTTTCTTGCTTCTTGTTTCCTTTTATTGCTGTTGCTGGGGTTGCACCTCTAGTTTTTTCTTGCCTGGCACGGCATATGAACCCAAAACAAGTTGTGACGAAAAAGAAATAAAAAAAACTGAATTTGTTAAACTGGTGGAATATACTAGTACCAGTTCTTAAATAGTCAATATTAATTAATTTCTGTTACAAATAAAGCTTTAATTTTCCAAAAAATGTGTCAAAAGTCTAGGCTATATTTGACGCAACTTTATAGTGCACCCGATAGATGGCACTAACGTCGCTACCCATACATCGAATTGTTTTCCTTGTAGACTGGAGCCTCTCAGGACGACTCGCCCCGCGTTTTCGACATCGTCTGCCTCCCCTTGCCAATAGGGTGCTTCGATCCCGACGACCCCGGCATTATCCCCAGCGGCGACGCCTCCGTCCACAATCTGACGAAGTCGATATTTCTGTCGCGATTATTTAGCAAATAAATGTTTTTTTACGAAACCGCGTTTGTGTTTACTTGCGGGTCACCCTGCGATGGCAACAATGACAGAATTGAGTTTATTTCAGGATGGAAGCGTCCAAGTTTTCGATATACTGTGCCTTCCCCCACCCATCGGCTGTTACGACCCGGACGACCCAGCAGTCCACCCACAAACCGACGAAAAAAACTCTACCACCCGCGACAACTGATGGACGTGTGTTTTTTGTAGATTTTAGTCGTACCTAATTCCATCGCATCTGTACAGCGTGTCTCAAAGCAGCAATTTCAAATAGATTTGTAAAAAAAAATGTTATTTTTTATTTTTACAATGCACGTATGCACTAGGTCACTTATCCTATAATAACTATCGATATAGGCCGAGTCTCGTGAGCTGAACAGAGTTCACACTTTTGGGAAGCGACTCGACATCGATTATCAATGGAAGGAACACGACGGGGTATAGTTTAGTTCAAATTATACCTCTGACCTGTATAACGTCATTAAACCTCCACCATCACAACCGCAATAAATAAATAAAGCGACAGTAACGCGGATATCGATCTAGGTATAAGTTAGATCGTTACGTTATTGAACTACCATCAACATATTGAAATCTACTACGCCTATGCATTCAAATTAGCGCAGTCTGAGCTGAAGTATGGCATGTAGTGGTAACGTACAGAGTGAGGCTCCAGAGAGGCCGCTTGCCCAAAGGATTTAGCAAGGAAAAAAGTTAAGGATATAGTTTAGTTCAAACTACAATGTGCGTCATAACTGATGAATAAGGAGACTAAATTGATCTAAAGATATAGGTATAGAGTAGTTAAAATTATATCCCTGACATTTATTACGTCATCAAACCCCCAACAACATCTTAAAACTGCAATAAAGTTGAACAGGATCGATATTATATAATATCTATCTACTATGTCAATGCATTCAAATATGACGTATAGTGGTAACTTGAGAGAGTAGGACTTGATTCCGAAAGCACAAAAAAGATGCGTATATAGTTTGGTTCAGATTACGCCATTACGTGTATCGCAACATGTCAAAACCCAGATAGCAAACAATATCCACACTATATCCGGTCAATGTCCCATTTAAGTCGCATTCTTAGGATATACGTTAGCATATATACTAAGTATATACTGTAAAATACATTCCAGGGATATCCCTTGAGTAGATAGCTTGCGGATTTACTGTACACGATATACCACAGATCTCCTCTACATAAATGGGAACACTAGAATAGAAATTTTCAACAGCTGAGAAGAAAAATGCTTAGTTTTTTTAGATTCGTGGTGTATTTTAAACGGTCGTGTCGTCGGCTTCTCCTCTGTCTCGTCCTCCGCCATCTTTTCAGCCTTGTTTTTGTTGGCGGTATTTGAGTATTTTGTGTGCTGTGCTTACTGCTTTCATTTCAGTTATTTTTTTGTGGTATTATTATTACTACTACTAACAATTCATGTAAGTAAAGTTTTATGGTAATACTTGATAAATTCTAAGCTGAGCGAACCATTGTTGTGTAGTCTACCAACATCATGTCTCGTTTTATTATTATTTTTCTAAGTCAATGAGATAACAAGATCAATCTTTAGGTTGACAAAAAATATTGCATGAAAATAGACTGTCAAACCGAAACGTCATATTAGTTCTAGTTTTTTTTGTGCGCGATAGTACCTACTATCATGAAAGAGATCTTACTGGTGAGAGTTTAATGAGGCTTGTATTTAATGAAATGAAATACCTTAATGTAGATTAGCAACTAAGATCACTTACATGGAAGTACTATCAGCGCCAAATCAAGCCGTCACTTAAAAGGCAGATCTAGGGATTTTTAAAATGTTTTTTAAACATATAAGATACCGGTATCGTTCTTTTTATTTTTATTTTATAAAGTACAGATATATAAACCTGTCGTTCTAAAAACCAAAAAATTTTCAGATGCGGATAAAAAGGCAAACACATCACAAACATGAAAAGAGAATTCAATAGCTACTTGGCTGAAAAAAGCTACTTTCATCAAAGAATGACAGAAAACCTGTCAAATATTAGTTCAGCCTTACTCTATTTTTAGGATACTTTAGGTTAGGTTGTTCTATATTTTTGCTATATTATAGATATGTATAAAATGTCTTTTATTCATGGTATCCATCGGGAGTCCTTCATTTTTACCATCAAAAGAAAATTAAAGATTAAATATCAATTGGAAAAAACTTGTGCATTCACCAACCATACCCAATAGGTTAATTCCATTAATTCCATCACACGCGAGTAACAAATACTGGGATAGAATTTTTGTAGTTTTCAACCAATTTTACTACTGGACATTATCTTTCCAGTATTTCTCATAGGTTGTTGGAAATAATTTAATAATTAAAAGTAAGGTCCAGTGGTATATCTATATAAGATACTATATCCTCCACTATCCACAAACTAACGACTGGATATCCTTAATACGTCCTAAGAAACATCCTACGGACATACGTATCTGATATAATGTGGACGTTCCAATTAGTAACATCGTATATTCTTGAGACGTCTTAAGGATGTCTCTTAGCTGAAATTGTATATCCCTAGGATATACGATATGTCCGGTCAGATATGCCAAGGATGTTTTGCGGACATCTCTGTGCTATTTGGAAAGCGCAATAAACGAAAGCAGGGCCGGCTCGAATATTTTATTATCTAGATTCATTAAAATCACTAAAACAAAAATCGCTTTTCGACCATGAAAGTTAGTACGGTATACTTTGAATTAAACTATACAAGATTTTTTAAATTTTATCAGGGTCTGTCCTTCCCAGCGGCGATACGTTCGGTCAGGTCAGGACCACGAAATTGACGCACGTCCCCGTCGAAAAGGCAAATAATCTGGAGGCTTAACATGTCAACGCGTCTTCGAGTTTTATGGTCCCGAGTTTATAGATAAGCGCGTGCAGGATTTGGTCGCCATAAAAACCGATCCGTTCGATCCGGAAACCCATTTTCGCAGTAAACATGTTAACCACGTATGTGACGGGATGTTTGGTGGCGCTGGTCGTCTTGGCAGCACCACCGGAAGCTACAGTCGACGACGCCGCTTTCGGTCGCATCATCGAGAAGATTCCGGAAGAAGGTAGCTTGGAGTATATTACGCGGTGGTGCGTACCGGTGTTTTCCTATTTTCAGATAGACGAGTGTACCTTCAAAATCTAGTTCGGATGTTTCTCGGAACAGGAGAAGACGAATCCGCTCTGCAGGTGAGCATTAATGCTATGTACTTTATCATTTTCTCAGAGTTTTATTCAAACTTTTCGTCCCAGACCTGGTGATTTTTATTTCTAGAACTTTCATTTGGACCAACGCCAGGCCTGGGCCATTTATGACTACCTGAAGAGTCACTTGGACTACAGCGGCGACGTCGTGTGCATCCCCGGATACGGTTGTTTTGACTTGAACGACCCAGGAGCGCGTCCTACCCTGTGATCCGATCAAAATTGTTTTGAAGACACATCTAGTGCCGATGTTAGTGTATAAGATTATGCAATTGAACTGGAAATAAAATACTGGGTGTGGTAGTACTGGGTGATGTTCTTCCTTACTACCGAATTCGGGTGAAATGACGACACCAACGTCGTCAACGAAATAGTAAAAGGACGAAATAAAAAGTGTTATCTTCAATTTCTAGGAAATAAAAATTCTAAAAGTGAATTTATTTTAATTGCAATCTTAAATTTTCGGCAAATAAAACGAGTTATCTTTAATTCGAGTCGGATAAAACGCATTATCTTTAAACTAATTTTCTCCGAAAACGAAATGGATATGTCAAGAGTATTCTAAGGAAAAAACATACTTTTGCATAAATTCGAGAAAATAAAATTGGCTATCTTTAATTGCATTTGAGTAAACTACATGGTTTGAAACATGCCTCAAAAATAGCTTGGACATAAATTTAAATTTGCAGGTTCTACTTTCCGCTTGTTTTCTCGGTGTCGTCGATAACCAGCAGTAAAATTTATTTCGTAACGTCTATAAAATTAAAAAATTTTAAATTTTGGGGCCATTGGAACCGTTGTCTTGGTAACAGTTAAACTGCAGTTTGGGTTAACGCTTTAGTAGCAGCATTATCTTTAATTCAAAGTGATCATAACGTAAGGATAAAATATAATTTTCGTGTCAACCGAAATGAGCAAGTTTGAATGAACTAAAAACAGATGAATCGATACGCCTGACGGCAAGAAATAGTACAAGGACAAAATAAAAAGTGTTGTCTTCAATTTCTAAGAAGTAAATGTTATAAGGGTCAAAATTATTAATAGCTGTCTGATCTTAAGTTTTCGGTAAATAAAACGGGTTATCTTTAAATCTCGCGCGCATATAATGCAACGAAATAGACGTATCCAGTTAGAGTACACAAAGAGAAATTTTTGATGGGCCATTATTTATTAAATTTGAGTAAAATCAGTGATTTAACAATTAAATGCCCTTCATATAAATTTACATTTACTGCCTCTTGTTTACGCTGAATTTCTTTGGAACTGTTATCCTTAAAATAAAAGATATTATTTGGAATTTGGCACGGTTATCTCCGCCACAGTTAAGTTCATGTTTTAGTACAAGCATTCTTTTTAATTTAAAGTGGCGACAAAATATAGTTTCTGTGTACTAATTTGAAAAAATTTCTTCGTTCTGGGAAAAATCAAACTATTCTGGAAAACGAATTCTTATTAATAACAAATTGATATTGAAATAAGGACTGTTCCTTGAAATTAAGATAAAATTTTGCGGAAAAAAAAAACAGTGACGGCGTAAATTTTGGAGAACTTTGTACTGTGAACGTTCAGAACATCGAACAAAAGTCGTTTATCTCTGCCAAGATAAAGCTCCCTGCGCGATATAAAAGTTTTCATTGCATTTTTTTTATTACTTGTTTACAACGGGTTGGCGTCGACGCGCAATCCCACGAACTAATCCCACTCCTCTATCAAGAAAAGTGATACAACAAATCGTACGGGCATCAATTTCGGAAAGACCCCGTCGTAAATTAAAGAAAAAAAAAAACATCCGACCCGTTATTTATGGTAGCCATTCATCATCGTGCGCCTAAAAATAACGTCCACTATTTCATAAATAATCGCAACCGATAATCCCAGAATTTTCGCATCTAATTCACCAACACGGTTTTATTTACATCCAACATGTGCACGACGTTTCGACACCTCTGACATGGATCGTTTTCCACCGAGGACTTCACCCGTCGACATCTTGGACACCCGAACTTCCCGCTTGCACCGATTTCCAACCTAAACCGTCCGGTCAGATCGAAATTTTCACTCAATCCCACTTCTGATATTTGAAAAACGTCGACCAACTCTCGTTGCAGCTGCTCCACGCTGCCGCAACCCTGATAATAACTTCGTTAGATTGCATTTCGGGAAGAAACACCCTATGTTACCGTCAACAGTCGATAGTCGTCCCCTGAAAGCTGCAAAGATACCGCCCTGTCCAGAGTCGCTGCCCCACACTCTCTGTTAATCTCTTTTCGGACGTCTAGCAACAGCTCCATCGCCCTGGCAACCTCTAGATCTTCCCAACAAGACCGCGCCTGCAACCGCTGATCGGTAAAAAAGGTACCGCCCCCTTTTTGAGGCAAGTAGCTGTAAAGTTCCTCGGCAAGGTGGGGTACGATTCCGGCGATGCTGCTGGCGACGGTGTAGAAAATATGGATGAGGGTATACTGGACGGATCTACGCTCGAGGCTCGTCGACGGCTCGCAGTACAGCCTGTCTTTGATCGCGGTGTAGTAGAGGGCGGAGACGGGGTTGGTGAGTAGGTGGAGCAGCGAGGTATTGATTTTGTTAAAGTTGTAGCTTTCTATGTCTTTCTGGCACTGGAAAACATATTTGATTGGTAGTATAAAGTTGTAGTAGTAGATTAAATGTACCGACCTTCTGATGAAACTGATACAACACGTGCATCATATAGCGATCGGTGAACCACAGATGCTCGAAGTCCTTCTCGTCGTAGTGATAGTCGTAGAGGGCGCCTAATGCGAACCGCAGCACGCTCCGGATCTTCTGCAACTCCTCCTTAGACCGGTCCAACACGTTATCGCTTATCTGGGCGAGCGCCACCTGGTTGGCGTGACAAGCGACCCACCACCTGCCGAAAACCAACCGATCGCCTCAAAGCCACGCCCACGACCGCCCCAACTTGCCTCATGGTGTCGATTCCGTAAGGTTTGGATCCTCCGCTCTGCACGACCACCGGGTCCACGACATTACCCAGCGATTTGGACATTTTGTTGCCGTTCTTATCGACGGCAAAACCGTGAACTAGTAACGCCTTGTAAGGCGCTCTATCCCTCAAACCGACCGACGTCACGAGTGAGGATTGGAACCAACCGTTGAATTGGTCCACGCCTTCGAGATACAAATCAGCTACTTGGTCGTCGGCGAGAACCTTGGACCACGAGACGCCGCTGTCGAACCAAATGTCGAGGATATCCTGACCTCGATCGATTTCGGTTGTGTCAAACTCTCTTTTGATGTCGTCGGGTAGGAGCTGGTCGACTTTCAAGGTCCACCAGAAATCGGTGCCGTTTTTGTGAAGTAGGTCGCATATGTGGCTAATTGTGGATCTATGAGAGAGAGGTCGACTGGATAATAAACAGAAGAGACCAAAGCATCACAGCCACATAAATACTGGAGAAGATGCAATAGAGTAAGTAGAAGAGACCAAATTTCTAGCACAGAAAGAAAAAGGAGAATGTCAGTAGAAGATGTATTAGGATACATCGAGGTGAAACCCCTGGAATTATAGACAAGTTTAGAGAAATGGATGGATAGTGGTGATGGTAAACCACCTGTACGTGCGTGGTGTACAAGAGAAGAAATTAGACTTATTAGAAGTCCTGTATCCCATCTGACAAGCCTTAATTACAACTTGTACTTTCACCAGGGTAATATTATTGTGAAATAGCGAACAAAAATATAAACAATTTAAATTAAAACATACCTCAAGTATAAACCAATTAATTAATTTAGAGTATTATTTATAAAGTATATATTTTACTTTAAGTTGGCAGAAGAATGTACTTAATTTTACATACGTTAGTTAAATTTTAATTAAAAGCTAAAATGGATTTACGTTTTCCCTTTTAATATCTTTAGTTAGTTTAGTTGGCCAGAAAACGCAGTAAAATGCATTTTGCTTTTAATAGAACAGACGATTGATTTCATATGAGATATTGATAAATTATGTCAATTTTTATATGCTTATATTAATGAAATAGCAAAGATAAATTCATTACATTGATAAGGCTCCGTTCAATTAAAACAATATCGTTAATATTCATAGAAAAGGCAATATGTTATAGTTTTTTATTAAAAAGATTGCCTATTTATTTTTTGGAAACAGAAAACAATAAGGATATTAATAAACAAATTACAACAAATAGAAAATTTGTTTTCTTTTTTGGTAGTTTTACACATGTTTTAATTAAAAAAATATTTTTTGGATGTTTTTATTTTGAATCTATTTTTTGACAGCTTTTAAACTTTTCGAAAGTTTTTCAAATCTCTTAGGTGTCTTCCGATGTACATTTCTTTAAAATTTTTGACGCGATTTCATGAATTTTCTGTTAAATTTTTTAAATCACTTTTTTTAACCTTTTGACCTGAAATAATTGAACCCGCATACTTACTCGTTAATGATTACATTTTCAGATTTTCGATGATAAAACACGGGTATAGGTACCCCCCACTTCCTCTGTCGAGATATACACCAGTAAGGCCTCTTTTGCAATTCGCTAGTTAAAGTTTTCTTGTAAGCTTCGCTCTTGTCTTGAGGCGCTATCTCGACCTTCTCCAAAAGTTCCTATAAAAGCCAATACGAAATGTCCATAAAAAAAAATGTGAGGCTCTACCAAAGCCCTTCGTTTCACCGATTCCGTATCGACAAACCACTGCTTGCTGGCTTTGATAATAATCGGCTTTTTCGTCCTCCAGTCGTAAGGATAACTATGTCTTAGCTGGGATAGGTGAATCAAATCCTCCCTGATAGCCCGAACGACAGCCTCGTTACCCTCTGATAACACGAATTTCCCCTCAAACTCCTTACCCGCTTCTTTTTTGAAACAACCGTCGTCATCAACCAGGTCAATCTTAAAAAAAAACACCCCAGGCAATGTCATATAAAAACAAAGGTCAGTTACTTAGTCACTGCTTACAATGGGTATTTTATTGCTCAGAGCGATCAGGAAATCATCCGGCCCGTGGGCCGGGGAAGTATGCACCAATCCGGTGCCTTTGGTAGCGGTCGCGTGAGACGAATGATAAAAATTGCAGACTTTTTCTTTGTAGACGGGATGGACGTAGCTAGCGCCAGCTAGCATATCCCCCGAGTGCACCCCCAATAGCAAGAAATTACAGTTGGTCTCCTTGCAGAAACTCTCGAGTAAATCTGTCGCTATGATATACAGGTCGGTGTCAAACGGATCGGGTTTTTTAACCACGCAATAGGATAAGCCGCTGTTGTAACAGACGGCCTGGTTTGAAGGCAATGTCCATGGGGTCGTGGTCCAAACTACAGCGTAAACCCTAAAGGCGGGATGGAATAAAACTACCGGAAACGCGAACGCCACTGCCGTTTCACCTTTTACCGTGAAAATTGGGCACCTTGGGTATATCTTTAACTTCTAACCTGACGTAAGCGCTGGGGCTTTTGTGCGAGTCGTTATATTCGAGCTCGGCTTCTGCCAAAGCCGTTCTTAAAATATCAAGCGCAATTTGGTTAATGCACTAGTTAAAACGATATTTACTTACCCAGAAGATGGCGACCAGTGAATGGGTTTGATGGCCCTGTAAACGAGCCCCTTTTCGTACAATTTAAAAAACTGTCGAAACTGATTCGCTACGTAATCGACACTGTACGTTGTATAGGCATTGTCCCAGTCACCTAAAATCCCCCAAGACTTGAACACGGATTTTTGCTCCTCCACAGTCGTTTTGGCGAAATTTCTTGCTAGAAAGTTCGGGGTTTGATGGAGAACAGGTTAGAATAAACTCACAAAAAACCTTTTTCTCTAATTTCTACAGGGTTAAGGTTATCCAACCCTGACAATGCTTTCAACTCGATGGGTAGCCCGTGGCAGTCCCATCCAGGAACATAATGGACCTTTGTTCCTTGTAATACCTTGTAACGAAGTATGGTGTCCTTTAAAATCTAAAAAGTTACTAAAAGACAGTAGAACCTGCGATTAGGGCGGAATAATCACTTTGTTAATGGCGTGGCCCATATGCAGTTTACCGTTGGCATAAGGGGGGCCGTCGTGTAAAACGAACTCGGCTCCTGATAAGTGTTTTCTTTGCCAGCTGTACAAATCGTCAAATCCTGTTGTATTGTGGATATTTTTATCCCTTTCGATCAACCTTTTGCCTTCTAACCTCAAAGGCAATTTGGTCTTCGGTAAAAGCACGGTGTGACCGTACGTGTTGCTTTTACCTTTGTTATTAGTGCAATATTTAAAATTTAAGGTTTTTACAAGACCGTAACGGATTTTTAACATATTTACAGATTTATATTTATAGGTTAGACTGACCACGGAACACATTTCCTGGAGTCACAGAACCCAAAAACTTACGGCGCCATCTAAAGATGGTGGTAGGAAAATAGAAAAATCAAAACAGGAATTTCTTTCTGAAAAGGTTTGATGTAAAATGTATTGCCTATCTAGAAGCGCAAATTTCCGGAGGAAAGATTCATTAAAGCCTATGATTGGAACGAGGAAAATTGGAAAATGCATTCTGTCAAAATTATAGAGAACGCCATGATGTTTCCGATTGCATTTTTCACCAAAAATCGCTGACCTTGTGCGGGGCGGACAACGGAATGTATTTAATTAAATTTATCGATGAAGGTAAGCACTTGGCACCTATTTATAACGGCCGATATTTCGCAATATTCCAGAAAGCCGAAATATTTATAGAACTTCCGGCTGGTTCATCAACCTTGCGGGTGTCTCGGTTTACTAAAAATCGCTGATTTGGGTTGACAGTGTACCGCATATTTTACGTCTGCATGTTTTATCAACGTAGCTTGCGTTTGGTACTGTTATTAATTTTTTGTTTATTGGAACTTGTGTTGTCTGCAGCATGACGTCGGAGGTTATGGCCAATGGAAAAAATAAATTGGATCCAGGTGAGCACCGTCGCGTCGCCGCCTTTAAATACGGGTTATGTTCGTGTCATGTATAAATGTATCAATAATACGCAGCGTTAACTGATCTCTACACTACGCTGCGCGAAGCCGAAAATATCCCGTCAACAGAAGAGGAGCTCGCCTTCCTCAGCGAACTGCTACAATCCAAAGAGCTTAATGCTTTGGTGAACGTTCACAACAAAATCCTGACCAACGTTGATAGGAAACATTTCTTCCCTATCCCGGTACTCTCTGACGCCATGCAAGTCATGGCTGACGTGCTAGAAGTGCTCATCTCCCGGCCTTACATGAGCGAAGACTGCAAAGAGCTCTTCTCTGTCCTCCAGAGGCCTCACTTGCAGGTTGGTGGTGTGGCATTTTAATCATATTTTCTGACAACTTGTATAACCTAGGTAAAAATAGGTAATTGGGATATATATTCTATATACAAAGTATCGCTGTGACGTCACAACCCTATATGGTAGAGTCAAAGTTTATTGTTTTAATCAAATAACCTATGAAAATGTTATTTTTTTACAAAACCTCTGGATTCCTCCTGCGTCGATTTTTGCTGAGTCGAACTTGCTGTTCCACGCAGGAGGAATGCAGGAGTTTTGTAAAAATTATTATAGTAGCCTGTGGAAGTTTCCTTGAAAAAAAAATGTAAAAAAGCTTTTAACTCTGTATTCATTTATATAGTTTTTTACTCTGTCAGGTAGATTATTTTATGTTATTAACGAGTTTATAACCCATTTCCATTTTCCTGATGTAGGGATTGCTATGTGCCCACGACTCTGTCGCTCAAAAGGACTACTACCCTCATCTGCCGGAGTTGCCGCCGGAGCCTGACGATGACGAGGAAACTATCAAGATAGTCCAATTGGTGAAGAGCAACGAACCGCTGGTGAGTAAAACTTTTGCGCTTGACATCGCACACGGGCGAATTTTTAGCCCGATTGAGCCATTTTCAAAATTGTTAAGAGTCTTTCTTTCTTTTCTGCAAAGTCCGGTACTCAAAGTGCAGAACCGATAGTTGTAAGTATCCACCTTTAACCGTTAGCTTTCATCTTGCTCACATCCCTCTCTTCCTCCTACACTTATCTATGATGGACCCGCACTATCTGACATGAAAATGGACGAAGTCATATTTCCTGTTGAGGTCAATAGCAATCGAGCAGCATTTTGAAGGAAACCCTTTAAAATAAAAAAATCTTTTAAACAATGTGGCTAAACTTTTTTTCGGCTACCGTTATTTTTGAAGCTTTTAAAAAGATTAATAAAAGGTCCGAAAAAAAAAACGAATCTAGTATGCTTGAACCGAGGTGGCTTTTACTTGATGAAAAACCGTTAAACAAAATAAATAACAACTAAAAGTTCAGATTTTCACTAAATTATATATATTCACATGACAATTGTGATATTTACAAACTACCTACTACTATATATATCGAAAAATACCAATAAAATCTTAATGTTGGGAGAATTTAAGTTTAATAATGGAAAGGTATTTAAATCTAATTGATCGTTAAGCAATACATTTGAATGTCTCATTTTTGTGGCTGTATATAAAATATCAAAATTGTCGTCAAATATGTTTTTTCTGTGTTTAAGTGTGTAGCATGATTAGAATCTAGAGTATTGTTTTTAAACACTCTTTTATGTTCGTTAATGCTTTTCTTGAAGGATCTACCTGTTTGTCCAATATAAATTTTAGGACCGCATTTCAACCTGTAGACACCTGATTTTTGAGATTTCGGACACTTCGTTTTGTTGTTTTTTAAAAAATTTCCTATTGTGTTGTTAGTTCTGCAAAAATAAAGCTTCTGAAGACAGTCATAGCTATCGATGAAGGAAGTAATTACTAACTCCACACTATTTAGTGACAAAGATAAGTATCTATTAACAATTATGAATCCACAACAGCCGAAATTACATTCTTTTGATTCGGTTAGTTTTGCAAAATTGCATTAAAAAATTCTTTTGAATTAATCAACAAAATTAAAGATACTTTTTACAACACTTCTGGATTCCTCCTGCGTCGGTTTTTGCTGACTCGAACTTGCTGATGTTTCGCCAAACATCCTGTTGGCTTCTTCAGAGCTCATTTAGCTCCGCCCCCCTCAAACAATATATAAGCAGGTATAGAGTAAAATACGAGTCAGTTTCAGTCACGCTCTGTAGTAGGATGATTGGCGAAACGTCAGCAAGTTGGACTCAGCAAAAACCGTCGCCGAAGGAATCCAGAAGTTTTGTAAAAAGTATTACAGTAGCCTGTGGAAGTTTCTTTAAAAAAAAAAATAAAGATATCAAAATCCTTTCTAACGCAACGCTATTGTCTTTTGATTTGCATAACTTATTTCCACCTATGCATGTGATAGCTTTACTCGGAAACAGGTTAACCCATTGGTGAAACAAGATTTATTAGATTGCTTAATAGTATCTTTAGAACAAAATTATTTTGAATTTAATGGATAGATTTACATCAGATTTACATCTCTAGGGAAGGTTTGATTATGGAAAACCCGGTTTAGTCCTTTGTTAGCCAAGATTTTTATGGATAATTTGGAAAATATCATACAAGAACATCCTTTAAGTAAAACTTTTCTATGGTGGTATAGATACGTGGATAATGTCTTTGCTTGCTTTGTTGGAACGGACAGACAATTGAATTAACTATTATGAAAACGCAAAACAAATTAGATTTTTCCATTTACCATAAACCTTCACACACGGACACAACATACATAACAGCTCAAATCACCCTTATACACACAAAATAGCTGCATTTCACTCTTATACATAGACTTCTTAACACACCACTCTCAACAGAAAATTACAACAAAGAACTTAATATCATTAAACAAATTGCACTGAACAACGGCTACAATCCGTCCATTATCTATAAAATTATAAATAAAAAACAAATCCAGATAACAGTAAACTTTATTTATCCGAAACCTAATATAGAACACAAACAACTTAAAACAATTTACACACATAGGAGAACCCAGTGAAAAAGTTTCAAAACATTTGTCAAAATGTGGTCTAAAAATAGCTTTCAGAACTAACAACACAATAGGAAGATTTTTAAGAAACAATAAAACAAAATGTCCAAAATGTCAAAAATCAGGTGTCTACAGGTTGAAATGCGGATCATGTCTTAAAATTTATATTGGACAAACCGGTAGATCCTTCAAAAAACTTATTAACGAACATAAAAGAGCGTTTTTAAAAACAATACAGCCACAAAACGTAGAAAAATAAATTTATTGGAAGCCATGGAGATTAACAAAATGAGACATTCAAATGTATTGCTTAATTATCAATTAGTTTTAAATAACTCTCCATTATTAAACTTAAATTCTCACAAAAACACTAATGCATTGGCATTTTTCGGTATATATAGCAGCATGTAGTTTGTAAATATTACGTTTGATAAAGACACAGTGTTGTCGAAACAATTGTCATGTGAATATATATAATTTCATGAAAATCTGAACTTTTACTTCTTATTTATTTTATTTGATCTAAATCACCTATGCATTGTTATATTGTTACTATAATAGGGTTATTGTAATACTCTGAAAGTCCTTCACAACGCTTTACAATCCTCAATTTACCTTCAAAATGACGTTTCTTTTGTTTAGTGGTATCAGAAAATACTTAGTTTTCAATTTTCACGTTGAAATATGCTACAGTGCGGCCTCCCTAATCCGACCGTTTGCCCTGCAGGGCGCCACCATTAAAACCGACGAAACCACCGGCAAAATCGTAATCGCCCGCGTGATGCACGGGGGTGCGGCCGACAGGTCGGGTCTCATCCACGTCGGTGACGAAGTGGTTGAGGTCAACAACATCAACGTCGAAGGCAAGACGCCCAATGACGTTTTGCAGATCTTGGTAGGTCACCTCGGGCGCTGACCTTCGTGGAGGCAACGAGTTTTCTTTGCAGCAAAATTCCGAAGGAACCATCACCTTTAAACTAATACCGGCCGAGTGCAAAACAAACGCTAGGGAGAGCAAGGTGAGGGTGAGGGCTCATTTTAACTACATAGCGCTCATGGACCCCTACATACCGTGCAAAGAGGCCGCGTTGGATTTCAAAAAGGGTGACGTGCTGCACATCGTCTGCCAAGACGATCAGTACTGGTGAGTAGGGTTTCCGTGTCTTTGGAGGTCGAAAATTATTTCTTGGAGATGGAAACGCTTCTAATAGCGTTCAAATTGGCAAATGTTATTTATGGGCGTTGGCTTGGTGGCAGTGGTGACGCGTTCTTAAAAAAATCTTGGTATCTATAATTGGGTCATTTAACATTGATAACAAAAGGTAGGATGGCACAGGTTGATCGCGCATGTGATGTTCAGGTGGCAGGCGCGAAAAGAGGGTGACAGACACATGAGGGCGGGTCTGATCCCGAGTAGGGCTCTGCAAGAGAAACGCATAGTGCACGAACGCACTGAGGAAAATAACGAGGAGGCGGACGGTATGACACTTATCTGCTTCAGCACGGTGCATGCGCTCGAACGCTTTTCCTTCTTCTGTTTTTTAATTTCTACTGGTAGTTTTCGTTTTCTCACTTTCACCGTTAAGCGCTAACCTGTGTGTAAAAAAACGCTTTCCCGTACCGTTTGCTGCGTCACGTCAACTAACCATCCCCATTGTTCTCTGGCCTGCGTAGGGCTGTGCTCTGTTTCAGTTTTGCCTGACGATGGCTTGACATGCAGCCCGAAATCTCCCCGCTGTTTGTCGATCGCTGCAGATAAATATAAAACTAAAACGATTATCTATGATACAGCGGAAAATGACGATTTCGATCGCGAGACGATTGCCACCTACGAGGAGGTAGCGAAACTATACCCCAGGCCGGGCGTGTACAGGCCTATAGTGCTGATCGGGCCCCCGGGGGTCGGCCGCAACGAGCTGAAACGTCGGCTGATCGATACCGATCCCGAGAAGTACAGGACGCCTACGCCCTGTAAGTGATTTCCCTCACTCACGTCATAGGACACTAAACTGACCAACTAAACAATAAAAAAAATATATAGAAATCTCGATTATGTAGTAAATAAGTCTATTTTCTTCCGCGAAGATTTTTTTTATGAATATTTGAAATGTAATACTTAGATTATTAATTAAAAGTTCCCAGTAAACGTTATCAATCTGATAAAGAGTGATTTACTGGCAAGTGACATCTAAGTTATTTTCTCCTCAGTTGCTAAATTCCTAATGTAATTGTGTATATATACTGTATACTGTAACATTTTAAAAAACCATTGTTTATGTACTTTCCTCACGAAATAATGCTTACAGAAAAAAAAAGATCTAACCACGAATTTTACGAAATTTCAAACCAAGAAATATTTCCGAAGGTAGCAGTGATGTGACGTTAGAACGCAATGGTTTTTATATTGTCTTCAATGAGGCGCCGGCAGAAAAATAATTCAGGCAAGCTACTAATTTTAAGAATAGATTTTTTTTAAACTTACCGTGTCTCTTTAAAGTAATCGACTTTGAAAAAAATGGCACCTTTATTGTACCAACTAATTAACTATTTTTCTTTTTACATGAAGAAATACGTGTAAGTGCTAAGACTGTAAACAGACATCAAGTGACAGGGTGTAATTCACTGAATAATATAAGCAATGTCAAAGAAAGCAGAAAAAAAGTTTTTGCTAAAAAGATATCTCTTAGAAATATTGATTGTTAACCAGTATTTCAGATAAAATACTTAGATTTTCAATTAGATTTATTGTTGCTTTTCTATATTGCATGTTTTTTTTTTAATTTTTGTTATTTTGACCCCAGGGAGTAAACCTTATCGACAGGACTAATTTACTGGCAAGTGACGTCCAGCCGGTCACAAATGGGTTACTTTCTTTCACTTTTAACGCTCATTGTTTGTTTACTTTGCTCACGCTTGCACAAAAACGATCCAAAATTGTATTCCTGAAGATTTCTAATCAGAAAACCGCTTTGTTATATTTTTTAAGGCCACAGTCTGACGTCACGTTTAATTTTTTTTTTATTATTGAGGCCAGAAAAATAATTCCAGCAAACTCCTATGTTTGAAATTGAAGAAAAAGCTTTCAAACTTCAAAGCGTTTTTTTTTTTAATTAAATTTTGTCTCCTGAACATGTTTGACATATTTTACACATCAAACCCGTATTAATTTTGCACTTAGAATCGCTTGCTTAAATATTTGCGCGTCATTTATAAAACACGCTGTATACTCGATCTCATCGTAATTAGTTAGACTGGGTTTTGACAGTGCGGAATTTGTCACATGATAGTATGAGCAACATTGTTAAATAATAATAAAAATAAGAATGAGAAGAAGAAATTGTTTATTGCCCATAAGATACAAGCTTTTACCTCAACACATCGCTAGACTCTATTGAGTACAGGACGCTTTAGTTGAATAGCATATTAAATTTAAATTTGAATTGGGGATAAACAAGAAAATAAGACATCATAATAACATTTGTGAAAGAATTCATAATACTTAGTTAAGCTTGAGTTGCGTAACTCGTCTGCTACCTTAAGTGTTATTTATTTAATAAATAACCTAGACAAAGTAAAATTTATAATCCTATGCTACAAAAATAAACTGACCAGAAAGAGGGAAGAGGACCCAAAAAAAAAAATTGATTGCATTAATTGAAGTTGCTTTTAGCCATAGCTTTAAACTTAGTCAATATTCCACTAACCAATTCTATAATTTATAGCCGAATCCTTTAAATGTTATAATATTTTTCATTTCAGCAGGAATTATGTTTTATATTTTGTGGTTGTTGAATAATGAGGTTTTCCGCATATGAATCATAGTTACTTAATGGTATCATATCTGAGGGATACGATCGGTTAAGTTCAAATATAACTTTGAGGACTCTTTTCTGAGTAACCTCTAATGGTTTTAGATTACTTTTATAAGTACCGCCCCAGCCGTATAGTTAAACGTTCAACCTATACCTCTTCTAAGTTTTATTTTGCGGCAAGAAATAGTTTTAATGTTAATTATTGTTAATTGAAAAGGTTACCTTAGTGATATATATTCTTTAAAATTTCTCTAAGCTATAGGACATGTTTGGCAAATTTAAAGCTTATGTTAATTTAGTCCCACTTCTGAATCTTACCAAAAGCACTATATAATGTCAGCGAGTTACGCTATAGAGATAGCTTTTATCAATGCCTTGCTTGTTCTCAGTCACCAGTAGGCCCATGAAACCGGGCGAGGTGAATGGCAAGGAGTACTACTTCGTGGCGAGGGAGCAAATGGAGGAGGACATCGAGCGGGGCAAGTTTATCGAGTTCGGCGAGTACAAGGGCAACCTATACGGCACGTCTTCGGACAGCGTAAAGGCGATCGTGAATTCGGGTCACGTGTGCATCCTAAACCCCCACTACCAGGCGCTGAAGATGCTGCGCACCGCGCAACTTAAGCCCTACATCGTCTACATCAAACCTCCTAGGCTCGAGATCCTCAAGGAGACGCGCATGGCGAACCACGCAAGGTCCACCTTCGACGCCAACAATTCCAGGGGATTCACGGTGAGGAGGGAATCTTAGCGCGTCGGTAAGGCGAATTTCGACGTTTCGTTGCAGGAGGACGAGTTCAAGGACATGCTGAGGTCCGCCGAGCGCATCGAGTTTCTCTACGATCACTTCTTCGACGAGACCATCGTTAACGACGACCTCATGGTCGCGTTCGGCAAGTTGCTGGGCGCCGTGAACCGGGCGGAGACCGAACCCCTGTGGGTGCCCGCGTCCTGGGTTCAGTAAGCGCAGGCGCGGGAGAAAGAAAACCCTTTCTCTTCGCTAGAGTTTATAAAGACCAATTTTTTTTTAGTAGGCGCCGAGTACTTGTAAATAAACCGAGCAGTGTCGTGGCGAAATAAAAATAACGCCCTGTATATGTTTTTCGAATTACGCCGTTTTTGAAAAAAAAAGAAAGAAATGGAAACGAGCGGGTTGAGAGGGCGGTCATCGAATTTTTTTTTATGCCTTATTGCCTTTCCCGTAGCGCTATAAATTGCAGATCTACGCCACTGCATCAGCAAACGTGGCGTGTACCTTCAGTAGAATTCGACGCGCAGTGTCCGCGAAAAAATATTAATTTTGTTTCGGCTCTTATTTTGCTGCTGTGTGTGTGTTTTTTTTTTTAATTATGCATGGAATCGAAAATATCGTCGGGGTTTGAGAAGCAGAAAACCTTCAAAATTAATTTCAACATAAATTGACGTGTTTTGTGAAAATGATAAAAATTTAGTTATCAGATCGCTCACTTTTTTCAAGGACATAGAGATTTTCATTTTTCTTTGTATATTTTTGACGTCATAAAATGTAATCCAGTTGCCGCTGACAACCTAATTTGGAGCCATATTTACACCTAGAACAGGTTTTAACCTAATCGAATGACCGATTGCCAGCGTTGCAGGTCTATCTGGGTGAACCATTGGGATTTCGGAAGAGGTATCCAGGCCGATAATATTCCCCTAAAAAATGGGATTTATCTAAAATTAAAAAAAATCCGCCGAGACTTTAGGAGCTTCATCTCGTGTGAATGTCAAAAATCCAACACGAAGTTTCGTATTTTTTTAATCATAATCAACTTTAATTTGTCCCTAGAATGCGCTTAATTTTTGTCGAAGTCAAAAGGCAAATAGGAAGTTTCGTATTCTTCAAACTTTAATTTTCGTGATGGATGCTTGTAATATTGGCGCCCTTATTACCTTTGTAATGACGTATTTGATTTTGATGGTGAATCCCAGAATATTATCTTTTACCGGGTTTTCGAGATCCCAATGGTTCGAACGTCACTGCACTATAGTTTTGGTGGGCGCCGCAAGTTTTCTGCTACTCATCAAAGAGGTTTTAATGTCTTCAAAAAATATCTGGATTTCCATGTTGTATGTAAAACTAAGCTAACGATAAAGAAGGAAGAAAGTTGCATGTTATATTAGCATAACGCTGTCGGGTTCAAGTGGGCGGGGTCCGAACGCCCTACCGTTGTCGAACTGTGACGTAGCATGAATCTGGTTCTCCAAAATGAATCCTTCGGCCCATGAAAGTCTTGGGTCCCGATAGCTGTCCCTTTTAGGACGACGCACGATCGTATAAATCTGTGTCCGCATTTGCTACCCTAGACGTTGAAGTTACCGACTTCGAACACTGCCATTTGATTATTAATAACTCATCGATTTCATCCCTCTTCCTTTTTCGCGTTGTGTTTTTCGTTCCCTTTAACTCGCCTGTCTTTTCGTCCCATCGAATTGTTACTTGTTAATGTTATTTGTCGTAGATTTAATTCGTAGATTTATAAACGGTCCCAATAAAGATATTTCGTAACTAGCTTCGCAGTTTATTTTTTCTCAAGCTTCGGGACTTCGTCGATGTCGTACCAGGTCAAAGTGCGGAATTCTCCCTTTAGTGTGAACACGTTTCTATATCGAATAGGTAGCGAAGTTCTCATTGAATAAGCGGGTAGTAATGAACGAGGAATTAACAAAACTAGAGGACATTAATGTATACTTAGTCCACAAACAACATTTTTATAGAGGTGTCAACAAATTTGAATTGAATGGTTCAATGTCGTTCAGAGGTCAAACTAGGGGTGCGACTTTGAATTTGACCGTGGATTATAAGTAGAGATGTGATTAGATAAAGTCTAGCACCAAAATCAAGCAAAAATCGTATTAAATCTTGGCAAAAGAGAACAAATCAACGCTAAACCTTGAGTTTGACCTTGTTTCATATGTCAAGGTTGCTGAAGTTTATAAGTTAAGTACAAGTGACGATAAACACTATGAAGAACAAAGTAACGAAACTAAGGGTTACACTATTATTGTGACCTCGAAGGGTCATGTTATGTGTGTTAAGTTCTACAAGATTTTTTTTAAAGCACGGTTTTTCAGAGCCGAACACAGTAAGGGTTCATTACAAGGTGACTTGAATATTTATTGCGGCTTGTAAGGTTGTCGAAATATGGTAGAATATCTTCGGCCTTTTAAATTGGTTTGGAATATGACCCTCGGTCGGTTATCAAGGGCATCGAATTTTCCCAAGACAATCCGTCGATCATTCGAAACGATCTCCTACAATTCGGGTGTCTTTCACGACCCGCTGCTGCGGTCTCGGGTTTCCCGGCTGCCTGATATCTCGACTTTCCCGGATATCAATTTGCGATGAAATTTCCCCTTCTATGGCCTCTGCCGAAGTTGAGATCCGCATACGCGGAAGGTTCGGTTTTCAATTAGAGAAAACACTGGGCTATCGATTTTCCTCGAAATATGCCCGTGTTTGTGGCACTATTCGCTCGATCAAGCAATTTTCAATTAAATAGGTACTGCGAAATGGTTAAAACCTTTTAACTGCCGCTCGAAATTTAGTTGACCCACATAATCTGGCAAAGTTGCCATTTTCTTTGCTCAGATAAGTGTTAAGCCATTCTTCTCAGCCCATGTCTAGGTGTCGCTACTATTTGTGACAGTTTAGCCTCATACTTCGCAGACGATGTCTAGGTAGAAGATGCTTGTGGAAATACTTGTTTTTGATCCTCTCCTTTCTGTCTACGTGATAGTTTTATGCGACTGTTGGTTACATTCAATTTTAACGTACAAGAAGCAAAAGGAATGACGCGCCAAGACTTGACCCAGGTTTTTATTAAATACCTCGGTACTAGTTTTAGCCTTAGTTGTCTAGACATGTTTCTCTGCCGATGTCTAGCTGATGCTTAAGGAAGGGTTTTTGTTCGTTAAAACGTTGATCACTTTTTTAAACTTTTTTTTGATGAAATATGTGTCTACCTCTCTTTCTGCTTCAATTTTTTTGGCTACGTTTCGTAGCTTTTGTTGTACTCCTTAATACTTTTACTTCGCTTTTGGAAACTTCTAAGTCTAAGTAAAATTAAAAATGATTTACCTGTTCCAATTTCCTTGTCGATATTTTTACTGAAACTTTGATAATCCTGTGTCGCATAATTTGATCCCGTTTTGATTAGAGGTAATTATATCGCGGAAGTCCTTAAGGGAAACGAAGTTTTAACAAGCTCGCAATTACCACACGTGTAAGCGTGTGGTGGTTTCCAAAAAAAAAAAGCGTTACATCATAGCTGCAAACGGCGCAGATCTCATTAGAGTTTGATTGGTGTGTCAACCACGTGTGTGTCAAACTTTTTGCCGGATTGTTGTTGCGGTCCAAAACACCGACGTCGTTTAAATTTTACAGGTTTCGGCCGCTTAAAACGTATTTATAATCGTAGTGAATTATTTATCAAGGAAGCAGGGCAGAAGCAGTTTCGATCGGCTAAGTCTGCGATGACGTCACGTGACAGTAAATGAATTGCTCGGGGATTCCTTGCAGTGATTTATAAAAAAACCTTAAGCACATAACACTTAGCTAACAAACAAGCAAGTGGAAACTATTTACGTTTACTGTTATTAAATATAAAAAAACGAGGTCCATATATAGAAAAATAAATCGATGGCGGTAGAGGGGAGAATATGAAACTAGTTTTGAGAAATCTCACCAAATGGTACGAGGACATCTCAAAGAAATCCATAAGATGGATAGACGTATATTATGGGTCATACGGTACAAAGCGGTCTATATAAAATATAACCTTTCAGATGAAATTTGAAACAATCAAAGTTATATATTGCTTTGTCGACCAAAAAAGTGAGACGTCTGGGTTGAAAATAAAATTGCTTTGTCTCTGAGAACTAGATTTAATAGAACTAACGTCGAAGCTTTTTTTCACTATTAGAGTACGTATTAGACCGTTACAAGTTTGAATCTCAAGACATCTACAATGTTGATGAAATGGGAATCACCACCGTTCAAAAGCCCGATCGGATAGTTGCTAGGAAGGGGGTTAAGCAAGTGGGATATGTCCTTTCTGTGGAGAGGGGTACATTAGTTATATCTTGTTTTGCGGTCAGTGCTAGCGGTAATGCAATACCCCCTATGTTCCTATTCCCCGTCAAGAACTACAGAGGCCAAAGGCTTTATCAGTTGCCGCCACACCAAATAATATTCACAAATAAAATTAGAACAAAAAATGTTCAGATTTTCAGTTTTTAATACTTTATGACAGCTATTTCGCTAACACCGTGCCTTTATCAAATACAAAATATGACTTCCGACACTTATATATATAGTAATAGATTTTTAATTACAGGTATAGGGTTATAAATTTAAATTTAACAACGGGGACGAGACAATTGATTAATAGGTAATAAATTGAAATATCCGATCCAATTTTCGAGAAATAGTAACTTTTTGATTTTCAAAAAAAATGGTTTTGGAATTTTAAAAAATACTTTCCACTAATCGATCCCTCTTAATTTTAGTAGGTTCCGTCATGGGCCTAAGCTCTATACTGTTGCAAAATTTCAAATCGATAGATTCAAATTTCGGACACTTATCGTGTTTCATAGCGATGTCCAAAAAACAGCTGAAAATCGAAGAAAAAAGCTATATGTTGGGTCGTGGACGGTAAAGAAGGAACCAAATTTCAACGCCCTACCTTAATCTGTTCGAAAGTTATGGCCATAAATGTATTCGGTCTGCAGAGAACGGAAAACAGACAGACAAGTAAAAAATTTTTTTTAGACCCCGATTCGTTCTGTTACCAATGGCGGTCGCCTAGGACCAACCGTTACCGAGATCTGGATTTTAGTGAGGAGCGCGAAAATAATCGATTTTAATCGATTGTTCGAAAATAACAAGAAAAGAATTAAGCTATTATCTTCATTCGGGTTTAAAGGCCGTCGTCGATTGGAATTACTTCCTAACGTTTCGCTAGCACGAGTGGCGAGCTTCTTCAGAGGTCCATCCATCTCCGATGTTGGACGTAGACTGACGATTTCTCCTGCGCAGGTTGTATTTATGCCGATTGGTGGAGGGCGGGGCTTGTTCCGCTTCGGTTGGTCTCGGGATATCGATCGGTACTGCTCGGGCGTTCCTAAGGATCGGGTTCCAGATTTGGTTGAGTCTAAGGGTCTCCTCCTTTCGGTTGAAATTGTGTGGGTGTTTTTGAATCTCAATGGCTTCCCTGACTAGTCTGTTGTGATAGCCGTTGACCGATGCTAGTAACTTACTGCTCTCAAAGTGTATCCTGTGTTCCCCGCTGCCCAGTGCGTGTTCAGCCACTGCAGACTTCTCTGTATGTCCTAGCCTGCAGCTTGCTTTATGCTCCTTAAGTCTCGTTCCCATTGATCTCTTGGTAGTTCCGATGTAGACCTTTCCGCATGAACACGGAATGCGGTAGACTCCCGCAGCTGAAAGTGAGCCCCTCTTGTCCTTCGCTGACCTGATGGTCTGCTGGATCTTCTTTGTAGGCTTAAAGATTGTTTTGATGTCGTGTCTTTTCAATACTCTGCCAATCCTGTCGGTGACACTCGGAATATACGGCAGATATTCGTGGGAGGTGGAGGGTCGTTGTTCAGTATCCCGTGATCTTGATGATCTTGAGTTCATTGATCTCTCGATCTCCCTCTTACTGTAGCCATTTGCCTCGAACGCAGTTTTTAGGTGTTCAAGTTCCATCTGGAGGTTCTCCGGTTCGCAAATCCTTCGGGCTCGTTCTGTCAGGGTTCTGATAACCCCATACTTTTGACTTGGGTGATGGTGGGATAGAGCATGCAGGTATCTGTCCGTATGGGTTGGTTTTCTGTAAACTGTGTGGCCCAGCTTGTTATCTCGCTTCCTCACTAGTACGTCCAAGAATGCAAGTTGTTGGTCATTTTCAGTCTCCATAGTAAACTGGATGCTGGGATGCTGACTGTTGAGATGCTGCAGCTGCTGCAATTGAGGCTGAACACGCACTGGGCAGCGGGGAACACAGGATACACTTTGAGAGCAGTAAGTTACTAGCATCGGTCAACGGCTATCACAACAGACTAGTCAGGGAAGCCATTGAGATTCAAAAACACCCACACAATTTCAACCGAAAGGAGGAGACCCTTAGACTCAACCAAATCTGGAACCCGATCCTTAGGAACGCCCGAGCAGTACCGATCGATATCCTGAGATCAACCGAAGCGGAACAAGCCCCGCCCTCCACCAATCGGCATAAATACAACCTGCGCAGGAGAAATCGTCAGTCTACGTCCAACATCGGAGATGGAAGGACCTCTGAAGAAGCTCGCCACTCGTGCTAGCGAAACGTTAGGAAGTAATTCCAATCGACGACGGCCTTTAAACCCGAATGAAGATAATAGCTTATCAACGGGCCGCGAAAGCCTTAACCAATTTATCAGACGCCTCTACGGGGAGGAAACATGTAAGCAGTATCAACGACTGGACAAAATAAGGAAGCAAAAAGCGCACTTACTCGCCACTTTA